CGACGAGACGAGTAGTGCTATTATTAGAAACTATGGCTGAAACTTCCGAGAGGATCACCCCCACAATCTTATTTGTCAGATCAATATTTCCACCAAGACGCTAACCAGCTTCAAGAGTACTTCTAGTACATAGTATGCAACGGACATACGAACAGGAACAACCTGAATTTGATAACAATGCTTACACCATCACGGCCATCTATCATGGTGGTACACTCAAAATTTTCACCAGTCATCCTTTGAAGCCAGCTAATTCGGACCGGCCGGAGTACTATATGACTCAATTAAGATCCTTCGCCTTGACAGATGGTATTGACACCTTCCGCGAAGGCGCGACTTGGTTCCGCAATGGTCAATATTGGGCAAAAGAGCAACGAGAAAATGCGATCAGGCGAGCCAACAACCGCTTTGCTTCCAATGTAATTCAATCTACGCTCAATGCCAGCTTTAGTACGGTCTGCGAAACGTCAGGCCATGAGTCAATTGAGTCATTTAGTCGAAAATCACATTTCTCATTCAACCAGACGAGTATGACGGAGAGTTTCCATACCAAGGAATTTACAGAGAAGCCCAAGAGAGATGGAAAGAACGGCCCGTAGAGTGAGCACTGGTCATCGCCTCTCTGGACCCCATTTGTAAAAAAAAAATATATATATTGTTAGTCTCGTATCTTCTCTCATTTCATAAGCCATATATATCCTTACTTCGGACACGACCTTGATGGCATTATGCAGCAGTGAATTGAACGATAGACCGTGGTGTTGAATAAAGACAGACGCGAAGCAATGTAGAAAACAGAACATAGTACAACCAATGATGGAGGGAGCTAGAGCCAGGCTTGTAATATAACAATAGCGCAGTGAATAAGTACAGGAAATATAGACAGTGTCAGTGTATCTACCTGTCAAGGACCCGCTGAACTAATTTGACAGAATTATAGTTACAAGAAAACAATGTTTGCTAGTGTAAGAGTCACTAGCGAGTATGAGTAATCGAAGTCTCACAGAAATTAAATCTCCGACAATAATCCAGAACATGTATTTCGCAACAGGACAATGAAAAAACAAATCAACCTCTCAGATTTGGATGACACACGGCAATGGATTTTATGGATGCCTGGCATAAAGGGCAGGGCTTGTTGAAGAGCCGCCCCCGTTGCATAAGATTCAATACACAATCATAACAGATGAGATCCCCACACTGGATGGACAGCCAGTTCTCCCTCTCCCCCAAGCAGACTGGACATTCCAAACTCTTACGGGCCTTTTGCTCATCCAAAAGTTGTTGAAGTCTGCGTTTCTCCCGTTTGAGTCGATCGATTCTGCTAATGAAAGATTGACACATTTCTCGGTACTTCATTGAAGAGTCATGCTTTTAATATTAGCAGAGAAGCATAACAATGTTTCAAGCTAAGACTTACGCTTTTGGAAGAACGATCGTCAACGTCCCTTTTGCGTTTGCAACCGGTAGATGGTCCTGAAGCATGCTGATCCTGGGTTATGGCGTTGGACGGCTGACAGTTTGACTAACGACAATCATCATCATTCTCTTCAATGACAATGACTTCCGTTGCGTTCTGAGCATGCTCACGACGTGGCTGTGCATCATCATCTACAACTTCGCAGAAGTAGAACTGGTCTCTCGTTGGAGTGTGGGGTTCGGGCGGCAGAGCCTGAAGTGTTTTGTTTGCAGCGTGCATCATATCACAGTTGTTGTCAGACGTGGACTCCGAAATACCAATAACATCTCGATTAACAGGAACATGAGCTTGAGGATTGGGGCGCGGACGAAACCGTTCCTTGTTTGAAAATCGATTTGCCGACCCATTGGGTTCGTAAAAGAAAAATGTATTCATTATAATAGGGAGATGTTCGGCGTTTTCCTGGAGGGGTCATGTGTGGTGTCTATTATATAGCTCCAATCTACCAATATCATTTGATTGAGCACCTCCACAATCTACACGTCTTTCAAATTGTTAGACCAATACACCTGAATCGACCCTGCTGTCCTCCCAGGAAACCGTTCCGTCAAGCGCTTCACCACGTCCGACCATGGCAACTTTTCTACTCTCCTCAGCTGAACCAAAAGGTCAATTTCCTCCGGCTCCCATGACATGCCCTTCCGGCCTTTTGCCGAGGACGGGACACTTTCGGAAGCCGTCGGAACAAGTTGTCGTGTTTGACGGCCACGGCGGCCAGTCCCTTTGATCCGGGCTTTGTTCAATGAGGACGTCGGAGTGGTTGGAAATCCAGACATGCACTGCGAAAGCGCACCATCGAACAGCCAGGAAAGAAACTCCAACCGGTCGTCCACAGGCGCTGTCAAGAAATAAGAACAAAGCGTAGGAATGAGAGGCGTGTTCACATTCTCGTTTGTCGTGGTGCGGGCGCAAACTCTTTTGGATGGCTGTCCTGAACTGTACTCTGGTACAGTCCGTCTCTTATTGGATGATAGGTCTTGGCTACCGTCACCGCAAGTGGGTTGCAACGTGGATGCCGTGCCAGTTTCTAGTTCGGCTGTATGAGCATGCGAAAGATGAGTCTGTTGATCAAGTGGATCGTACAAGGGAGCAGCTCCCGGACTGGTACTCTGTTGTTCAGGCTGAGGATTGGGAGTGCTTGCAAAGTGGTCCCGTATAGAGTCTGATTCTTGTGAAAACTCATCGGGGGATATGAAACCGCTAACACCACTATCTTGCCGGCCGAAATAACCCTGGCTCATGTAACTTTCACCCTGCCGTATTGCGCATTCACAGATTTAATACGCCCGTAAATTACATGTATCGCTGCCTAGATTTGGGTATCTTGCATTTCCATATCTTTCATTCCTTTCTTCTATGTAGCACACCAGTTACAGTACTTAAACATAATACAGCCTTGTACTATAGGATGGCACCACCCCTTGCACGATCAACAGTTCAACTCATATGTGATATGCTAAGAAGTGATGAGCGTGTATCTCGGATTGCGCGTACTGCTGAGTGTAGTCGCAAAGCAGTCTATTATATTCGATCGAACCTTGAACGGTTTGGAAATGCGAAAGCTCCGCCAAACCGCCCCAGGCCACAGCGAATAATCACGCAAACTATGCTGAAAGCATTGTGTGATCATCTCCTGGAAAAGCCGACATTATATTTAGATGAAATGGCGGTCTTTCTGTCTGATGAATTTGACAAAGATGTGGCGATTAGCACCATCAGCAGGACACTTGCCTCAATTGGTTGGTCTAAAAAGGTAGTACGGCAGAAAGCAAAAGAGCGCAATCAAGACTTGCGCGATGAATATGTTAATTATATTTCAGACTTTAGCGCAGACCAGTTGGTGTTTGTGGATGAGTCAGGATGTGATAAACGTGCAGGATTCCGACGAACGGGCTGGTCACCTCTGGGCGTGGCGCCAATCCAAATATGCAAATTTCATCGTGACCGACGCTATCAGATTTTGCCTGCATATGCTCACGATGGTATTGTTCTTTCTCGTATCTTTCAAGGTTCAACAGACGCCACGATGGTATTGTTCTTTCTCGTATCTTTCAAGGTTCAACAGACGCCACGATGTTTGAGGACTTTATTGAACAGCTTCTTAAACATTGTGGAAAATGGCCGGAACCGAAATCCGTTCTAGTCATGGATAATGCATCCTTTCATCACTCGGACCGAGTAAAGGAGATGTGCTCTAGAGAAGGAGTGAAGCTGGTGTACCTACCACCGTACTCACCGGATCTTAATCCTATCGAAGAATTTTTTGCTGAGCTCAAGGCCTTTATAAGGCAAAATTGGCAAGTTTATGAGAAGGACCCTGATCAAGGTTTTGATCACTTTCTGGAATGGTGTGTTGAGATTGTTGGTGCGCGAGACCAGAGTGCCAAAGGCCATTTCCGACATGCAGGTCTGGTAATAGAGGAATATGCATTGGAGAACTGTAGTGTTTAACGATGTCACGAAATGCGGTCAAGTAGATCAATCTGGCGGGTCTTTACACTTGATTGCAAAACCAGTGCGCGCTTCTAATATACTGGTGCTGAGCATGAGAATATTACGCGGAGCCGATGAGAATAATACTATCATTGGTCTCTAGGGACTCCTGTACAGTATTGAGATCTAAATATCATCTTGAACGATAGAAAACCAGTCTAACTAATCTGGAACTAGCTCTGGAACATGGTTTGGAAAGTGGGCCAAATTAGTAGTAGTAGATTCATTACGCCCGGAGGCACCAAGCCTAAAGGGCTCCAATACGCTATCGACTTTCCATTGCATACACTGTGGTCATGGTCTCACTTGGAAAGGAAAAGTTGTACCAGCTGCAAAAACCTCTCTAGCCCATAAATTAAATCTTGAACGATTTTCCTTCATTGTTGTAGTATATTCTCTAAAAGCAATAACCTATCCCTCTAATACACCGGGCCTCCCACGCGTCCATTCTTGATGTAGTTTCGTGAACCTCTTCCCTGAGTAGCAATTTACCAAGAGTACTTCTCACATTAGCGCCCGAAGTAGCTGACTGCCTCGCTGGCGACAATACTAGATAGCAGACGAAGGACTGACGAATCGACTGAACTGGTAGGGCAGGTGAGTTATTGTCAGCAAAATCCGGCGACTATCGATTGGTGGTAAGTGGTCAGGTCAGTGATTTGAAAGCTCCCCGCCTGGTTGTCTTAACTAATAAAGTTTTTTCCACTGGAGTTTTGATTTGGAAAGTTCTTAGCTTCAGCTAGACCATGCAGTCCAACTTACTAATGTCCCTCACTACGAGAAGGTGACTTTCCGCGAGGGACTACATATTGTATCTTCCGTTACAATATGTCTAATTGCCTGATTATTTCCTAACCCTAACTTGTTCTTGGTCCTGCGTTATCCCATGATAGGTAAAGCTCTAAGCTAACCTGGTTGGGTAAGTGTGACAGTTTATCCATTGGCTGTGATGTACTTACTCTAACATCACTCCTATTTCAGAGGGGTTTGAGGAGATAAGAAGGTTATATCTCGCCAGTTTGCTTAGGCATCCTCTCTAGCTCTTTTTTGATACTACAGTTTGTCTAGTTTTGAGGAACATACTAGAAAGTTCTGTGTATTTATAATACAATAACACCTGGTTTTGTATAGTTACATTCAATACCACTTGTAAATTGCTGGATTGATAGACTAGACTAAGTATGGATTAGGTTATGGGAGTGGCGCTGAGAAAGAGTTGAAGAGTTGAAAACCATATAACGCCGGACTTGTAAAGCGCTGTAGTTTATCCGCTTCTGTTCAACTGTGGATCGGTTCAACTGTGGACCTGTTCAACTATGAATCTGTTTAACTGTGGATCTGTTGACTAGTTTAACTGTGGATCTATTTAGATTAGAACCTATGTTGTGAGGCTCGCTACGACCCTGTATGCTTTCCATATATAGTTAAGCTTAAACGGCCATAGATAAATTGGCTCAACCTTACCCTTCAATGGACTAGCGTAGCCTCAAAGTTAAGCCTTCAGAGAAATTATTGATTGGTTCAAAGGCACGTACTGAAATGTTCCTTACCAGCCTTCTGGCCAATGGTAAGTCATAAATCTTGTAGGACTTACTTATGATAATCCATAGTATGTTTACAAATTAGGAATAGCATATCTGACTTCCAAACAAGCAACCCTTCCGAAAATACTAGCACCTTCTTTCTAGCTAGACACCAAGATCGGACGGAGGCCCACTTAATAATCGACGAGTCCAAGTTAATCTTAAGGTCGATAAAAAGCAGATAGCGTATTGGAGCCCTTTAGGCTGGGCGTCTCTGAGCGTAATGAATTTACTACTAGTCTACTTCTACTGTACATGTAAAGCCGAAAGGTTTGAGAAACAATCAAAAAGAGTAATGCCCCGTACAGTACAGTCGTTGTTGTTGTTGTTGTATTCATACACTGACCCCTCGCCGAAGCGATACTGTATGCAGGTAAAACACTATCTAATCCTTGTCTATCTTTATGTACAGTAAACCATTACATACCGACGAATTTAGAGCCTCGTCACGGCCTGTGATGGCCTTAGTGCCTGGCGTTGTGTTAAGCGGCCCTATGACGCGCGGCTTTGAAATCTCTGTGATGCCTCTGCAAAGTCTAGTACCGCACCGATGATGCTACCGCCTTGCATATCATTCTCTTTACCTTTCTTACCTTGAAACCTTCCTCCCAGCATATTTGAAATATCATTGAATGCAGTCCCAATCTTCCTCCGTAGCTCTTGTCGTGGGACCCTCAATTTGGGGCAGTCAATCAGAACATGAATTACTATTTCTATAGCCCCACACTCGCATTTATCGTCTTCTTGGAGTTTGTGTAGTTTGCTATGTGTTGCGAGCCATGAATAGCTCGTTTGAAGCTGCGTGAGCAGGTAGCTGCAATTCTATTGTAGCGAGCCATACATTCTCTAGGTGTGGACTGAGGGTAGGTTTAGGTCTATCTGGTGGAAATAGCGGCCCTTCCCTAACATCTTCCATCCCTGCTCCCATTCCTTCTGGATTCAGTTGCGGATAAATCCTTTCTCCTGTTGAAAGGGGTGTTCTTTCTCAGGGCCCACGGCTTCTTTGGCCAGCCGATCGGCCACCTCATTGCCTGGGTCACTGCAATGCCCCAGCACCTACTGGAGGCGGAGTGGGATTCCCCGTGTTTGCAACTCTTGCGCTGATTGTTGAACCGCTTAGATGATCCTCTGTCCTAACTTATTCCATGCATTGGAGAGGGCTTAAAGCGCTAACATGCTATCACTCAGGATAGTTACCGGTTCCTGTCTATCTGTTATAGCTTGCCGAGTTTCCATCACAATCTTAAGGACAAGACTAATAGCATAGTATATAGCCATAAGCTTGACTGCATATACTGACCAGTATTCCATGGAGCCAATGCTGACTTTCCGCTGTTGGATCACATTATTATTTTAGTCTAGGGCGACCACTGCAGCTCCTAGATGGTTATGTTGGCCTAACACATCCAAGAAAACCGCAATACCAGCTGCATTTTAGAGAGCAGATGCTTTGTGTTTGGCTTTGTTATAGTCTGGTTCAATGTCGATCTCTAGGAACACTGGGATCCGCCATAGTGGTGGAGGGGTTGCGTTGATAGTTTCTAGGGCCCAGAGTTAGGTAAGATCCATTATCTGCAGGGTTTCTGCAAGAGGGAACCAAGGTCCAGTTCCTATATGTAGGCTTCGCGAGGCTGCTCGGACTACCACTGTGTGGCCTAGATGGTCATCTGGGAGGGTACTAAGACAGACGGCAACAATCTGTACACATTTTTTGAGTCATAAGTGGGTTGGCAGTATGCAGGATTCAACCTCAAGCACTGCGGTGGATATGGTCTTGAATGCAGAGAGAATGCGAATGAGGGCTGTTCTCTATATGGTACCCAGCGTCCGCAGGTGGACCTTATCCTTTAATAGGTTGTGCTAGACGGTAGATATATAATCCATAATTAGTATTACGCATACTTGGTAGAGTTGTCGCATCTGCTCTGGGCGGAGGTACCTTAGTCCCCCAAGGGCAATGTTCACCTGGGTTGCGCATTTAACAGTTTATTGTACATGTTCCTTCCACCGCATCTCCTAATTAAAGACTATGCTGAGGAGCTTTGCTGTGTCGCTGGGCTTAATAGTTATCCCATTGATTGTAATTTGTCCCATCCCATGCTATCTTTTGGATCTTGTGAGGTAGATCAGTATGGTTTTCTTCACATTAAATGCGGATCCTGTCCATCGGGCCTATACTTTGATGCGCGGTATATCCTCTTCCTGGATCTTTCTAACATTGTCTTCTGCGGAGAGACCGGCTCGCCATCGAAAGTAGTTATTAATGAAAGCCAACGCGCCTCTATGGTGGTCGACGGGCTGGTCGACCAGGTCAGAGTTGAAAAACCCAAATAAGATGGGGGACAGCGGGAACCCTTGCGCTAGGCCCGCGTGTTCAAGAGAGGAGATCTCTGTTTAAAAGTTGTCGAAGGAGATGCTAGCATAGCGGCTTTCCATGAAGCTGCGGATCCAGTGTCTAGCAATAACTAGGATCCCTTTGGCCTGTAGGCGGGCATCAAGACTTGAGGCGTTCACTCCATTGAATGCCTCTTTGAGGTTGAATGCTATCAGCGTGATCACTTTAGACCGTAGCCACGCGCGATTGATGGCGTTTACTAGTACTAAGAGTGCCTGTTCCGTATTCCGTCCTGGTCGGCCTCCAAACTGTGTGTTTGGGAGCAACTTGTAGATCTCAGCCTAGAATGACAGTCTATGAGCCATGACTGCTTCGAGTATCTTCCCCAGGGTATTTAGTAGGGAGATAGGCCGGTATGCCTCTAATAATCCGTAATCAGGCTTTCCAGCTTTCCTAAGCACTATGATGCGTGCACGCTTTCACCGGTGAGGATAGTGGCCTAGATCCACTGATTTTGTGAAGATGTAGGTGATCACCTTCCAGAGATAGGGTCATAGTTGTTTCTAGACCAGGGTGATAATTCCATCTTCTCCCGGGGCTATCATTCCCTTTGCGGCTTTGAATGACTAGTGTATTTCTAGTTCAGTAATTAGATGCCATGGAATCTCTTCTAAGGGTGTTGCGATGTCTTCATCTTCTGGTTCTACCATCTTAGGGAAGAAAGCTTCGAGAAAGACTTTGGCCTTTGCTTTATTTTTAGTGACTAGCACCAATCCTACCTGGAGGGCGGGGATATTCAAGTAGGGTTCTCGTGGTTGTATACATATTACTGCTTTTCACAGGTGGCCTTCCTGGGCCATGTCGAGGAACTCCTTCTAATGAGTAGCTTTCACCTTCTCAATTGTTTGGGTCCATTCCCGCCGTTTGATGCGCATTTCATTGAAAAGAGATATAGTAATTGCGTAGTTACTGCCCCAGGTAGCACAGCTACTCTGCCATTGTCAGCATGTTTAATTCATAGTAATCTGTTGGGATTTAAGTTCTGCTATAAACCATCATTTTAAATATGGGGATAGCTTTTGCAGTGGGACATGCTAATCAAGAACCTTTGTTGTAATTTCTACAGACAGATGCGAAACCTCCTTCACATGTTTTACACACACTCCCTTCTTTTTGCCCCACATCCCAAGTCTAGCCCCTGAGACTAGTCCAAGCCAGTATTTTATATGTAAATGTAATACTCATCTTTTATATATCTCTGATCTTGAATATATATAATCTTTAAGTAAATTATGTATGAAACTGGTATTGAAAAGTACTAGTCTGAATGAATCGTGGACTACTTCTAGGCAACAGCCTTAGATGTGGGGCAAAAAGAAGAGAGAGTGTGTAAAACATGTGAAGGAGGCTTCGCATCTGTCTGTACTAATCGCTTAACTTCAGAGTCAAGGTCTGTGGTGGTATATATTTCTGGTGTTTAACTAAGTAACTCAAGTAGTTTTAAGCCAATCTTTGCCCAGTCGGCTCAGTTATATGCTCTTTTAGGTTTTATATTCTCGTTGCGTTCTGGTCGTAGGTCCCATTTGGAGTATGTCCTGCGATGGTCCAATCCATAGTTATTATGGTAGAGCTGGTACTTAATCAGTGTGGTAGGATCATTAGTGAGTATCAAGTCCAGCACTGATGCTTTTCTAGGGTGGCTTGGTGACCAGTATGTGGGGATGTTAGAGGGTAGACACCATTGGAGCTAATATTCTTGAAAGAAGTTGATTAGTTCTTCTGCTTGGGTGGTAAAAACGTGACTAACCGCGCGGTGGCTCTATGCTGGATGGTGTTGATTAAAGTCTCCCATCAAGATTAGCCATGTAGTCTTGTTGGTTTCTCTGGTGTGTTACTCAATAGTGGTTTTTATTTCTTCTAGTGCTGATTCTGCAGCAGTGGTATCAGCTACTTCATGCATATCCAGTAGAGGAATATAGACCAAGAAGACAAGGAATTGTATTGCTGCAGTCCATATCTTGATTGCGACTAAGTCTGGATGGTTACAGTAGATCTGTCGATGAGAGGAGGTTGAAATTCGTTTGTTTATGTAGAGGAGGCTATGGAACCAGGTCGATTCCATATTTAGGTATATTGGTCGATATAGTCGCTATGCGCTATGGTTCACATGGGTACGGTATATAGTGATGGATAGTTCTTGGATCAGGAGTAGATCCAGGCTCTAGCTTTGGTGGTCATTGATAAGGGCTTCCATTCCTGCCCTGGATTTCCAGATGTTCAACTGTAGTAGACGGAGTGTGGTTATCATTATTGGGATGCGTTCAGGTTCAGAGGTGTTCGGCATCTCTGATGTCCTGTAGGATGTTCCCCGTTGCAGTCTGCACACCTTAGTCTACAGTGATTCTCGAAATCGGCTTGACCATTTCTCTCAAGTAATGATTGTTCGTGGCCCCACTACTTACGCCGTTCTTAAGAGGGAAAGGGACGTGATTGATCAGCCTATGCTCAATGAGCTAATCAGTGAGAATCCAACGTTTCAGGTACCGTTTAAGAGTGGGGCGAGGTACACTGTAATCGATGAGAAGTGTTTGTCAGTCAAACCGATTTCGAGAATCACTGTAAAACTAGTTATGCAACTATAAACAACTCTTCAAACGCTGTCCGAGACCCACTTAATAAACACTGTTCGAGACTGGTCCAGGTTTACTTATTATTATTGTAAGGGTTGATTCCATCGCGAGATCCAAGGAGCCAATCTGAATGCGAGAAAGATTGATGCCAGCGATCTAAGGCAGGAATACGGACGAATGCCTAGGCCCTAGCACCTGTTTCCGGGTCTCCATCACCTGTACCTGCAGCTCTTCTGCTTCCTTCCATCATCCTTGATTCTTGTATGTTAACGAAAGGTCATTCATACTGACCAGAGTTGAGGGATGCTCAGGCCCTAGCACCTGTTTCTGGGTCGTCATGACCTGTGCCAACAACTTTTCCACTTCATTATTCCTACTGTTTCTGTACAAGCATCTCCCTACTTTCTGGATGTAGTTAATATACTGCTCGCAAAACTTGCATTCACTCAACAAGGATAGAGCGCGGGGTAAATATTCCCTCAAAGCCGTCGATTGATACTGTAGCTCCTCTGTTATCAGACCCGCATGCCGGAAATGGCCTCTAGCGCTCTGTTCTCGCGCACCAACGGTATCTACACACCATTCCAGAAAACTCTCTTGGTGTGGATCCTTCACATGGACTTGCCAGTTGCGCCTGACGAAAGCCTTAAATTCAGCAAAAAAACTCTTCAATGGGGTTCGAATCCGGGGAGTATGGTGGCAAATACTATAGACAAGTTTAACTCCTGCTCTCAAGCACATCTCTTCTATTCGATCCGAGTGATGAAAAAATGCGTTGTCCATAACAAGAATAGACTTTGACTTCGGCCATTTCCCGGTGTTCGAGGAGCCGCTCAATAAAATCCTCGAACATTGTAGCGTCTGTTGAACCCTGAAAGATACGAGAAAGAATGATACCATTATGGGCATACGCAGGCAAAATTTGATAGAGTCGGTCACGATGAAATTTGCATACTTCGATTGGTGCCACACGCAGAGGTGACCAGCCTGTTCATCTAAATCCCGCACGTTTATCACATGCTGACTCGTCCACAAATACCAGCTGATCACGGAGAAAATCAGCCTGTTCATAGGTGCCCTGAGTTGGTTCTTCCTCGTTGGTTTCTGGTCATAACCAGGACAGGCGCCTGCCCATCCTAAGATTCTCAAATATGTCGTTGAATCGTACCATGATACTTGGCTGGTTCAGGGCTTCGTTCTGATTCATTCGTGTTCAAATTTTGATGGAAATGAGATGAGAAATTGATCTGCAGCTGAACCTGCATGTCCTCTGGAATCCAGTGAATAAATTGGCTATGCCTCTACAGTTTACCAAAAGAAAGGAAAGAAAGTGATGTCTAATTAAATGTAATAGCTCAATTCGGTGTTTATTCCGGCAGCGAAGCTAAGTAAATAGACATGAGGAAGGAAAGGGGAAAGGAAGAAGGGTGCCCTAAAGCTTTCCTCTGATATCTCAAGCTCTGTCGCATGACTATGTGCTCAACTAAACCTAACCCTATACTTGTCCTTTACCACTTTCTGCCTTAGGCTCTGTCGTGTTATGGCTACGGCCGTCGCATATGGATCTGTTTGAATGTGGATCTATTTGAATCTAGATCTCTTTTAAAGTATAAATATGTTGAAATATATACGTTAATTTAACTGTAGATCCATTTAACTGTACTATGATACATAGTAGATCTGTTCAAGTGTGGATCTGTTCAAGTGTGGATCAGTTTAAGTGTGGATCTGTTTAAGTGCGGACCCGTTCAAGTGTGGATCTTGTTAGATTACTAGGCCAGCGGTTGAACGATTACTCCCGAGATCGTGCGAACTGTGGGAAGAACAAGTTGGGCTCTGATCTGAACCTCTTTTATGCAGTGCTTTGTCGATTGGGCATCCCCGCATCCACTCACCAAATTCGTGTTATTCCCGTACACTAGGAACTGCCAATATTGCCTATAAATACTGCCTTCTTGCTTCGTGTAAATAGAAAGAGACAACGAAAAGACATACAATTTTGCTTGTTAATTCTACTTCCAATATCTACACTTTCCACATAACAAAGCTAGGAATCATTACCGATTCTGCCCTCACGGATTAGTGCCTACCGACCCACTAATCCAACAGATCTGTTCAAGTGTGGATCTGCTCAATTGTGGACACGTTCAACTGTGGATCTGTTCAAAGTAATCCATCGACCTCCATCAACTACGCACCTAGGACGTATGAGGATAAGGATGTAGAAAAATTCTTAGGTCCGTATGGGGATTGACCAATCACGACCAATTGACCAGCTTTTGTAGATCTTGAACAGTGTTCAAAGAGTGGGTCTTGAAAACTGTTTAATAAGTGGGTCTTCAGTGTTGATTAAAAAATAGTTTATATATGGAGCAATTTTACTATTATCTGCCAGCAACAGCCTCAGAACTAAACCAAACTAAGGAAACCATGCTAGGACTAGCGTATCGTTCAAATATTCCTCCACCACATATCTTCTAAGGATAGTGATAGACAGAAATTTGTCATTCGCTCGTCCACTATCTGTTAGAAATTTAATTTAAATTGTAGACAGAAACGTAGGAATTCACGTGATTCAGAGCTATTATTTCTCTACAATCTTTCGAAGTGAAGACTAGTTTTCAGACTTACCTCAAAGTCCACAATACCCGACGCTTCTCATTTGTTCTTAGCTAGCTACAATTTTAGGCCGTATCTGGAAACATAACGGTATGAGTATTGCATTGTGCGATTCTCTTAGGAATATAGCAGACCATCGGAAGCTACATTTAGACTGCTCCAACAAGAATAGGTACAATGAGTTACGTAGGGTATGTATAGTTACGTTCGAGAGGGATCATGGAAGGCTAAGCACACAAGGTAGGGTATGGAATGTCAATGTACTGAAACCTATCTCTTCTGCTTCCGCAGCGTGCATTCTATATAAGAGATATTCATGTTGTTTCACGGCAATACATTATTAACCATGGCCAGCTGAACATTGACCATGACCAGCTGAAGTATCCACACTTTTAGCACTCTCTATTCTAACCCTAACCCCTAGGAGGTTTGACAGGCTTGTCGGTTGTTACAGTTTCTCTTTGGCATAGTGTTGTACGAAAATGATGACTTAGATATTACCAGTCCGTTTCTTAAGAAGAGACATAGAAATATTGCTCGTTCCAAAGAGAAGCTCGTACAGTACAGACAGATGCGAAACCTCCTTCATGTTTTACACACTCTCTTTAAAGCTGTTGCTTGAAGCTAGTCCCAACACGATTAGACTGATATTTTATGATACCATTCTATACACGATGCTTACGCTGGTTTATTGATTTTTGAAAGGATTTGTACTATTCTCTTGATACGTTAGTATTATAGTGAAAGATAAACTATTATTGCGCTAGCTTTGGTAATAGCATGGGGAGTGGAGCAAAACACATAAAAGAAAGTGTGTAAAAAGGTGAAGGTTTCAAATCTGTTTGTAAAAAGTGGTCGTGTCCAGCAAGTGTATATGGGTCTTAATAAAAACTAGATACTACAATAAACGACTCCTTTCCTCTCACTATTGCTTAGATACCCCTTAGTTGGCTGTACGGGGCCGGAGTCAATCCATGAGCCTGCAGTTGTCAATCCTAATGCCAACAGTCACATGAATATACCCAACGTAGTGAATCTAGAGCTAAATGAACCGACTTCAAACAGGTCAAATTCGTCCGAAGATGAGTGTCTTATTCAACACCGTATAGCCTAATAGTTATTCAAGTATGGAGTAGAGATAAAACAGTGGGGCATCAGGGCAAATGAAGATAATGTTTACTAGTCAAACTAATTTCGAGAATAACGGTAGTAGTCTGTGTAAAAAAATTTTTAAACAGCTCATTACATATTTGGTATATTTCAGCGGGTGCATTAGCCGTTAAGTTGAATACTGCTATTAGTTATAAGTACCAGATATGACTGCTACCCACCTTGCAAGAATGGAGGAAAGTATTTTGCACAATATTTAGACGTGAGAGCTAAGACTCATGGGTAAGGTCATTTGAAACCAACATAGTGAGCATTTAAGTACTAATATAAATATAAGAGGTTCGGATGCATGAGTATGCGAGAGCGGAAGCGCCAAAATATCCACAGTGCATTCCGCTCGGCATCTCGCCGGACTATGTTAGCGGCTGGGACACAACTGCGGCTTTTAGAGAACTTTATCAAAACTGGTTGATGCTTTCATGCCTTTCTATGAACTCTTTTCTGACTCGAGAAGGAGGGATGCAATTATAGAAATATTCAACATAAGCTGTCATGATTTCCAACCGTGCTACGTAAATGATGAGAACTCTATATCCATCATAGTTAAGCAACCACCGTACATGAAATTGGAAAGACAGACGTTAGGGGTTATTAGATACGAGAAAGAATCAGGCAAAGTTATTTTAGTAAATATATGTGCCCAGCTTTGGCCCGAGTATCTCCAGCTCAGGAAAACATCGAAGCACAAAAAGACCAATCTTGCCGGCTGTCACGGAGAAGGACTCAAAATCGCAACGATGGTCATGTCTTGGAATGGTTATGCTGTCAAGATTTATTCGAATAGCTATACATGGAGTTTCTGCTTTCAGGGCCTGACAGATTCTCAAATGCACTGTCTGATCACTCCTGCAACAGTCCTCCCTTTGGCTCAGGTTAATGTTGCTCAAGATACCAATTGCTTCGTTCCATGCATCTGTAGAGATGTCTCTATTATAATAGAGCGAGGCCACGATGGATCTCGCGTTTCCTTGGAGGAATTCAGAAGATGGCTGACTGTGTCGCTAGATATTCGCGGGTTTTCATATCCCGCATCTATTGTAGAAACTGATCATGGGAATTTAATATTAGACCCGGACTACCAAGGCAAAGTCTATCTGAAAGGGCTGTATCTTCCATCGCCGTCTTCGGATGCCCGTTCATATAAGCTTGGCTATAACTTTGCGGATGGCAAAGTGAATTGTGACAGGCATAGGTTAGTCGACATATCCGAAGAAGCAGATGTAGTGCGATGTATTTGGAAGCTGCTATTGAAAAAGAAGCTTCCGTTATACTTCCAATCTATGTGAATTTGCTTCAAAACTTCCCACATGCCCTTGATGTTGAGTCAGCAGACTGACTGTTAGATAATTCCACAAGAGAGTTGATTTGGAAGTTTCTTCTCAAAGAATCAAATGGCAGGCAGTTTTTTTATTGCGATCGCTTCGGGCCTCACGTATGGGTTTGCGAGATATCTCCAATGCAAATGAGGAAGCTAACACTATATTAGAGCTTTGACACGATCAAAGAGGGTCTGAAGAAAGAACCCATTTCTTTACCAGACATCCTTTGGAACATGTTACGGGCAAATTCGCTTTTAAGAACAGCGAACGAGGAGCAGTTCTATTCGTTCAAGAAAGCTAAAATCTGCAAGGTTCCAGAAACGTTATTTGCAAAAAACGTTGAGAGAGGTCTAAAGGCCTCGATGGCACTGTGGAAGGTGATCGAGAAAATCGAGTTTGTAGAGAGTCGAAATGTAAATGTGGAAATGGTGTTTGATCCCGGCGAGAACTCACTCAAAGTTCACAACCAATGGCTAGATTATGGTGCAATGCACACTAAATACAGATGCCGTTCTATCGTCCCAAAGGACAGTTTCGTTTGCGATCATATTGTGGAGGAACTCGTGCGAGGAGTGATGGGAGTAATATTTAAGAAGTTTATCGCACGCGACTAAGAGGGCTATCTACGTACGATAAGGGACAAACTTCGATCGATGCCACGGGACATCCATATGGGAAAGACCAGTGAGCCTGGATGTCTTCAGGTGAGCTGGCGGGATGGAGAAATCGAATTACTGACAAGGATACTTAGGACAATGATAGCATTTCATGTTGTTCTACACGAAGAGACATGTGTCGGCCTGATGTCGCAGCTTCTATATGAAGAGCAAGGTAATAGTCAAGAGCTCTACTACAATATGAAAGTATACATTAACGATCAGTTATTTGACATAGTTGACCCTCAAATCGAGCGGGCATCATGCGGCTGCCAACAAATAGTTGTATCTCAGAACTGCAAACTGGCCGTTTTTCGCAATTTAGATCATACTTGCAGCTATTTTCCCATGATAGCTCGAAATCAGAAAATGGCTTTTTACAGGGTTCCCCCGCCACCTACTTCCCTTATATAACTGAGACCATCACTGCAGTGTCTTGAACAATTCGTTACTCAGCGCGCAATATTAAAGGGAAGAGTACAGTAATTGCATATTCACAGTACAGTACTGTACCTTGATACGCAATGTGTGATGTATTCAATTCATGTAAACTAAATTAGTTGGGTTAGATTATTCTCGTTCTACCGTAATCTATTCTCTAAGAAGTACGTATCAATCATACAGTGTGCAGGACTATGTTGTCAGTCCGGTAGTATAATGCTAGGACTGATCGGGATATTCAGATTATTGTTGCCATGGCATGAAAGGCATGACTAATCCTACAAAAAAACACATTAACTTACCATTTGATTTACGCTTAATCATACCTTATTTGTGCAGTACTTACGTACAGTAGTGTACCACATACAAGATAATCTTTGAGAATCGCTGGGCTATGATCGGTCATTACTGTATATATCCAAGGGAAACCGAGAATTATTCATGCATCTTTTATTATGGTTGCTACCTAGGATTCCTGATATTGATAAAGAGATGCATTTTCAAATCGCTGCTTTATTCTCCTGCTTGTCGGCCTATGTCAAGAGCACTGGTTGATCTATGGTGGAGAGTGCTTTGCGATCTCCTATTATGATATTGAGCAACCTGATACCCGTCACACAAGCCTTTTTGATATGAACTCCAGTCCTACAAAGTGCGGTCTATCAGCCGATGATATCAATTCCAATTACGGCGATCCTATCATTGCAAGGCGTTCTTGACTTTAAGAAGAGGACAATATGGCTGAAATCCCTCTCAGAGAGATCAAGTAGCACGAACAAGCAACCATGAATTGCAGGGGATATCCGGATGTGGGAGAGCCATAGCCCGCGTCATCAATTGACAACCAAGTGGCCATCTTTCCTGAAGCTGGAATCGACCTCTCGCAAGGGGTGCAGATCCGAAATCGGAGAGTCATCAAAAGCGATTCCATCATTGAACTTCAAACCCTCCACCACTCATGATCGTATCTCCAGAAGGCAACTTGAAGACTCCGAGGTTCGGGATCTTTGAGAGGACACTGGGGGCAAGCTCGGTTAATGCTTGATTCGTGGTCGTGCACAAGAGCAATCTGGATACCATTGTGGCAGGTTCCTTCATCAATAATTGGACATGTACAGTCGTGTACCCCTGTCTGCTTCGAACTGGTCCTCAAATTTTTGGACGACCACCAGCCCATGCTCAAAGCGTACTAGAATAACCTGATATCGAACCACTTCTACTATTCTGCCTCGCCTTGTGCTTCTGCTTGATCCAGATTAGTTGTAGTGTCGCAAAAACGGTTGAGTTGGTAACTCAATGTTACAGGCCAGTCCCGTCATATGAAGCACTAAAAGTTCATCCCTAAGGTGATAACGTACATAGGAAAGAAAAAGAGAAAATAGGCAGAATTCCTATTGAGAATACCGCTTAATATAGGCAAAGAGGACCGTATCGTTTCTCCGGGGTTTCCTTTGTAAGTCCGGGTAAGCAAAACGGACACTCCCACTAATAACACAGTCGCTCCGAATAATAACTCCAAGCTACTTCTGTAACTCCGTGAGGCTAAGTATTGGCCGCCCAATATCATCGGCTTAGCTAATCCAACATATTCCTAAGCGAACTTTTTGTGGCCACTTTTTAGGGTTTAGGAAATAATAAAAGAGATTGGTAACCGGGCTTGGTTAGACAGCGTCTATGTGCGACGGACGGAATCGTTGTTAATCCTGTGAAATGAGAAGACAGTCTACATCAGAGGACAATCATGGCATCAAAGGCTATTCCGATAAGGACATGAAGGTGACTGGCTAGGTGATGAGACAGCAACGCTAGGATCGGTGAGAATGTGGGCGAAAATGAGAAGAGCAGAGCTTGTGCCGGCCAGATTATGATATATGGAACTAATTCAAAAAGTAACATGTAGGTAGTAATTGGCAACGCTAGATCGACTGACTCATATCTAACTGTTCTTGTTCCGTACATTGCAACGCCATCCCATCAACTTGAATCAACTGCCATATTTGGCCAGTCCCGGATAGAAGGGTTTGCAGGATTCAATCGGTTTTCTGCAGCAAGGACAGTTAGAATTGAATAGTGGCTCAGCCTCATTCAATTCACTTATACATGCGATACAAAACAGATGACCACAACCAAGCTCGCGCCAAGAATCCTTCGACTGATAACAGATTTGACACTGCAGGTACTTGAGATTCTTTCGTTCATTAAGAGCCTGTTGGAGTTCCTGTGCCCACCCTTCTAAAGCATGTGTTTTCTTATCTGAAGCACGTAGTTGCTCTTCTAAAGCACGTACCTTCTCTTCTGAGGCACGTAGCTGCTCTTCTAAAGCACATGCTTTCTCTTCTGAAGCACGTAGCTTCTTTTGAAGGTCTCCTTTTTCCTTGCGTAAGATATTCGCCGCAGATTGAAGGTTCTTTGCCCACACTTGACCCTGATCTCGAATATTTTGAGAAAATTGATCCTAGAAAGTGTCAACCCAAAGGATTAATAAGCGGAATATTAAAATACGAACCAATATGGAGTCGACCGGGATTATATTGTCTTTGTCTTGCCTCCTCCGTTTGCGTGAAGGATTAGTGACATCCTTTATCATCCGTTCATAATCTGAGTAGCTATAGTCAGGCTTCTTCAAATTGGCGCGCCGTGGTCGCGGTGATGAAGCTACAGCTCGATCATCGTCGTCGTCATCATCGAGCATGATGAAATCTGCAACGCTCTCGGTGTCGCGAGACGACGATTCGTCTAGGGGGATGGTTGATGGAAGAGAGCCCACGGGGCTTTGCTCGTGGTCTGCTCTTGGGGCAAGACTTTGAATTCCCTCGCTCGTCGTTGCCACTGGTGAGGAGCGTTGAAGTGTTTCCATGATGGTAGCAGCCAGGCAGGAGGAATAGAGAATATTTTTTAGAACGAAGAGGCAGACCACAGTGAGCATCAACAACCTTTTTATACCCCAAGAGTTAATGAATGAGCCAACACTAATGCTACCTTACCATGCATAGCCATAGCCTTCTCTATCCACCATTAACTTGCCGATCGCCATGGCTTGGGATTCTTAACCAGTGATAGTATTGGACTCTGACATGATCCTAATTATAGGCTCACATACTGATTAGTAGCCCTGCTGGCAAGATGAGTAGCTGGATGCCATGATGTAACTAATGCGACGTGACGAGAATAGCCCAATGACGCGATAATAATAGCTGGTCCAGCGTGCCTTTTCTACATCATGAGTGACAACATCTGCAGGACTAATAGATAGCGTGTTACATCTAGACACCAATCTCCTCATCCCAAACCCTCTAATGGTTAATCTGAACTCCGTCGCAAGTACACAGTATGATTGCTATCTTGGCCTTCTAAAAAGTTTAAGCTAGTGTTTCCTGCTGACAGCTTTTCAGACCTTGGTGGCCAATCTCTGATGCTGTAGATAGTATACGGAGAAACCAGTCTGCTATTGATGTCGTATGATACTTGTCGCCGTGGCTGGTTTTCGGTGAATCTCGGACTTGACGAGGAAGGCATTGCTAGCATGGATTTCCTTGATTTCCACGCAGAGTACGTCTTCTTCCTTGAGAGAGGGAACATTCTAGGCAATTCCTGGACCACGCCAACGCACCTTAAAGTCGATTGATTGGCGCAAGCTGTCCGACTCTATCCTCGATGTTGTAGCGGCGGAATGAGCCTTGCATGAGCGCTCTGTACCACCAAAACGGTAGCATTGACCCGTGGTGTGTCCCTGACTCAGAGGATTCGTCACTGTTCAGCGTTGACTTGTCCTTATCAGGCAGGAGGCCATGAGGCGCTGTCAGCAGTATGTACCCTGACACTCCGTTGGCCAGTTGTAGTGTAGCTGCATATTAATAGTCATATCAGCAAGGGTTAGCGTCTACCTTGCTACCAGCCATAATTTTCACGCTGTTTATTCCGAAGTGGGAAATGCTTGTGAAAATGAATAAATCCAATTCCCTATTAACAAAAGTGGAAGTCTGTACCAAAGTGAGTGGCTCTGTCATTGTTCGATTCGTAGTCATGTTACTGATGGAAACAGATCCAGTACAATTTCGCAAGGAACAAGCCATCGTCTCCGACAAATCTGGCATCCCTAGGCTGACTGGTTAATTGCTTGTCACGTCTATCGTCCGGTGAAGTCTTGGTCACGGGGAGCTTGGTACTAACTTCCAAATGGTAGTCGGGTGCACTCGATTATGCAAAGCTATTGGCTACTGAGATAGCCTCGCGAACTCACGCCGCTCTCGTTGAGGTCGAAAAGATTTCATTTTTTAGACCGTGGCATTCGAAAATCAGCTCGGCCTTCCTTCATTTTGCCTTTCAAGTCAACTCTACGTCATTCGTCCGCCAGTTTCCAGGAGCTGAGACCAACCTCCCCAAACTGATGTGTCAAGACAAATAGTCAGTCAGTCAGCTAATCACTGTGCGAGCTGCGCTCAAGACATTCAAGAGATGTAGATGTGACAAGTGATTGGATTATTCATGGATCAGGGGCTATTAGCTATACGGAGAACTCCGTGCATAGATACCCTAGAGCGTCAGGCAAGCTGTGCCATCGAACACGGATCTGAGGCAAAAACAAGTAATGCCGAGCTCATAGTTAATCCTGCACCATAAGACCTCTACTATATGCAGCTAGTTCAGTGTTGGTTTAACTACGGTCCGTATCACGAAGCATAGACGGTAGTAAGGCGCGAACACGAAGCGGCCTAATGAGCCTGACAATATGAAGATATCTTGATTCCTAATATTGCGACTTATCCCCAAGAACGAGGGGGAACGGGGGGATAGCTAGTTAGATATACACGCGGCACGCACGTGCCACGTGAGACTAAGTAGTCCGGTGCCGAAACGCGTAGAGTTTGATATTCACGTTCCGACATTCAGAAGTACCCAAAGAAAGATTTCTCTCATAGAGTCATACTTCCTTCACTATCATTTGAACTCCATCCATTCTAACCATTTCATTCAGCACCACAATTGCACACGGCTGAAAATGGCATTCAAGCTGCAAGTCTGTCGTTCATGCAGGAAGAAGTGGCTATAAGCTTCATCCTGCCATCATGGACTTCTCCAATCCGCACAACAGTGACCTCCAGACAAAGCAAAATAATGAATCTTTGAATGGACAAAGTGAGCCCGAAAATGTGGAAATGCGACAGTAGATAAAGCACGGAAACAAGACACCAAAGGATGTGATAGGAGTTATGCCTATACCATAAAATGTTGATCCATCAATGGATAGGACGTTTTGTACTTGAGCAAGCTGGTACCTAAGTCGACCGAGTGTCTCACCAAAATCACGCTACAGAGAGCGGTGATTAAGCAACTGTACCAGCCACCACGCCATCGTAAGTATGAAAGAATTTGAGACTCGTCAGGAAATGAAACAATTTCAGTGTGTCGTCCTCAGCGCTTGAAACACCCTCGAATTCCAACCGTGGCCCTCCTTTACAATCCGAGAATTTCAAACTGATTACTCGATCAGAATGTAGCAGTTTCATTTCCCAGCAGCTCTTATATATTTCCGTCTCGACGTCTGGTGGACCTCGCGTGAGGAGTATGAGGCGGTAAAGAGGTAATTGTGAAGATATGTGAGAGAATATAGTCGTATTAGAAATCTCCTTCCCAATTGCATACATACACATTCATTTTCAAACCCTAACGCCAAGTGTTGTCTACTTGTATATAGCTAGCGTGTTTTAAAAGGAACCAATTACTTAACTGTACATACGTCAAGATGACCCATAATCAGTCTATTTATGGATTAGTACTCTTGGCATTAGGGTTTGAAAACGAATATCTATGTATGCAACTGGGAAGGAGAGTTCTAGCGCGACTGTAGTCCATGAAAAGACTTATGGCAATCGCAGTCGTCGGTGGACTTAATTTTATGGCAGCGTGTACAACGCTGTCTGTGCATCGCTCCAGTAAAGTTCGTCATCATATTAACGTATCATGGATTCCGAACTGTACATATGTCATTCCTTGATCATTGAGCAAGCTCCACCTTTATTCAGATAAGATTGTTGGCAGAACGCTTCCTTTTGCTCGTACTCGTTCAAATAGTTCTCCCCTGGACCAAGCTGCGAGAGCTCTTCATCCAGACAAGGTGAATGGCGTTTTTTTTCGTAGGGCTTCACCCAAGGTCGCGAAAAGTCTCTTCTGGGCTGACCGATCAAGTCTCTCAAATTCTTCGTATGTTAGGTCAGTTACTGTGTCAGATCCAGATTTTATCTATCCTTGGCGAGGAAGATTTGACGCTCATTCTTCGATGATAGTCTTTCTCTTGGGAAAGTCAAATAATAGGATGTAATCAAATAATCGTATCAGGAATGTAATTCATGTATAAGAAGTCATCAATGGATACAGGCTGACTGATATATTTGTTGATTCTTCTGCGCAGCTAATTTGCACCGCGTGATCGATGAAATATGGCCCCCTGTTCAACCAATTCAGCTAGCACTCGCCTCGCCAACTGGCGATTTTCTCTTCTTTTCTCATTTCCGCGGGTGCCGCAAATTATAATCTTACTGGGTCCATCGATGAGCTTGCTGCAGAGTCACACTGTTTCAATGTCATATTAGAGCTAGAAATCTAGTTTGCATATCAAGTTGCATATCAAGTCATGAACGAGATCATAGTTTATCCGCTTCTTTCCGCGAATGAGACAGAATTCTATTTGAAATGCATATTCGGCCGTATCGAAGCAAATTCGGAATTGGAATGAAATGAGTAGGATGAACGGAATAGCTAATGGGATTCTTACAAATTGAACTCATGTTAAAACTAGTTATGCAACTATAAACAAGTCTTTAAACACTGTTCCAGATCCAATTAGTAAAACGCTGTCCGAGACCCACTTAATAAGCACTGTTCTAGACACCCTTGGAGGCCCACTTTTTGAACCCTGTTCAAGACCCACTCATTAGATAGCTTTCAAGACCCACTTTTAAACAACGTTCAAGACCGACATAGAAGTTCCACTTATCGTGAGCATTGAACATTTGTTTACATTCCTAACAGAGTTCTGCAGACTATAACCCCGAAGTTTATAATATTCATCCTGACACTTCCCAGATACCTTAGAATAATGCTACCAAATCATGGCCACAGATTAGCCCATTCGCACATTCCAAACTTGTTCGTATGTTCATCATTGGCGAATCAGATGATCTAAATTTCGGACATTATACCCTAAATCTTCCGCTATGATTTTATATCGCTATATCGATTTATATTGGTCATTGTGTGTGAGAATTTTGACTAGGGCAATGAAGTCCTTTTGGATACATAGCGCATAAAAGGTTATAACTAAAGATGGAATGTGACTTTTGTTGAAAACGAATCCAAAAAATAGATTGGTATAAGTACAAGTCAGATCGAATTTTTTCGCTAAGACAATGAGTTATCGTAGTGTTGATATCCTCTAAGCCAAACCATAGCCGAGTCTCCCTCTATGGTTTTGGATGTGAAGAGCGCATGCGGTCTAATTAATTTCTTAAAGTGTCTAATAACAGAGTTTTCTTATGTGTTAAATTTAGTCATAAGTTTATTATCAATTGTTTCTACTGGTCACATGCGACTCTTAGAAGGCTGGTTAAGAACCTAATAACAAGTATAGCAGACTGTTTGAACCGATTATCTCGGTATCTCTATTCTAATCCTGACTCATAAGTAGTACTCAGATTACTACCAACTCTAGCGTTGTTGAGATCTTCTTTCTATATACTATTCGCAGCTGGCTCATATATAGTATGTGGTGCACTGGTTGTTGCAGTGCCAGCCAAAGAGGAGAGAATTAATTAGCTGTACAGTAATCTCTACATTTTGTTTGCAAGTCAACGTTCAGACTGTGTTTCATCAGCCGAACGTAAACTGTAGACGTTACCTTGGCTTACATATTGTGGCTCGTCAAGAGCTATATGAATTGACTAGCTCCTGTTCATATTGCCATCCAAATCTGACTGAGCAATGGGGTTTACCCCAACTGATACGTTCACCAGAGCCTGTAGAGATGTCTCATACGTCATTTTTCTTACCTGAAGTTAGCTCTATCTAATAAGGAGGAAGGGACCGAAGGGAGTACGGAATATATAGCCGTTTATGTGATCCACCAAGTCCTTCCGTAGATTTACTTTTCACCAAGTCGACCTCGAATCCATGAATACACCAGACTATGCCCAAAACGTACTGGCATGCCCTGATAGCGAGCCACCTGCCTCGCTGTGTATTTCTGCTTAAGACATGATTGGTTGTAGCGTCGCAGCTTGCGTGTTGGCATGCCAGAAACTTGTTGGTCCGACTATAGAAAGGCTTCCATCTGCACTTTGTTCTGTTCTCCTTTTACCTCTCATCCATCACCAAGCCATATTCTTACTTCAACGTCGCAATAATTGACTATATAGAGGTATAGGTACCTGATATCACAGAGTAAGCCGCATGCTAATCATAGACTTGTCAGCTTCGGAAACTTATCCTTCAATTCTTCTGAGAAGTTGCAGCAGTTGATCAAGCCATTGCTGCGGTGATCCGAAAAGTCACGACAAGCCATGGGTCGCCAACCGCCTCGCCACTTATCCTCAAAACGCAAACGGGAACAAGTTCTGAGCCCTTCATCCCCCCCCGCTTCAAAGAAGACGCGATACACAATGCCATCGAGAAGTTATTCGGACGAACCAATCCCCTCAATAGAGACGAAACGTGATTCACAACAGGGAATAACTCTCAAGGAGGATGAGCCAGGATGCGAACTGCCTTCGTCTCCTGTATTTATCGATGAAGGCGTACTCGTTGGTTTTTGGTACGCCGATGCAAGTGGAAACGGGAGGCGACGGGTATATTGCTTGGTTAAAGAAGACTTTGAATTTGCATATCAGGAGGGGAAAGAATTCATCCTGATACGAGACATCGATTTTGATCCGCTGCCTAAATTTGGTGACTGGCGGGGTGATGATACAGAAGATGAGAACGCTATGAGCCCAAAAAGGATAAAAGAGTGGGCGCAGAAAATGTGGAAGCTCAGAAATAAGGCCGAAAATCAGCGCATGACACTCACAGATTTGATCCACCGCGAATTAAGACATGTAAGAAAGCGACTGGCAAGAGTCTAAGCTCTCCAAAGTATAGAACATGTAATAGCGATAATATAAGGATTCTGGTTAGTGGCATGTCAAGAGGTGCTTCATTACTTGAGACTAATAGTGCCATTCAAACAAGTACTTCCAGCGGCAACCGAACCCATGGGGGTCACCACTCCCCGGTTACAGTACACATGGACCAAGTATTACCGTCATTACTGCAGACAATGGCTCCACTAGTGGAGCAGGCATGTCCACTCGTGGAACTGATAGCTTTGGGCGCTGTGCTGCTAACGGTAGGCAAAACGGTGTTAGGGTGAGTAGAAGAGCCACCGGACGTGCTGCTAGAAGATCTATTACCTAAGAAGATCCGATGCAGGTATATCCGGTCCCCGTAACACGACCAACAACATCAGGTCCGGGAAAGGGAAAGTTGACTTCCTGGCCCTCAATTGTTGTACATCCACCAGGTCCCTTGACATTGGCAATAAACATTGGTGGACGAGAGCTGAAAGGAGTCGCGGTATGAGAAGCTATCGTGTCACGGGCATTCAAGACCTTGCTTAAATCTCCTTCGATAGTCACCTGTGCACAATTCATGTACATCTCGCGATTACCAATCTTATTGAACCACGACCAGGCAAACAAAGCCTTACCAGAAGGAGCATCTGAGGGGATAGTAAAGGTATAGTTAGATGTTAAAGGACATCCGCCTTCCAGTGACTGAATCACGGTAAAAGTTTTGCCAGTATCGTAAGATAGGGACAATTGGCAAGAACCGCCACCGTGCGTAGCAGTCCCAGTAAGGGACATATCGTACTGGCTGCCCGCAACGTAGGTCGCGACAGACTTGAACGCGTCGTTTTGGTAGCCTTTGCAAGGAAAGTTTGATCCCGAAGCGTCTAAGGGGTTGGTGTACGAATAATCTCTCTGGTCTTCGTCATTATTGTGGTTTAAAGGGCTTCGAATGGGATAGGGATTGCTCAACTGCATGTGTGCAGAGACTGCAGCAGCCAGAAAGGCGCAGATAGCGAGATTCCTCATCATTAGATAACGGTTTTAGCTTTCAAGGTTCAAAGGTTCTGATAGGAGTGGATACTAGATACCAATCCGGAGTAGTTATTTCTTCGTTGAAAGGAAGATCGAGTTGAGAGGACCCGATTCAATAGATATGGCATCCCAGTGTTCTTCTAGATCTCATCTTTTGATCAATGTTTCCCCGGCCCGCACTCGCCAACGGTCCTGGGCAGAGCAAAGTCCTGGGTATGATCAGAAGAGACATGGCAGCAATTTCGTTGGGTACTTGGGATTTATGATGGCATCACCTTTGCTTATATCGCCATGACGAGGCACGCACCGCAGAAACGACATGCACAAGTCCGAGACTTGCCAGGTGGAGCTTTCTTAGCGGTAAGACTCTGTGATATTATTGGTGAAGTGCCAGCGCAGCGAGGCTCAACTGGCGTACCAATCAGGAAGAAACATGTATTAAAGCGAGGAGTTTTAATTCTTCATTATAGAGAAGAATTCCCTGTTCCAGACAGATTCATGACTCACCATTGGCCAGAACGCTGGTGAGGAACATTTCAGGACGTGCCTTGAACCAATCAATGATTTCTGAAGGCTGGTTTTTTGAGGCTACGCTAGTCCATTGAAGGGTAAGGCTGAGCCAGTTTATGGAGACCTATGACCGTTTAAGCTTAACTAGATATGGAAGGCAAACAGGGTCGTAGTAGCATCGTGGGCAGTAGGCTGGAGCGGTGTGTTAAGAATGTGGCGCCCTTTTGAAACCCTGATGTCTCCTGGCAAACCTCACAACATACGTTCTAATCTAAATAGATCCACAGTTAAATCAATCCGGTTGAATGGTTTTGCTTGAACGGGTCTACAGCTAAATAAAGCCTTACATATTTGAACATAGTTGTACTTTTAAACAGATCTACGCATATATTTGGACCAACCCAGACCTGTTGTTTGCCTTTAGGTGTAGCCGCAACGGGAAGTTGTCGGATTGCTGGGTTAACTTCAGACCAATCCTGAATAGTATTTTACAAGGATGGGAAAAGAAGAAGTGACTAGCAAGATTGTATGCGTTCGTTCTCCGACCTCTGTCTATCTATCAGGTTTCAAAGCTAGGTTTTCATAAATACTTTAGCGTGGTGATTTGTGAGCTATCATGAGGGGTAGACATTGGGCCGAAATCTCAGTGCCCAGATATATACCCTAAGGTGTCTTTTTAGACCTGTAAGATCGAACAGCCGATCTCTCTGCCTCGTTTGAAGTCCGGATTATCTAACAGAAGTCGCGCCTCTCGCGTCACCATTTGCGGTTAAGCGCCCTACCAGCGCCCAGACAAACTCCACGCCACTATATAAACCACCATCTTTCCATTTTAACGACACCCCTCAACCACTATTATCACGCTCTTCCTCTCTAACCTCTTTTCCGTTTCACAGCACGATGTGACCACTGTGCTAGTCATCGCCCTGCGTGTTGACCATGACGTTCTTCTTGGAGTCAATTTTGTCCTATTTAGGTCGCCTGTCAGCTCCTTGATCTAGAGTTCTTGTCAATACCCTTGTGGAGCATTCGCGCCACTATCTCGATCTAGCCATTCCGGCCGAGGTCGATATCGACCTCAGTAGACATCTTCACTGTTGGGTCCTCGAGTCTTCCTGATCCGGCGTAATTGTCGTGCCAGCTATCCTCTGAATATTATCCTAATTTGGTCATTCGCTAACTGGGAGATTCTCGGTTTGTCGAGCTCCTTCTCCTTGTATTTGGTTATCTCCTCGCTCACCCACTCAAGTAGGCATTGTCAACGTTCCAGTTCAGGTGCCATCGACACGTCACAGTTTACGCAGCTGTAGTGGACAATGCCTACTTGATAGAGCCAGTGTTACATCGCTGATGAAATATCAGTACGTGAATCGCGCGACTCCGCAATGCCTCAGCTGAAAAACGGACATTGTACCTCCATTGGTGGTGTTCCGGATGAAGAGGGGATGATACCTATGCGACCATCGCATTGTCAGAATGGGGCTTCGCCGTTGGCTCACTGAAGGCGATAGACACCCCACCATGAATTTCAGCGTCGCATTGCGCTAGTGCTTGACACTATGAAATGTCGCACGTGTAGACTGGATTGTCATGGTGAGCGTATGTGGCTTTCAGTTGAAGGTCATATGAACCATTATTTCGAAACATCCGCCTAAGGCGAAAAATATTCTCCATTGGTTTTCAATCCTGGTAAAGATTGGCTGGTGTATGTAGACGTCAGATTCTCGTCTCGACGGTTTGACTGATCGGGGCTGACGAGTAACGTGTATAAACTGTTGACTGGAAAGTTTTTGTTAATCACCGAGTGGCAGTGTTACTATGAATCAGCTAAACAAGAGACCTAAGAATGGAAAGTGACGTGTGAAGTGGATAGGGGAAAAAGTCGCAAGTCGTACGCCTAATTGAGAGACTTCGTGGATTGCGGATGGTCCCTAAAGACCAAGTAGATTGGTTTGCGATGATGTAAGAGCAAGTATGAAGACTGGTTACATTGCCCGTCAATCCCTTACAGTGTATACTAACCCCTTGTTTGTTTGAAACCTGTTTTTTATACAATAAGTACGTTTTTCTTTAACAAACCTAATGGGTCGGCAACTCAATTTTCAAACAAAGAATAGCTTCGTCCACGCCCCAATCCTTAGGCTCATATTCCTGTTAATCAAAATATGGCTTCTCACTGGTAAAAAGTGCTAGACAATAAAAATCCTTACACACTAGTCAGTGTTAGTCGTCTAGACTCAGTACTTGATAGCTAGGGGAAATCTGCAGAAGCGGAGGTCATGCATCGGCAAGCACTAATATTGGACGCCATGCTGGTTTCATTATTATCTCTAAGGCTTTATCTGTCTATGACTGTGCAGTACTGCAGCAACTTCGTATCAATCCTGGATCATCATATTGCTGATATGTAGTACTGTGCTTTTCAGTTTTCAATGATAACTTAAATCGTTGTCCTATATATTTACTTGAGTAGTTTAATGATATCCACCAATTCTAATTGACAGTTCTGCATGAATGTCTCGGAAATGAGGTTGGGCTAAATACTATTTATAAGGGATGTATATAATCCAGACTCTAGTAATTGTAAAAATAAAATCTTACTATGTTTATCAGTGTCAACCACTAGTGTCCCCACAGTGGGGTAAAATATAAATATAGTGCATAAAAGACAAATTGTTACGAATCAAGCCTGCATGACGCTAAAGTATACTAATGCAGGAAAGGAAAGGTTGTAACGGTTACAACTAGTAACACCTTATCAACAAATAAGTAGACATAAGGTCACGTAATAATAAGAAAGCTATAACATTATCTTATCAGAGATAAGAGTATACGAAACAACGGGTTATGATTGGATAGGAATCGTATACTGAATACCGAATACTGTACTGGGAATTAAGTATACGATATACAGTATATAAAACGTGGAGGACTGGATATGTAAGGATGCTCATTTACCATCATGTACTTAGCTCTTCATAGCTCTTTACTATAAGTCACTTGAATACTACAGTGAGAGTCAGCAAGACATTCTAATTGGTACGGGCACCAGGCTGTACAGGGGATCTCTTCTACCTTTGTTGTGATTACTTGTTAAAGGATATCTTCCATCTATTACTTTGTTAACCCCTTATTATTGTTTACTTATGTTAAGTGGAACCTGTGTGTGGTTCAAACCCTTTTCAACGTATCTCTATATACCTCTATACAACGAATAGCTTAGGTGGATCCAGGTCCGTGTGTAACAACCAGCAGACCTGACAGACTTGCTACAATGTGTATCAATGCCTTACCAGCATGGTGGGGAAAGTGTGGATACTTCAGCTGGTCATGGTCAATTAAGGAACCATGAGGCAACATGGAAACCTATGTATATAAACGATGAATACTGCAACAGCAGAGGAGATAGGTTTCAGTACATGGCTATTCCATACCCTACCTTGTGTGCTTGCCTTCAGTGATCCCTCTCGAACGTAATTATACATATCCCTCGTAACGTTGTTACATGTGACATGAAGGTTTCGAATGTCTCTTTACCCGCGCGGTCAACAAGCTCCGGACGCTATTCGCATGTGTCAACCCCATTCCGCTTTTCCGGCGATATTATGCCGATTTCGAGTACAGCGGGTTTCAATATTGTATGACAAGAAGCTGGAAACACGATGACTAGGAATTTGGAAGATGGAGTGGAAGTCGCAGATGGATTAGTCCATCCGAAGATAACCACAGATGGTACTTCCTTGACTACATCTTGATGATCACTAGTATTGGGTACAGTTTCAAGCGGAGCGCTGTTTATGCCAAACACCCATTTCATGCAAGAAATAATATACTACATAGTAGTTTAGTTTAACGCTGGAGACTCAGTTAGTGGATGTGACAGCTTAGCTCTAGCTTCCGCGGGCTTGGCGCCGCACCTCCCTTATGATTAGATAGTTTCCCTCTTCATACTCAGTTTCTTCGTCGATATAGCACCCTAGGATAGAAATGCTATCTATTTGGACTGGCTCAACGTCACAGTGGATAAACCAATCTACGACTATGATTGAAACATTATTCCAAGTATTCAGGCGGTATCCGAATCAGTGTCCTAAACTCCGTAATTAGTGTTTAAGTAGATCCTAAACAATGTTTATTAAGTGGGACTCGAATAGTGTTCATAATAATAAGTGGGTCGTGAGCAGTGTTTATTAAGTGGGCCTCGGACATTGTTTATTAAGTGGATCTCGTTGGATTGTACCTACCAATCCTTAGCAGTATGTTATATCTCAACGTATCAAATTATGTATGAAGAGGATATGGAATCCTTAATCCTTGTTGTCATCCTTTCTTGTGTTCTCAGTATTGTAAACGTGGGAGATATCTTAGATTCCCCATTCGGTGGACCCCTCTCCTCACAGTGTGGCTCAGTCTTATTGGCTGATAAATCTCAACTATCTGATTGGCTGGTTTCAGCTTAGCTAATCCAACAGATCTCGAACAGTAGTTTATAGTTGCATAACAAGTTTGAACATACAGTAGTTTGCACCTTCAGAGTAACAACAAACACTCTCTTGTCTTTCTTCTAAAACATTGCTAAGAAGACACCATAGCAAATATAGAATAGTATAGGAATAATGTTATTCCGGGAACAGTACTGTATTTGTTAATACGAATTTTTCTTTATAATACATGTACGGTCATAAAATACAATTCTCGAATATTCGACTCTAAGTCTGAACATGTGTCCTGCAAATGCCTGGTAAACCTGGCAATTTGTCATTAGCAGTATCTTGTACTCTGTAGATATCACGAAGTAATCATGTTGACCGTTTGAACAGGATATCCCATCATACACAGGACGGCTAGCGCTCTGGAGCACTGGTCGTGGAGGAAACCTTCCTCATGCAGCTGCTACTACTACTACCCAAAACCCACTGTGGGTTCTATTTTTAGACCCCAACCCAAATCGCGCTAGGGTTGGGGCGGTTTGGGGCGGTTTTCCATAACAACTCTTATGTACGCGTCGCGGCAACCTATGGATAGGATTTTTTTCTCTTCCTTAATTACAAAAAATTCTTGACGCTACACAATGGATAATTCCGACATCACTCATGTATCTACCTCACCCGCTAGGGGCAATGAAAACCATGCGGTGAACGAGCGATCCTCGGTCTCTCCAGCCAACACCAGCCAGGCTGTTGCCCTTCAAAATGCAGCGGCTTCGACTAGGAATGTCACCCATGAGGACTCAATGCTCGCCGCGTCCCCTCTCGAGTCGAAAAATTCATCGGTCTATGTCGATAGAGCTGACAAGGATGGGGCAAAGCGCAAGCGAGATGTGGATGAATTAGCGGATACGTCGACAAGTAAAAGAGTTGTTGACGAGACAGGCATTTTGGATGACACGGACAGTTCTGACGAGTCTATTTCGTTCAATGATCCCGGTCTCCGTAGTCCTAAATATTACCGACGCCTGGAGGAAAAATTCGATGCCGAGCTAGCCCGTCGTGCGGCACTGTCCCCAGAAGCCCGAAAAAAGGAAGATTTCAAAAACTCAAGAAGATACCTCAAGGATCACATTACGCCTCGACTCTTAGTTGATAGACATGGCTTGCCCGTGGACTTGGATTATTATCCCCGCTTTATACTTCAACTAGCACCAGATTCGCGCAACGGAGCAACTTGCAGATTGGATCACTGCACCCATCGTATTAAACCTGGGGATTACCGGATTGCATTGACGCCAGGGATGAGCGATCCGAGAGGTCCAGGTGAGACGATCTATCCAAATACTACCTCCTTCACCGGATTCCGCTGTTACTAATTTTGCTAACCCCGCTGTAGATTATTACCATGTTAGATGCTTTGAACATCTTCTTCATATGTCATCGCCACATTACGCAGCCCGCTTCGATGCTGATATGGAGAAACACACTCCTGACCGTGGCGCACGAAGTATTCTCGAGGAATACATTTCCAGGTGGAGACTTCGATTAGCTCCAGCACAGAATCAGGAAAATCCAAGTTCCTCCATTGGTAAAAACAAAGTGGGAGAAAGCGAAAAGTATTCACCCGAGGCCGAGGCAGAGGCAGCTGAACAACAAGAAGAGCCTGTTACGATAGACGATATTCGAGAATTGGCAGATATTATAGCAGGCAGAGCACCACCAATACAAACAGAGTCTGCTCGTGTACGGGCAAGATGCATTTTCTCCGCAGCGAAAGCAGCCGTTAAGGACAAGTGGAAAATAGCAGACGAATTCTATGAACAAGTACGCAAAGCTAAAACTGAAAGGATACGGCAGCGTGCCGGAATATATTATCGTAAGTCGTTCTTTCTAATATACTTAACACTACAAGATTAACTAATTAACAACATGGTATTCGCAGGCCCATCTATAAACGAGGACAATTCTCGAAATGAAAATGAAGGTTGCTCCTGGAATATCACGCAATATCTGCTCTCAGAGACCGATCCAAAGTACACCAAGCGCCATGCTCTCAGCCAGGCATTGAAAGGATGGAAAAGGGATGTCGTGAGTGACTTCAGCGTGCAGTGCTCGAAGAATAGTTAACTAATTACCTGTTTAGAAGCTCGCAACAGCCGAGACAAACAAATTGAACGATGCAGGACGCCAAGCACAAGCAAACCTGCCAATAGAGAAGATTAAACGGTATGTCTAGATGTTCTAGAGCACACTAGAGTTTATCTATTATTGGAGGATTGCTGGTAAACGATGGACATGTGAAAGGATATCACTGAACATGTATATCCAATGAGTATTACCCATAGCGTTTGTACGGCTTCAGAACTCGTTGGTCGAACTGAACATACTAAAAAATTCAAGGCTGCGTTTTATACATTGTTGAGACACTTGGAAAAGATTCAGAGTGAGCCCTAACCTGGATGTCAGATACATGTCAAATAATGCGTGCCTCAATTTCAGTTTATAAGTACTCTATTCATTACAGTATACAGAAGATGGATGGATGGAGGGATGGATGATTTCATTTACCCCGACCTCTCCCCTTGGGGGATATGCGGCTACTACCACTATTGTTAGATAAACCGGATATCCGGAGGCAGTAAAAGGAAGTGAACAATCAGACGCGCTATCTTATAGCCCCCAAAATTTACCCCTCTTGATGACTCAAAAATCACCCCGCCAAAAGTGTCTATAAAAGACCCGGCTTTGAAACCTGATGGATAGACAGACAGAGAACTCAACATATACAATCTTGCTAGTCACTTCTTTTCTTTTCATCCCAGTAAAAAACCTCCTCAGGATTGACCTGGAATAAACCTACCAATCCGACAATTAAGAGTCTGAGTGCCCCTACCGGCCATACAACTCTCTCTAAGGCATCAACATGTCGACCACTGTCAACTACAAGCTCAATTCCCCAGAAGACTGGGATCTCTGGGAAACCGAGCTCTTCAATTGAGCAAGAGGTGAAGGGATCTTTGATGTTCTCATGGGAACCAAAGAGCCTCTTACCGAACCCGAGGTACCGCAGTTTAGTGATTATGCTCCAACTAGGAGCCAGGACTCGGCTCCCGGCTCAGAGACCCCAAACCCGCATGACGGCCCTTACCGGGGAACGCGCCGTCAGACAGCCCGGAGTTCTCCGAATCGTGAAACTGGAGGAAGATCTCAAGGCTCACAAGCCACCGTGATGGAAGATACGATGCATCCCGCTCGTGCAGCTGCATTGAACGAGGATAGCTTTTCAAAACTCTTGAAGGAGGCAAGGGAAGCTTACTCAACGGACTTGCAGGACTTCCGAGTAGACCACAGCCTCTATGAGTCCCAAAATAAGAAAATCAAAACAATACACCAATGGATGAAGGACTCGGTCAATTCGAGCTATTTCCAAACGTGCCTCGCCGTAACCCACGACTGGGTTAAGGGATATAACAATCTAAAAGCCCAAGTCGGCCAAGGGACCCGGGAAACACAGAAATCCATCCGAAGCGAGTATAACAAACTCATGGGTTCTTTCAAACCTGGCCACAAGGACCTTAACGGTTGGATCACCAAATGGGAAGAAACAATGATAAAGGGACAAAAGAAGTCGATGGCTTTCGCTCTTGACACAGAGGAATGGTCGTCGCGGTTCCTTGAGGTTATTCGACCTCTAGATGAAGCGTGGGCAACTGCTTTTGAGCTCACTGTTGAGACAAAGCTAGATGAAGGCACTCTCACGTTCAAGGAACTGGCAAATGCTTTCCGAAGGCTTATCTCACGAATCAAGAGAGAGCGTTCCAATTCCCGCGTTTCTAAAGGTAGTTTTTACACTAGAGAACGTGAGACAGAGCGAGAAAGAAAAGATCAACCTCGGGAACACTCACAAGGTAGAGACCGCTCTAGGGGACGATCAAGTACACCTATTAAAAAGCATTTTACTCTATCATCATACTTCAGTAATGTACCTAACTTAAACGCTCGTATAAACGAATACAACCAATGGTTTGGTCGAGTCACTAATACATCACTGATACGCGGCATGGAATGAAGCGTCAACGTCAAAGACCTGGCAAGAAAATAGCACTTTCAACGCATCACTGATTACCGAGTACAAGGTTATAAAGCATCGTTCAGTTTATAACATGGAACATAAATCAAAAAAATAGTATCGAACACGAGCGGCTAGCTGGAGAGTGGGTTACAAGTTTTACATATAATAGTTGGCATGAACGCATATCATTCCACAATAAGGATGGAGGTTGATGAACTCGGCAGACCGTATAATATTCAGGGCAAACCCCTCAGGAATTCAAGTTTTTGTTATCCTGGTTGCAAACCAGAATTTCTGATGCAGAGGGAAATATGCATTTTCAGATCGCTATTTTCATTCTTCTGGCTATCAACCTATGCCAGAGCCACCAGTTAATCTCTAGCGGAGAGGGCTTTGCGACATATTATTATGATATCAAGCAACCTGATGCTTGCCACATAAGCCTTTCTAATATGAACTCCATCCCTATGCAGTGCGGTCCATCAGCTGATGATGTCAATTCCAATTACATTGTTGCAATCAACCTCACCCAGCTGAACTTAGATATGACTTTCTATTGTGGGAAGCAAGTTATAATTCCGATTAATGATAAAATATCAACATTACTATTATTTGTCGGCGACGGATGTAAACGATCCGGGGGAGGTTCACCTTCAAGCGACACGTGGAACTCAGAAGCCGCCTCAAGACTTGATCTAAGTTATTCAGTATTGGATGAATTGGCGGATGGGGCGGCTTGCGGAAAAGGCTATATTCGAATAACCTGGGAAATTCGCGACGTACTATTATATGATTTCAACTCCAATGTGTCCAGATCTCAACAGGGACTCGTCACGTCGGAAACATCGGCATTAGTTACGCCCAATTCTGCAGCCTCTACTGTGTGCTTCGAGGGATCGTGGCAATGTAGCCGCAATAGCGAAGTTCTAGAGCAGTGTTTCGACCAAATCTGGATACCTCACGCTACCTGCCCCGCTGACCACGTATGTAAAGGTGACACTACTCCATATTGTGAGTAGTATTGAATGTATTTTCAGGCCTTGTACTGTATCAAGCTTCGTAGTCATTGTTTTGATATGCTGTGTTTTGACCATGTCTCTTTGATGCCAACTTTCAGGATTCTTTGGAAATACTAATAAAATTTAATTAAATACTACCTTGCGCTCGAGACATACACATAAAAAGATCCACTCATTAAAAGAGCTCTCTACATCCCTCAGATCGTTGCCGACGTAAGAAAAGTGATACTATTTTTAGGGAATAAAAGAGCGTTGTCATTTTCCATTTAATTTTGCGGATAAATGCGAGTATGAAGAAGAGCGTTCGTATTTGATCAGCGTGTATACGACATATTTATATAGACGAACCCTATAGCTTCCTTTTAGATCTTATTTCACAACCCGGACGGAACTGAAAATGCTTCCTAAAATACTTGCGCTGACAAGCTTGCTCGGTTATGTGCTCGCTACCAATCTTGGCCCATGCCCTCTGTTGATATTCTATCGAAACGGTTGCAAAGTGCATAGCTCCACACGAACCATGATAACTTCAATATCAATTTCCATTACCTCAACAATTACAAGTACTGCTATAGACTACACAACCTCAGTTTCATCCTCTTCAAGTGACGGTGTTTCTACTAGTGAAAGCGTTCCAACACCTACAACTGGAACAGTTATAACCGCTAGCACCACCTTCGCAACCTCGATCTTGAACTCCGTAAGTAAAGGCATTACTAGAACAACCCCCGGTCTCTCTGGTTGGGCCACCTCTGCTCTCTCGGTTACTCGTCAATCACTTAACTCCACGAAAATAGTCATTATCACCGAGACGACAACAGTCTGCGTTTCCTCGTCATCACTCTGACCAAAATAGAGTTGGTTAATCGAAATATGTTACTGTACTGTACAATTCAGCACTTTCTATCTATCAAGCAAAGATTGCCCCAGAGCAGAGTAACAGCGAGTGAAGGAGTCAATTACAGTGCCTTGAAAAATCAGTTCCACTCATGAACACACTGGATTTTCATTCCAGCCCAAATTTGAAACAAACTAGTTCGTATACCGTTAAGCTCCTCAAGTTTCTCTGTTCTACAATGTTCGCTTGTAAAATACGAAACACTGATGCGACCGAAACTCATTGTAAATTACACGTATCATGCTACCTAGGCAGATGTTAAACGGTCCCTCATCCTTCTTGTGTAGCAGACCATCAACAATCCTCCAAACGTCAGTAAATTTCTACTCACCATGGCACCAAGACTAGCCCTGTCGCAATCGAAGTAATTCAAGATATGATGATCAGCGGTGAGCCATCTACTGCATCCTAGATAGCTGAAGCTGCTGGCTGCAGTAAACGGTCAATCAAAAATATCCGCTCAAATCTATTGCTGTTTGGCAGTGTCACCGAATCGTGCTGGTAGCCGACGAAGCATCACGCGAGTGATGTTAGAAGCATTTTGTGATCATCTGCTTGAAAACCTAAGCTTGTACCTAGATGAGATGGTGGTGCTTCTATGGGATAAATTCTACATACTTACAATGGCATCCACTATCAGCAGGGCTCTTGCCTCCATTAGGTGGTTCAAAAAGACAATCCAGAGGAAAGCAAGAGAACAGAATACGGATTTACGAGATTCCTATCTCCATGACCTTTCAGAATTCTATTCATATCACTTACTCTACATTGATAAATCTAGGTACAATAAACGTATAGCATTTAGGCGGACAGGTTGGTCCTCTCTTGGCGTGGCACCAGTTCAATTATCTCGATTCCACCATGGCTAGCGATATCAAAATTGACCGGCATACGCGCAAGACGGCATTATTCTTTCTGGTGTATTTTAGGGTTCCACTAATGCTTCCGTGTTTAAAACTTTCATTGAACATCCTCTCCAGCACTGTGGAAAATGACCAGAGCCGAAGTCTGCCCTGGTCATGGACAATGCATCTTTTCATCATACTGATCGCATCCATCAAATAAGCACTGATGCAAAAGTCAAACTGATATATCCGCCGCTGTACTCAGTAGACCTAAACGTGCAGGCGTGAAAATTGAAGAGTATTACTAACCGTCATTCGCTATTACGGGTTTGTCTCTTGCTATAAGTGATGATTTCCTTTGCGGGATACTGTGCATGCCGACTACATAGAATGGCCAAAAACAGAGCAGACTTCTGTACATGGATTGGAATCTCGAACTAGAATATTGAGAAGTGGCTAATATTGATAGTCGTTTGAGTTTCAAGTAGCGTCATATTATTTTACGGTGAATTACGGTGGAGTGAAGCTGGGGTATCATTAATTCAGCGCTTTGCCTGAACAAAGTTAAACTGAGCATTATTAGACAATTGAAGTGAGTTGAAGCGTGCGCTGCTTTTGCAAACAACTGTAGTGGCGGTTTGTTTAATGAGCAATAAAAATATCACCTTTCACAATCCTGCCATTTATATGGCAACATGATCCCTCTAGACTCCCTATCACTATGGCTGGTAGGCCATGACCATCATACTGACGCGTTGATGCAAATGTTTCCGGATGATAACCTGCAGTTGGTCGCGAATTTCATTTGAAGCCGCTACTATGACCGGGTCAACATAGAACAAGTGGATCGCTTCTCGAACATACCTATGACGAATAATTCTCCTCTTCCCTCATGAGCAGCGCCATAACGTCCAGTATCCTCTCCGTCTACTTTGTGATCGCTTGAACCCGTACCTAGTGGAGAATTTCTCCGTTAGCACACAAAGCTTTTGAGTTGGACCTAAGAAGGTATGGTCGGCCATAGCTCGCCTCTCAGCTCGCAACCGCAATCTTGCGACACCTCGTTCTGTATGATTCTCTGATAATCCGCCTTTTCCATGCGGAAAACAGCTCTGTTTTGGGTGGATATTGGTTCCCAGTCGGATATCACTTCAGAATAAACTGAAAGGTTCAAAATCTGGATGACAGATTCAGCATGTACGTAGAGAAAAGAAAGAGACTCCACTCACCTGCTTGTTTGCGGCGTCATGTTCAAGCAACTCTGCCAATATCGACAAGATAGGAAGCCCAATTTCTGATATATCAGTTACGCACACCAGTAGAAGTGATGAACCTACCTGCTTGATCCAATTGCCACACCAGATGTACGCTTCGGGCACGAGATTCCGGGTTAGCATGACTTGAAATCAATCTTTTGACATGCGAGACGACTGAAGCTATACCAGAATCACTTGTAATCGCTAGGACTCTTTCATAGCGATTGAGGTTCTTGCTAATTCCGTGTGGTCCAATAATCAGACCTGGAAATGACACGGCTCTCATGCTTCCCACCGGAGCATGTTGCAGTAGCTTGCCGGAAAACCCACGATGTGCCTGGATAAATACGTCAAGCTCATCTACCGGGCCATGTTCCCATGACACAACCATATAAGGGTGGATCTGGGCCCATGACCAAAAGCTTACTGTTGGCATCCAAACACCCACATGCTGCCCAGGCTCCACCTTAGTCGGCCGAGGGAGGGCAATACGAAGTATTCCAGCACCTCTATTTGCCGCTCCACTCCTCCCATGAGAAAGCACCATCGCAGTACGTCCGCGGAACGGAATAATGCCGTTCCGAAAAAGCGTCATAGTAGAATCGTAGACTAGTCCTAGTGTAGGAAGCACTAAAGCCATTATCACATATAGTCGAGGAAGTTGAGCGGTGGAGGTTAGATGCTGCCAAATAGCGTATAGAAGGGCAACCGCCAACGTCTGGTGAGTGCGGAAAGAAACCTCATAGGCATGATGACGAAGATAAGGCATTGACACTAGGACTATGCCGGCCACTAACACCGCTCCCTACTACTCGTCAGCGACTATGTACTGTCACGATACAAGTGAGAATCTCACGATCCATCCAGAGAGACTATCCTGTGTATCCACTCGAAAATATTGCGGGTTCGCCGGTAAACTAGCAGTAATATGGATAGCAAGGAGGATTGTTACCATCCATGCTGTGGCCCGATGCGCTTGCTGACAGACCCGTCGTGGAACCCCAAACACATCCGTGCAGCAATCAAAACTGCCGCTTCCGAATGAAATAATTAGGTTACTAAGTGATAAGTTGCCCGCTCTACGCGCAATCTCTGATGAAGAGACAGCTCGAAATGAGATGCAAAAAAGGTTGATTGCGGCATATAGGAGGTACATAAGAACGGCAGCCCGGGTCCACGGTCCAGCAAGCCTGTGACGTTGAAGTAGAAATGGATAAGTTAAATGCTGGGCTAAGAACAGCGAAACCGAATTGATAACGTTGGCTGTGATTCTTTTAACCAGTCGTAGCACATAGCTGATCAGATGTAATAGATAAGGCAATATCCGAACCTTGAAAAGAGTGCCGAACACGAGACCACCTGCAGTGGACGCATAGATAGTGGTAGGATCCATAAGGTGCGTGACACTGTCGAACCCTACAAATTCATAGAAATAAGACATTAGACCCAAGGCTTGCTTTGGCTATATATACCTATTGGTTGGAGGGAAGTCTTAAATAAAATCTGCCTGTTTTAACTCTAACTAACTAGAACCAAGTTTACGTTTATAAACATGTCAAAGGAGGTGGGGAATCAAGGCGGAGCTACATAGAAAGAGACAGAGACTCTCAATAACCTTCTGCGGCAAGCCTTTCCAAACTAAGTAAAGTGTTTAAATGTCTCTCTTCCACCCAGAGACACACCCTGTATTCGGTATACTTAGATCGTGGTCCGTCAACTTCCCGTTTATCAAGGATTTCAAAGTTCTGGAAGTTTTAGTCCTGGCAGGCCGTTGAACAGGAAAAGGGGTCTTACTTGGATATCCGACCCGTCGCTCCAGTCAGAACCTGATGACGACTCTGTTTCACCGGGCTCGTACGTAGGATCAACGTGGTCCAGGTTCCCGTCTGGAACGACAAAAGCCTTATCCGATTCAGTCTCCGAGTAATAGGACTCCGAATCAGCGTCTGTGAATTCAAGGTCAATTTCCACGTTGGACTCTGAGTCCTCGCCAATTGTATCCATGGCAAAATTATCAAACTTGAACCGAGGCAGTTGAGATGTATAATCTGCGTATGAATCCATACTGAGTATGCAATCGCTAGGAATGAGAGCTAGATAGTAAAGATTGGTTTCCTTGCTATCAAGCCATCTTTATCTAGTTTATCAAGTTGCACTACAGACTATACAAACCTAACAATAACACATGGCCGCATAGACCGAACCGAGCAGAGGCGGACAAGAGCACGCACCCCACTTTGTTAAGCCCCCACCTTTTTTGGAGCCTGGACCCACACCATTTGTTTTTAAACAGACGCTCAGTCCACACGTAGTCGTTTAGCCTCTTTAACCTTACTCCTATAAAGCAACCGCTCTTAGAAGTGGTCCTTCCACTGACTATCTGAAGTCAAAAAAATATATCACCCATAATGAATTCTATGGAATGGGCGCATAGGGAGCTCTACAGCAATCAACAACAGCAAATTGCGGAGCTGAAACGAGCCCTCAATCTTGCAAATCACTCCGCACAGGCTGCAAGCACATCGTTAGCATGCATGCAAACGCAAATGCTCAAACTTCAGCAGTACAAAATCCACTGTGAGCAGATGAATGTTAAGCTGGCAGATATGCTTAATTCTGTGATCCGTTCATCTGGAATAGAGCCTCATAATGATACCGATTTAATGGTGCTTGTCAACGATATCAACTCTAAGCAAGAGACCATTACAGACCTAGAGTTATTGGTTCACCAACAGCAGAGGACGATTGAACGGTTAGAAGATGCTGTTAGCAGACAAAACAACACTCTTGGTTCCATAAGGGGCTCAGCTTAATACTGGAGATTTTTCTCCTCCCGCTTCTCGGTGGATTAGAGAATGGAAGGTTGGGTGGCTTCATCGGCTTTAGGAATTGGTAATGGTTAGCAACGTTATTACCTAAGTGTGGCATTGTTAGCACATACCGGCATCGAATGAAGGGTTCGCTGTTCAGTGTATAGCCTGGAATATACATGGTCAACGCAAGCATTGATTTAGAGGGATATTATTTCTACAGGACTTTGTATATATGGAATCCAAGCTTCATACAATATTGACTAAATTCCAGCAGCACACGTAACTAACACTTAGTCCTAAGTCAAACACGCAATGTCACGTGCACTATAAAGCCCTAAGCTAACGAACTATCAATTCCTTGTCAGACCCTTTCCAAACGTTCATCATCCTCAGCCTCGTAAATGAGCAAATCATCTCGCAAGATAAATCGTGGGGTTTTACGACATGACTGTAGTGGAAATTCAAATATCGCTTCTGCCCTTGCTATCGAGTGCCCCTGCTTGTTACCAATGGCTAGAGCCACGCGCATCCGCTCTTCTGAAGATTCGACTGAACGCGCAGTAACGATCAATGTATCTCCCTGGCGAATTGTGCTGGAAAACTCAATTCGTAGTTGTGATAGGCGTTGGATCCAGCCGCATACTTCAAAAGTCACATGGATAATGTTTGATGTTACGCTAGGAGTGAACGACTCAGGAAGTGCAGGATGATCGTCTGGGATTTGAATCATAAAAGATATGTGGGACCGACCCTCGTCGTCAAGAAATTGTCGGAATCCTGTGATATGGTGCTGCCATTCCATTTTTTAAGCCCGTAGAATCTGTAACCGCGATGGACTGAGACAGCGTTGCAATTTAATTCGACAAACGGTGATTATAGATCCAGGTCGTCATGGGAAATTTGTATTCCGCATAAGTAATACGGACGGCCTTTTCAATGTGTTGCGCAAGTTCAAACATTGTAGCCTAGTATATACAAAACTAGTATAACAAGAATATAAGAATAACAGTCAAGAGGCATGTTTGCAAAAATATACGATTGCAAACTCATGACGATCCTTCCATCATGGAAACCATGCGAGACGACTCATCAAGTGTATATAGCCGGTCTCCAGACGAACCGTTCGCTACGACCACCGACGAGCCTCTGTTTGAGACGATACCCGATAAACCAATAACCACTGGGATAGATCACTTGATTGGTGACATGTGCGGTTCCGCGATGTCGTTGGAAATGTCACCAGCTCGTCTTCAGACCGCCAAGAAGGAACGGTTTTCTACAGTAGCAGAGAAGCAACGAGAACTCAGAGAAGAGCTCCGTTGGCACAACTGGGAGAATGTCTTTTACGGAACATGCCATGACCTTTTTGAAGATGTGATGCTAGCTACTATCGACGTGGCGGATGATCTTCTATCCCAGTCCCAGATTGCCATGCTACGAAGGCTTTTCTATCCCGAAGAGCAGCCCGTCGACAGGACATTCCTCTACGATGCGGCGCAGAGATTCAACGCAACATTACAGACTTTACACACGAAAGAGGGGCTCGCCAAACAGAAATGGAAGCAGCGGTGGCAACTCGAGCCTGACCGGATAAAGCCCTGGGTTTAAGCTAGGGCTGTCTGGAATATTAGGGCCATATCTAATTCTAAAACCATTTGAACTGCAGAGGTAGATACAACAGAAATACATAGAATGTCAATATAAGTAATTAGTATTCCTCTCCGTTTCCGTTCCGTTTTCTATCACTAAGAACTATCAACATGACGTCCATTGCAAAAGGAGAGCGCAAAGGAAAGGCAGATCGCACCCAGCAGGAACAGATCCGCAAAAGACGCCATAACTTGTTTAAGCGGTTAAAAGAATTCAACGACCGTTATGACATATCCATTTGGTTGACGATGGAAATGCCCAGCGGTCGAATCTACACGTTCAACACGAACCCTGAACGACGGATTCCTACAGAGGAGGAGATTGTAAGACTTCTATCCCATCATGTTTACTTCCCATTAAGAGTACCTTAGACTGCGAATAAGTTGCCTGTCGTCCGTAAAACACCTGCCGATTACGCCTCAAGTCTGCCTACTATTCGGGATCCACCACCATTCATGCTGCAGCGGCCGTTGTATGATAGCAATCCTTAGATAAATATACAAAAGCAATAAACTGGAAATACCTGATTCTGAAGTAGAAGCAGACAGCTACAGCTGTTTATAATCTCGAACTAAAAATCCATCTTAAACTCCAAATGATGAATATAGCACTAAGGAGAAGAGACCGATCAGGAGTGTAAACATCTCCGTTTGACGGAACTAGTTTAGCTGTAGGTCGGCTCGTTGTTTGCACCGTGCACACACTGGCCATGCTCCGACAACTGATTCCTCCTGTCGCATTGACTGATAAGGTGCCGCTAGTGGGACGTTGAAGACCACCAGTATCTGCCATGACCAAACAATGTGCCTATAACCACATATCATTTCTTGGAAATGGCGAGTATTTAACACTTATCGGCGCAGTGTCTAGTCTCAGTGTGAAAATGCACAACCGCAATCATGGGCGGTCCACCAAAATACAATGCGTCGTCAAGCTACATAGGCCGTACAGGAGGAGAGACCCATACTTCGACATACATTAGTGGGGCTAAGACGGCAAGCACTGGTTCTCATAGCCCGGGTCTTGTCAGTACCTTCACAACGAAACCCTGGATTAAGGAAGGTACAACTTTGTCTTCCTCCACTGGCGGTTTTTTTTCAGCAACTACCGACGATACTAAAATAGGGACATCAACAACCTATTATACGTCATCAAGTACATCATTTGTACTAGGTATAACCGCTTTCCCTTCCGGTCCTAGCGCTTTTCGTCCACCAGCCACTAGCGATGCCAATCCAGAGACAAACTTACCACCGACAGCCTATAATAGACCTTCACGTACATCATATCCGCCAACCGTAACCATCACGACTTCCGCCACCTCGTTTTCTCTGATTGTGACTCCATCAGAGGTCCCTGATGTAGTCGGCGGCGAACCCCAACACCCCGATTGGACAAGTGCGGCGGACATCCAATCCACAAGATGGCCGTTGTGGTTGAGTTCTTCTACAGCTAGCACATTGCTGATAGTGTCTACAGAACAAAGCGCATATCAGGCAACAATTAGTCCCGGTACGGACGTAAGAAATACAGTAACATCACAGTATGCAGGTTCAGGTTCCCAATATAGAAGCCCGTCTTCGACTACTCTCAGTGTGACCAGCTTCTATACTCCTTCTACGGGAGAGATGACCATACAGCCTGACTCATCATCATGGGTCAGCCCACCGCGGCACAGGAGTGGTTTGGAAACCGGCGGATCCTCGTCGGCCGGTATTCCAAGCACAACCATGTCGTTCACTACTTTAAATAGAGAGTATCCAGGTGTCAATGAGGCGTTCTTGACCTCAGCCATCAAATCTCCGAGCTATTCTCTCGGTGTGATCACAGCGCCATCTACACAGTATATTGTTCCGATTTCGACCACCACATCACATTCCGCGTCTAAAAGCACTTCCCTACACCCGTACATATCAGAGACGAGTACGATCTTCATCAGCAAAGAATATGTTTCCGGTAGCTTACCATTGCGCTCCGGAACAGACTGGTCCCAACTGGCGCTCACTACCACACTATCCCCTGGACAAAACACCGTGACATATAACACGGGAGCAACAGACTTCAGGCCTACACAGACAACTCAATATTCCGCTTCGCCCACAAGCAGCACAGGGAAGATCCAGTCTATTGACGACAGTAATCAATCTTCGGTGGTATTAAAAAGAAGCGCTGAAATATCTGCCGGGGCGGTTGGCGCAGCTTTATGTCTTTGTATCGGAATTTTTGCCTGGGTACGTCACAAACGAAGAGGTAGAATATATGTCGGGATGCAGCAAGAGCACCCCGGAGTCTCTCGCTTTTCCTTTAATACTTGATGCCATACCGGATGTACTCCTCACACATTCTTCCATTCATTCTCTCAGGTGCATACACCAATTAATAATACTTAAATCGCTTTAATATTATGTTGTATATATATATTATGCTTATAGGCCATTCCTAAGAGATTGAATCGGAACACGGTGATCATGTCATCGCGTACAAGATTCCCTTTCTACTGGGTCGTTGGTGGCCTATTCCAATCTTTAATATTCGCAAACGTCCACACACACCCTGCCTTGAAACATAGAAGATGGTTGGGATCCACCAACAGCTCAGTCTCCGGTTCTGAAGTCCATCTCACCATGGGGCGTTCTGGGTAAGCCGTTGCGAATGCCTAGGGATATAAATGTTGACAGGAGTAGCCTCATTGGGCTGGTCGAGATAGGAACCCCTGGACAGAGCGTCTATGTTCAATTCGACACCGCATTTGATGAAACAGTGATACAACCTGTTTCGCAAGTTAATCCTGTTATAGGCACTGGTGTAGGATACGATTATAGTTCTTCAACGTCGTTTATTCCTATAACAGGGATCAATGACTCTCTCTTCGATGTCTCAACGGGGGTTGTTTTGACCGAGACTGCCAATGAAACATTCAATATCGGAGGCAGACTGTACACAGATGTCACGTTTGGTCTGCTTCAAGATTTTTCCTCATATCCAAGCGGACAAGCCATGCCCTTCAACGGTGCTGCTGGCGTCATTGGTCTAAGTAGAGATTCGGAGCTCATGTATGATTTGAAAAACCATCTAGGAGGTAATTTCTATATCCCTCACTTAATTATTCAACACGCTTATGGCAGATACAGAATGGGTATGCGCTCTTGATTCGTATCGTCTTGGGAAAAATGGTACATGGAGCTTTGGAAATATCAGGCATAAAGGGGATATCGCCTGGACGGAAGCTAGTCCACCAGGTCAGTTTGGGTCTTCTTGGTGGTCTATCAATGTCACTGCAATATCAGCTGCCGGTAGAAAGCGTCTCCCTCTGAAGTGGACCGCTGTGGTCGCCTCTGAAGAACAATCTCTCGTCTGGCCACAATCACTGTTAGACTGGTATTTTGAAGCAATTCCATCTAGCATATGGTCGCCACAAGATCGAACATACCGTTATCCTTGCAACCAGACTTTACCAGACTTTGTCTTTAGCATTGGCAATGGCACGTTCACAATTCCTGGAACATATTTACCGTACCAGAAGGATAAAAATGGCAAAAATTGTATAACGATTATTACTGGAGACAACTCTACTCGATCTGCCATTCTTGGATACCCTTTTGGGGCATGGTGGGCGGAGCTGGGGGTTCTTGTTCTTGACTATGAGAACAAACGAGTTGGCTTTGCAAACAAATTAACGCCACTACCCGCTTTCAGGACAGAAGGTCTTCCAAGTATCGATGACTTTTAGTTCTATATACTGGCTCTGTTGCTTTACTCCAATTCATTTTGTGCATAACATAGTTGCTGTTGAGCTGTCATTTTTTGTTACACGCAATGTAAATTTCTTACGATCTGACAGAAGACAATTATATACAAAGCAGTATACTCTAGTATGAGTAAGAACTTAAACAGCCTCTCTCCCTTATATTTTGGCCCCACAGCGGAGACACTAATGTTTAGTACTTGTAATTCGCCCTTAAGTTACTAGCTAATATAGTCTCTGGTTCCTACATAACCCTTACAAATCGTTTAGGAGCATTGCTCAGCCCATTTCTGCCTTGGGTCACATGGGTTTTGGATCTATAGGTTCCGCCACCACCTTCGGGGTGGAGGTTCAGTTCATCTAAAGTGACTCCCAACGCTCCTCATCCTCTGTAACAACCAACATGCCTGTCCAATCTCTTAGGAGTTTGGGCTAGTTTTGATACGAGAATAGAGGGTGGCAAAAGTGTGGATACTTCAGCTGGTGGTGGTCAAATGTTCAGCTGGCTATGGTTAATAACATTTTGTCACGAAGGTTTCAGTACATTGACATCCCATACCCTACCTTGCGTGTTTAAGTCTCAGTGATTCCTCTCGGATGTAATTATACATACCCTTGTAAGGTTGTTACATCCTCAATTAGATTCTTCGCAACCATCCACCTTGGGAAAAAAGGCAACCCTTTTTTTTTCCCCCACGATCAATGGAACCCTGAAGGTCCGATTGTATGGTACAAACTGGAATGGCACAAAAGTATCCAATAGGGTGAAATTCAACATCAACGTACTGTAGAATAAAGTTCCTTGTTTATTCGGGCTACGGATGCAACCTCTGCGGGTTTATAAATTTTGATCACGGCTAGAATAGTCTCCACGGGGAGCGTTGAGAAGTTGACCATTGTTGAGAGGGTGGGGATGATAGTGATAAAGTACCTTTCAGGGATCACGGGCCGTCGAGCTTTTCTAAGCATTAATATTGGCCCATTTCTCTAGTACTCCACCTTTAAATACAGACCTTACAATCAAAGGACTTGCAACGGTATAGTCAAAGGACAATATTGTGCTCTATAGCTACGACTACGGTATATAGGCTTAATATACCTGCAGAGTTCCTAATAAGCTTACAACATTTACTGAGATTGAATAAATGGCTACCATGCTCTCTTATTGCCTGCTCTGTACTCTGTTCTCTATTGTAGCACGAGGCGCTAAATATGACCGTAGCACGGCTGTTGGGAATCAATCGGACTTCAGTTCCGTAGTCCCGCTTACCATTTCCAACTGGGGGTATGGAGCTCTTCTTACATGCATGATAGTGCTAATGTATTGATACAAATAGCCTGACAGGGCAGATTGAAATAGGAACCCCTGCTCAACACCTCGACGTTCGCTTTGATCTAGAGACCTCCGCCGTGATACTAAATTCGACCGGTCATTATAATAGTTCCGCTTCTACATCGTTTACAAACATGGATCAAAGTCTTTGGATGGAACTTGACGATGGCTCTCAGTCTGAACTCTGGCTCGGTAATGAAACTTTCGATATTGGTGGTACAAATTTTGGCAACGTGCCATTTTGGCAACTTGGCGAGTTTTCACCCCCAAGATATGGTGATAGTTTGGCTTTCAATGGGTCAGCTGGCGTCTTTGGTCTGGATTTTGGTTCATGGCAGGGTCTGGAGTACCCTAGTTTTATGTGGACGGTGAAGAAGTATTTACCAGGTGAGTTCCTCAACTTTAGTTTCTGGTCCTGCCGTTGACCAAAGGAGAATGGGTATACACCATTGATCTATACCGCACGTGGAACAACGGCACTTGCAGATTTGGTTCTATTGACAGCTCAGAGCATCATGGTACCATCGGCTGGGCAAACATCGGCTGGGCAACCGAGCTGTTTCAAGCTGTCAACCTCACTATCATATCAGCTGGCAATAGGACAAGCCCTGAGAACGTTTGGCTTGCTTTTCTTTCTAATGACTTATCCCTTGTCTGGCCAAGGGATGTCCTCGATTGGTATTTTAATGGTACCGGTGCCACCTGGTCTTCAAATGATCAAACATACCGATATCCATGTAATATCACGTTACCTGACGTTACTTTTGGCTTCGGAAATGGAACATTTAGGATTCCCGGCTCATATCTGCCCTACCAACGTGATGCGAACAGTAAGGCCTGTACGACAATAATTACAGTACCAGCTAATTCCACGGATGAATTTTCGTATACATTTGGTTTGGGGTGGGTTCAATTAGGGGTCCTGATAATGGATTATGAAAATACGAGGATTGGCTTTGCGAGCAAGTCAACGCCTTTACCCTCTTTTCCAATTGCATCTCTTCCTCTTTTTGACTAGTTGACCGCCCCGGCAATAACGTTGTCCTGCCTTTCTTCTATTACTATGGTTGATTATGAAAATAAATCAAATCCACTGATGTCCAGGACAGAGCTGTCAACGATTACGTCAGCAGGTAACGTTTTATCTTTATGTTTCATAAGAGTTATTCCAGTAATGAGTAACGCCTACATTAGGTAGATATGGATTAGTTTGTTAGATCAAAATCCTGGCAAGGTACTTGCATAGTACGGTAAAAACAAGTTCTTAAGGCCATCCCAAACGGGTCTGTAACAGTACTGAAATAGTACAACATGATATCTGCGACAAGCCACACCAACTAGGGGTATAATGTGAGGTCCCCTGTCAACGACTCACGCATGCATAAGAAAGAAGTCTTCTGTAATCAGAATAGTTTTTTTTTCTCAAGCTTCAGTCTCTGTATGTTGGCAACAGTACCTTTGTTAATGAATATTGAACACATGAACGACCTTCTGCCATATTGATAATTCCTCCTGCCTAACCATCAGATTAACCTCCTATTACAGGGTCATGGTCTAGCAAGTATGGTTATACGGCAGGAAAGTTTCAATTACCTACTTGTAATCACAAATCAGACGCTGGACAGCTACTGTACCAGCAAGGCCAGATTGGTGTTTCCGCAGCGAAGAAGAGGCTACCAAAGGGAAAATCTAAGAGATGAAAGCAACTCGGATATTTTCAGAACGTTGTATTCGCATGGGTTGGTTAAGATCAGGTGTTGGACCGCAATATTTTTCTTCTGCTCTAGAGCTACTTCCCGCGCCAAGATAAAGTCAATGAAGGAGTTCTTTCAGCTGTCCTGCTGAAATTGCAAACTACTGTAATGTTACCGCCTTCAGGTCAAACAAGAACTTAATCTCAGTTAGGTTCACTGATAGATGCATCTAGTATGATATAGTCGTCTATAGGTCGTTCGCAGCGTCTTCACTGCAATAATAGCAAACGTTATCTAGTAGGATATTGTAGATCAATTTAAACAGGGCATGTCGATGCGAACCCTGTGGGTCCAATTAAGCATTGTGGGTCCATTTTGTGACGGGCTAGGCACTATCGCTGTGCAGGAGGACGGAAGCCCTAAACCCTAGGGTGATATCTATAACGGGAATATCCTTCTTTCTTTGTCTTTGGGATTTCCTAAAAAGGCACCGATGAGGCCTTTGTACACACACGTAAAAAGTGCCTCTGCACGCTGTCAAGCGAGCTTCTTTTCTTTTCCTCTCCATGCTTAATTTTCTCACTGCAGGTTACCCTTAGTTAGAGCTTTGGATTGAGCATCATCACACATTTAAACAGTGTGGATCAATTCAAACTATGCGGATTGGTTTAGGACGGAGCGGACCCATGTGAGCCCTGTGGGCCCACTTAAACTGTGTGGATCAATTTAAACGCTGCGGGTCCATTTAAACATTGTGGGTCATTTAAACATTGGGGCTGATCAAATCTCATGTGCTCCGAATATGTTCGAAATTTGTAGTTCTACTAGAATCTAGATACGACATATTTTCCACTCGACTATGAGGTTCACGAACCATTTCTACACCCCACCTATGAACTAGGTTTTATAGCGCATGTATGAGATTTACTTTTGCACATCGAACAATCTTAGTGGACTATGCTTGGACATTCGGAAGGACCATGAAATTATAAAACCTTGCGACATCCTGCAAAATATCAGCCCACCATTCGTATAACATGTCAAATTGTCAAGATGGCTCAAACCTTAGACCCGAAAGAAGACATTCCCCACCCCAACCTCCCATTGCCAAGTACCAGCGCGCTGGGTCTCACACGAACGTATGCCCGTGAATGGACTTCGGCCCATGCATTTCGGGAGTTCTACCAAAACTGGTACCGCATTCAATCAAATGCGGTGAGATCATAACTGACTATTCCAATAGGAAAGATGCAATCATCCAGTCATACAATCTAAAGTCGATGGACTTCAACCCCGACTTAGCGGACAAGAAGGACGAGATATTGATCACAATCCATCGCCACTCTCCCACTGGACTGGTGGAGGATTGCATGGGATATATCAGATTCAAAAAAGAGACTGGGACGGTGGAGTTCACCAACTTTGGTGCCATTCTGGCCCGTAACTGCCTTGAGATGGGCTACTCTACCAAGACCGAAGACGCACGATTAGCAGGTAGATACGGTGAGGGCCTCAAGGTTGCGGCATTGGTCATGCGCCGAAATGGGTACCACGTTCGGATCTGCAGTAATAGCAGATTTTGGAACTTTGGATTCAGAGGGAAATCGAAAAATGAGTTCTACTACCAACTGAATCGAGCCAGCGAAAGTCGAGTGCACACCCTGAGAACTGCATTCAACAACGCGCATGAAAGCGGTACGGCACGTAAAATGAGTCCTAACATCTGGGAAGATGTCTCTGTGACTGTCGGGCAAATTCGGGGACATGGCCAACCGGTTGACTTGGATACTTTTGCCAACTGGCTGGAAGTGACCATAGATCTGCACCACCCGTGCAAGCTCGTCTGTACACTCTATGGAAAATTGATCCTGGACCCAGCATATGCCGGTCAATTATACGTAAAGGGGCTCCGGGTGACGTTAGCCGACTGCAGGGAAACCCAATACCGATATGGCTACGATTTTTTGACTCCGGATATGTCCCCTAACCGAGACCGCCGGCTTGAGGTGCATCCCGAACGGGAAGCAAAAGCGGTGGCCGCGATCTGGGAGGCAGCGATCAGACAGGATCAAGACGTCATTCACATATACACTGACCTCCTCAAACTGGACAACTCCGCGGATGTGGCCTTTGCAGACACGAATATCACAGAAGCCACTGCGCAGAAGGTATGGGCATGCCTTGGCGCTGATGCGCGAAAGGACGGTCTTTTTTACTTTCCAGCAGGATACGAAGCAGATGTAGGTGACCTCAATCGTGAATCTACCCAATATCTGACATCGCACTCTAGAATGTGCAACTGATTCGACATGAGCTCAAATACGAACCCATCCCCCTACCGTACTCACTTTGGAAGCTCCTTCGGAAGTACGGTTTGGCGAAATTGCCGTTCGAGGAAATCTACCATCAATTTCAGCAGTCACGAGAAGTTGAGCCCCCAGCCACGCTCTTTGCTCAGGAGACGAGCAGAGCATTTGGCGCCCTATTCGGTAGGCACGCTCCAGACAAGGAGACCCGGATCGTCTATGTTCACTTTGCAGATAATCTGCCGAACATGGCATTTTCGAAGGAACACAACATCCTTTACGTACACGAGAAGTGGCTCGATTCTGGCCGGGCCCACGGGACTTCGCCATGTGAGATGTCTGAGGTTGGAGTGATCCTCACCGACATGTTCTGCGACCACATAGTGGATGATATGTTCAAGAGTGCAATCCTTGCCGTACGGCGGCCGATTGACCCCCCGTATAACTTCATGGTCAAAGATGTGCAGTCCCTGCAGAGTCTGGTCCGCAACTGCAAGGGAAAGACTCGTGAGATGGCATTTAATGTACAAGTTGCGGCGGCCAAATCAACAAATTCACTTCGTGTAACATGGAGCGACAGCTACAGTCGAGCTTTTGCAGAAACATTCAGATCACTTGTGGAGTACATCGTCGTATTGCACGGGGCTGCCTGTATACTTGAGGCTCAAAGACTCTGGTACAGGGAGAACAGCATTACGTGTGACTGTCCCAGACAAATTGTGCAGTTGGCTCCAAATGGTATGGAAAACGTTGCGGTCTTTGAAAGCTTAGATGATAAGCCTCGCTTTCCCATGGTAGCACGTTTCCGACAATCATCTGCAGAGCCATCTCTATGGGCTCTTCCACCTCCCCCTATATCGCCAATCAACACATCGGCTGAGGGAATCCTAGATGAGACAACTCTCGACGGAAGAGAAAATGATGTTGAAAGCGATGAGGGCTCAGAGGCGTACAGCCCCGTCCTAGAAGTCCCTCAAATCATGCATCACGACAGCGAGAGGTTACATGAACTATCAGAAGACACTGTGGCAATGGTGGTTACCTATGAACAATACGCTGAAAGAACGGCCGTGTGTAAAGCACAGAGTCTAGCTGGAGTGCGAGCAATGTTCGCATCCTTGCGAGTGGATCACTCAACGCTGAACCATCGCGCAGACGAGCCTCTTCCCCGGAGCTCACAGGTCCGAAGTGGGCAGTATCTTCGGGTCCCCACCGACTCTTCGTTATTCTGGATCTTATACGTCCACGAAGTCCTGTATGAGGATCATTGTGCCCGGTTGCTTGTCACGAAGTACTCCTCGTACTCCAGTCTTTTGCAGTCCGACGGCATACCCGAAGCAGTTCAGCAAAAGGAGCTGTTGCTTCATTTCAACGATTTCCATCACATGGGTAAGATGGAGGATGCGGATTGGGTGACAACAGATGACTTACCAGATTTATCCTCCACGGAGATAAGTGTTCATCATGGGACCGAGAAGCCAGGTAAGCTTAATGGAAGCCGCAGACGAGAATTGCTGACGAATCGGTCATATAGACTCTCATACTAACTACTTTTGCCGATTCGCTATCCGTAACACGGATGATCTGACAAACTGCTCTCTGTTGCCCCTCAGAACCCAAGTGCCGAACATGACAGGGAAATACAAAGTGCCAGTCCTCTCTGCGCTTCCTGCTCCGATGGTGATTGACTTCTCCCCGAGAGACATCGGCCTCTCTGTGGGATTCAAGAGAGCGGGATGTCACATCGAGAGAGGGGTCGGTGAATCAGATATACATCCTCTTTGGCAGGTAAGATTTGCCAGATTCTCTGCGCGATGAAGAAACATAATTGAGTCGGTCAGACACAAAACCCGGATGCTCGAATCGCCAAGGACGTGGATGAAGGACTCCATGCTCCAGAGCAGATTTTAAACCCTCGGATGTCCAGCATCGCGATCATCTCAAGCGCCATCCCAACCAAGCCCGGCGATTCGTCTGCCAATAGCCTGGCCTCCGCTATGGACACATGTCGTCGCGTAGCCCAACATACGAATAGAACAGACTTCATCTTGCTTGCGATTCACTACGCCAGCTGGGTAGAATGCGCTTCCAGCTCACTGAAGGACGTAATTTCTTGCCTTCTGGAAGCGCAGTACTCAGTACATGTCCGTCTCCATACAGTCTCAGCTGGTCTCCCGGAGGACAGTCCAGCCCTGTTCGTACTTGCGGCCCCTTTTTGCACGAATCCTCAATATTTGGACGACATCCTTGGTGACATTAACCATGCACGTATGGGAGCTGAAGGTAAGCATCCAAAGACAAATAGAGGTGGCACCAGCTTACTCCTCCAGTCTCTTTCAACACTCACGACCCTGTGGCAATTGCCGCAACGAAGGGATTTGATGATAGCATAGCTGGTGCACTCAACCCATCCAATTACGAACAGGTTATACAGGGTGTCTCGCCCATTTTTGCACATCAAATTGCAACGGCCGTTTGCCATATTTGTGGGCAGATACGGCTTCAAAATATCTGAATGGGAAGGACGATTTCTGAGGAACGTACCGTGTTTAGTAGGCAGGATACTTTTTCGTTCCTTTTAACAGCTATATTTCTTCTGCGATTTATGTTTTCTTCACTCTACCTGGACACCTGTAAGAAACTTGCAATATGAACTGAGTGGTGCTCTACAAGTTCCTAGAGCCATGGATAAAGAGACTCTGCGTACCATCCGCTCTATAGGACGACAGAGAGCAATGAATAGCTACTACAAAACTTGTTACGTTCTTCTGCGACTTCTCGAGAAACTCATCATCTCGGCAGAGAAGGAACTCCTTTCACTGTCTAAATCAGAATCCGATGATGACTTCTGCTACGATGCGGCGGCAAAAGTGGCAATCAGGATCCATAAAGCTACTCGGGAATTTAAGAAGCTCAAAGCTGATGCCATGAGTGCTTGGCTAACCCTCCAGAGAGCTTCGCGAACGGAATCGATGGTTGACTCGTAACAAATCCTGTGAGCTCTACGATATAGTCATGCTTCGTTTGTTCTAGTAAGATACTGTACGACAAGAGAAGATGCTTAGGAGATAGAAAATTGTCAATGTGCAGAATGACACGCAAGAACTGCGTTTGACCATAGCGATTCCCTCGGTATATTTTTTATCATACAGGGATTATATAATTACTGTTGCAAGTTACCTTTCTTAGCCAATGAATTATTCCTGATTCTCGTAACAGGGTTTGATTTCTTATAAAGTAGTACGCGGTCTTCTATTCACATATTAATTAGATTATCAATAACCCTGTATAAGTTAAGAGTAAGGAACAGAGTCTTTGGAAGGTTGACAATGCATTAGTATAATTATTACCCAGTCCAGCGACAACTTACTTTGTAAATTTCTAAACCGACCCACCCAAATATACTCAATTTGAACGTCAATACAGACCCGCTTATAAACACTGTTTAAGATCCACTTCTTGAACAGCGTTCAAGGTCCACTTATTAAACACCACTCTGGACCCACCTGATACATAGTACAAATCCTGTTCAAGACCCACTAGCAAACGCTGTTAAGGATCCACTTATTATAAACAATGTGATCTATGGAATACAGCTTAGTTGTTAAGGGTTGGCCCCAATATCGATGGTTAGGGCTACGCCCTCACAAATACTGCGCCCGGATATGCTATTCTCTATTAGGAAATTATCTCTATCCGAACGTACCCTATCCGAACATAAAGCTATCCACAATTCCGTGCTTAAGCTAAGCGAGTTGAACAGTGTAACAACCAGCAAGCTCTGGGGTCCCACTATTCCAACAAGTGTGCCAGTGACGTCTCAAGTTGTGTTTCAGCTACACCAAATGAAGGGTTATGTGTTCGAGGATGGTTTTGGTTTCCTCAGGCTGTATCTCAACTGTTGGAGCTATTCAGAGAATGGAGACCTTGTATGGGTCATATGTTTATAAAGGATAGTGGATGCTCCAGGACAGCAGGAGATAGGTTTCAGTACATTGACATTCCATACCCTACCCTATGTACTTAGCATTCTATGATCCCTCTCGAACGTAACTATACGTGCCCTATGTAACGATTGTTACAAACAGCCCCATTCACCCTTTGCATATAGATTTGTCCGTTTGCACAAAAGGTGTTTGTTCTCTTTCCTTCCTTCTTTTCCTCATGTATGTTATCTACTCGAGAATGAACATATAGTAATTTATATGGCGGGACTGGCCTATAACATTAGTGATTACAGTTTAGCCCTAGTTTTGGTTGGATAATGTAACAACGTTACGTAGGGTATGTATAGTTACGTTCGAGAGGGATCATAGAAGGCTAAGCACACAAGGTAGGGTATGGAATGTCAATGTACTGAAACCTATTTCTTCTGCTTCCACAGCCTGCATTCTATATAAGAGACATTCATGTTGTTTCATGGTAATACATCATTGACCATAGCCAGCTGAACATTTGACTATAACCAGCTGAACCTTGCCCATGACCAGCTGGAGTATCCACACTTTTGCCACACTCTGTTCTAACCCTAACCCCTAGGATGTTTGACAGGCATGTTGGTTGTTACAGATAATTCTAACACGGTCATGTGATTAGTCCCTTATTAGGAATTCTTTGGGATGCAGTAACAGGCTACCCTGATATAAGCAAGAGATTTGCTAGGCTGAGCATCTGTAATGATACCATGCACTACTCCATGCTCGACTACTGATTTAGGTATAGCCAACCTATTTCAGAGTTTTGAACAGACCCATCTGCATCCTCAAATACTTAGCCTGACAGTCACATATTGCCATGTATAGCCGGTATAGCAGTTTAAACTGACCCAAGTCCTTAATATACGCTCTCAATACATGGGATACACACAATGTTCAGCTTTTCTTGCCAGCTACTTCATTCATATATTATCTAAACAACATTTATGCTAAGCATTCTCAAGAGTACTGTTCAACGCACCTGCCGCCGCCAGAATGAATAGGAAGCATCCTTCCAGCTTCACAGCCTCATTTTGTATATTAGTAGAAAGTAGATAATGCTTAGAATTATGCTGGAAGCGGCACAGACGACAGCCACGATGCTTTTTTTAGGTACATCGCCCTCGCGATATAACTCCGGCACGGTTTGCGAGACCGTACTGTTGACCTTTGACCAGACCACTGCTGGAAATAGGAACATAACAAACATCATCAAGCATAAGCATATAAGTAAATAACGTCCGCGGAGAATCACCATGTCAGTTACCGAATTTGAGCATAGTAATAAGGACATACCCATTGCTGCAAGGCACAATATGCATCCTACAACAAGCATGGCTTCCATGGTACTGGAATCACACAGAGTTGAGGCCTGGTCAAGCGCGTGCAAGGCAGCAGTATCCAAACTAGATGGTAAAGAAGTGGAAAGATGTGCAGGAAGAGTCTGACAATCTCGGTGGCGAGGAAAGACCAAACAAAGCTGCTTTGTTCCCAATGTAAGTTTTTGAGGTAGTGCATCCGATGCCATTGTCGCAATCGATGAGACGGCAGTTTCAACATGACTTAACACTGTATTCGGAACCTCGGGTATAGCTGTTTCAACTTGACTAAAAACGGAGGTAACCGGTAAATCCGGTATGGACGGAATCCCCCGTTTTTGAGCATTCAGCAACTGCAGTTCCTCAGTTAGAGATCTATTAAAACCTGCTAGGCTTACAGTTAAAGTGAAAACCCCATCTGTACTGTTTCCATCGCCTTTCAAGATGTCAAAAGCAAGTGCTACAGTAATTACTCCTGAGGTAAAGACTAATAGCAGGGCGACGTGATGCCATTCTAGACTAGTTAGCTTCATCCGTGAGACCTGCTTTTGGAGAAACATGACGGCTATATCGGTAAGAAATGCAATCTATGAAATAGACCTTGGCTTTTATATTCTTCGCAGGCCCTAATCAACGCTTGTAATTAACATGTCTCTCCTTCCAGTCACGGATTGATGTTTGTTGAGTTTTTATTCTAAGTTCTATTTTTATGCGGATAGTCGGGGTACCCGCGGTCCACCTTTCCTGTTTGGCACCGAGAAAGAAGCGCGGAGACATACAAAAAGGACTCTAGTACCTTTTTAGGGTTATATTCTAGCAGAAGTAAGGCTTGATATGACTACCTATTTAAAGCCCTTCAACACAGGCAAGACCTGCCATTTCATCAATCAAAACAGGAGGAAAAAATTATGACTACAGTACAAATAAATAAGGTCTATCAAATCCCATCTGCAGTTTCCACGACCTTTTAACCGATGTTATCCTATCACCAAGATACAGACAGAGGTTGTACTCAGTGCCTAGCGATATGGGTAAATCAAAAGATTACTACAAAATCCTACATGTCAATCCTGACTTGGATCAAGATGGGATTAAGAAACAATATCGTCACCTAGGTATTTATTCTTGCTTGGAGTTAGATATTTAATACCTAGGTAAGGACTAATCTCATTATCCTACTCCTATCAGCCAAACAGTATCATCCCGACAAACATCCCGGTGAAGAAGCCGTATATAATTCAAAATTCCAAGACCTCCAGGAAGCTTATGACATATTATCAAACGAAAAGAAGAGAAAAGAATATGACAGGAATCGCTGGACGACATATGCTAGTAATACACCGTCATCCGCAGGCCAACGCACTGGTTGGAATAGACAAGAAGGGTTCCCTAAACGAGATCCTCTATTTCAGCAGAGAGGAAATGCTGGCCCAAATTATGGGAACCCAGGGACATCGAGAAGCAGTTTCCAGCAGAACTCTGCCAGCACAAAGCATCCAAACTGGAAGGGCTTTAATGCAGGAAGCTTTAGGTCTCCTAATATGTTTCCGCGTGAATCTAGCACAAAGCATATGAATGCAAAACGACAAGGTTTTAACCCAGGAACCGCAAGCGGAGATGAGCCCATGGCTTCAGGCACCTCGTCTTACTCAAAAGCACGCCGCTCTGACCACATCTCCGAAATTTTTGAGAGCGTCCCCGAAGCGAGACCACAATCTCAAGGTGGGGAGAGAACTCATTTGTCCCGTGAAGATATCTCCAGAGATAATTTGGGCGCGGGGTCTGTCGATCCGCCTTTGACAAAGGATGGTGAGGGGAAAGAAGCAAAGACAAGACAAACAGATAGCACGACTCCCGAAATGCCACCGAACACAAACCCGACTGCTCCCGTTCCGTCTAGTCATTATCGCAGACCATATGTATCGACAGAAGATGAAGAGAATGCCACATCAGAAACAGTCACATCGGACGCGCCATTTCAAAGCTCTGATTTCCAGCTTCCACAACCTCCCATACTTAATGTGGAGCAGAATGACTTACATAAGAACCTTGAGGAGATCACTCTTTATATTATGAAATGGAGTGACTTTCAAAGAGAAGTTATTCAAAAGTTGTCAGAGACCCGTGTTACTCATATTGAGGCTGTTGCTCGCAATATTAAGGTTTCCTCAGACATCATGAAACGACAGCGTGAAGCCTACGAAGAATATACCCGAATACGAAAACATTGGAATATCGCTCAAGAGCAGTATCAGAAGTGCATATTGCGACTCACGGAAATTTACAGGTCCCTTCGTACTCTGTAGCTGGTACATTGGATAATTTATATACTCTGTCCTTCACCTCAAGCAAAGAAAGTCCCACTACACTATTCGTCTCATGTAAAATTCTTAGATCCGCTTTCCTTTAGGTTGTTATTTGGCAGAATGGAATATTAGCTCGCTTTTGTGAACAGTCCTGGGCATGTTTCTTCGTGAGGAATGAGCAATTATCTGTCAATCACATCTAGATTCTAATGGCAATACGCGCTCCGCTAACGTTGGGGAACTGAAATAAATGGAATAGAATGTCGAACAGGCAGGTTAGGAGGATTGATGCTATATGGCTCCCTACTTAGATAGCTTAAAAAGTGTCGTATTGACACGTCGGTAATAATACACCGAGTAGTGCCTACTCATTGGGGAACAATAAACGAAAAAAAGAACAAATAAAGAAGACGGCGGCGAAGATGTGACCTGTCGCAAATGAGCTCATTTACGATTCCTTGCTCCCAATATTATCCTATAAGCTAACTAAGAGACCGGCAGTGATGTATGTCTGAATGTAGCCCTAGAAATCATGTGGAATAAGTAGCTAGTGACAAATTAAGAAGGCTACACAGTGCTGACTCCAGTTTCAGCAGAAAAGGACAGGTATCTTTGTTTAAAATCATGATTTCCCGGTTTCGGGTTCCCAAATTTTAGATTTGAATATTCATATCAATTCCTCCCGGACCACGCTGTGAGACGTTTTATATTGGTTTGCTTGGCATCTCCTCCAGACCGGACCATACCGATGGCACAGCAACAAGATTCAATATTGGCACTAGAACGCGCGCAGCGTTATCTAGGCACCGCGTACGTAAAGCTATCGCAAATCACCCAATTTGATGACTGCCAGCCTGCCTTGCAACCGAACAGCCACCGAGTTGACACATTAGAAAAGAAGTTCCGTCGGGCAGCGGTTGAAGATCACAAAAATGAGAATCACCTTAACGCTGCGGTTAGGACACAGGGCCTTGATCGTGCGCTTCAGGTTCAGCAGCTCAGTCGCGGGGCATTTAAGGAGCAGTCTCCTAACCCGATCAATCGTGCGAGGCTCGAATTCAAAGATGGAGAATTGCTATTTCTTGGAGGAAGATCTAGAGTTTTGGCTGCTCGTAATATCCCTCCATGGGATCGCTGGTGGCCTGTTGACCTATACCACGAAGGTAGGTAACGTCAGTTTCCGGACGGCTCACTGTCGCTAAGGATTGAGCAGATATCTCAGAGGGACTGCGCAGGCAGCTGAGAGATAACCATGTAATTCAGGCTCCCATCAGTGACGGCGAGGTCTTCCTTACGCGTCATCGATATAAGCAGGCTGGCGACTTTGGCTCAATGACTCGATGGGGAGCATATCTGTCAGAGACTAAGGAGAAGAATCTGTCTCGCGTCGCAGATACTGAGTTTGGCATCGTGTTGTCGTCACTGTGCATGATTCCGGCGCTGTGGCAGGATGGTGTCTATTTAGGGGTATTGCACAAGATGCGGTCTCTCCATGCCAACTCTGTGAGTCCGTCTTGGCCCCTTGAGAACCAGTGAGCCTAACCCTCATAGGAATACGTGCACTACTTGGTTGAAATCCAGAAATGCTTTGGCGAGGCGCTCGAGCAGAGTCCGGCTCACATGGCCAGGCTCACGGCGAGCGACATCGAAACTCTTCAGTGCACTGCACCAGGATCGAGTGAAGATGATCGAAAGACCTTGGAAGGGCTAGTTCAAGGAGGAAAACTCTTGAAAGCGTTTGATGGAAATGAGCAACGCGTTATCTATGACCACCTTTGTTCTCGGCCATTTATGATACCGACACTATTCACATTTTTTCAGGACATCCACATCATCAACCAGTGTGCGCCCATGATCGCCAAGTTGATAGACAAAAGTAGACTAGTTCCAGAAAGTGGATCGCGGGAGCCAGATATCAAGGCATCAATGAGATATATGTTCGAACGGAAAGGCGGCACGGAATACAGTGATAACTTTGAGGTGGAAGTGTCCGAGAACAGAACCAGAGCTGTGACGGCTACTAGTGGTTTGCGGTTCGAACTTGCATATCGACAGCTCTGGTTATATGCGATCCGGCATTTCCTTCGACCCGACCATCGAAAGCATCGGAAAATCAGGTTTTTCATCGATGAGGAGGGAGAGACAAAAATGTTAGCGGCATTTGCTTCGAAGTTACATTTCTCATCGAACTCCATTACCCATCTCCTGTCATGTGGAATGCCACAATCTAGGACCAGAGTCATCCTGGATGAGGGGGCTGGCACAAGATATGCAAAGGAGAGCGAAAGGTACGGAATTCCACACCCTGCAAGTTGGCAATTGGATCGTCAACTGCTGTATTTGGACCGTATTTATTCTTCACCAGAATGTCATGATGGAATCACCACTTTCTTCGTTTTTCAGAGTGTGTTCTATCATTTTTTCGGATATCCAGATGGTTTCACCGTTGCTCGGATGACGTCCGAACAACAAGATCCACCACCTTCAGCTGAATCCACCTTGAATGAGAATCATAGCGAACCTGAACCTACCAGACAGACAAACCCAAATTTTAGTGATCAGGGCGCGACTAACATCATGTCCGAGAACGACTGGCCATCGAACAATCCGCCACCTTCGGCCGAAGCCACCGCTGATGAGGCTTTTGATAGACAAGATACACCTATGGATTTCAGCGAAGAAGGCACAACATACACATCTACTGACCAGACTTACACCTCTCAAGCAACAGACTCCCCCTCGGAATCAGCTCCTACCAATCCTGTCGCTGAAGATCAAAATTATACAGGCACCTTGTCTCAAAGGATGATTGGCGAGCTGTTGGAAAGAATTTCACAACTCAAAAACGAATCCGAGCGGCTTAGAAAAGAGAAACTATCAAAGCATTTGGAGTCGGCGGATTCCCTACTCGACACCATAGTTCGGGTGAGCCAGGCGAGCCTTTCAGAGGGATACGAAAATCTCGAAGAGCTCGAAAACCGGACCAAAATGTTGAAGCTATCACTGTCTGCGCGCATAGAAGGTCTGGACGATTGCAGCGGAGCTTGCTTAACAATGACAGCGGAGCTGGAAGGTATGAAGCGGGAACTGGAGCAACCTCTTGCAACAACAAACCAAGAAGCAATCCATGCCCTGAGTCAGATCCACCATCTATACGAACGATTGGTCGAGACGATGGTCGTTCGTTATGATTTCTACCGCACTCAGGTCGACAATGATATCTCCTTCGAGCAGCAAATCGGTGAAGAATTATTGAGAGACGCAGTAGCTGTACAACACTTGTATATCTTGAATACAAGCAGGGGTTTTGATGAATTAATGAAATCTATCACGAAGGAAAGGAGTACTATAGAGCTGATAATGAAATTTGCAGAAGAGGAAGGAGACGACTCGGCGACCACGCTGAATGATATCGCGACAGCCTGGGACACTGCAAATGAGAAGTGGAAAAAGTTGGAGGCTGAACTGAGAGGCATCAAGATACCTCCAGTGAATATATCTCAATGCTGGGAATTATTCCACTGGCAAGAACAATGGGGCCCCGTCAGTGACGAGCTTAGAGATACAGTTACGACATCACAAGATAGATTCGACACGACTGGAAAATATCTGTTTGGAAAAATCCGGCACAATTTACAGCTACAGTTAAAGAAGCAGGCTGAGCGTGTAGAATCAATGACTCCGAAAACAGCTGATGTGCAGGATTTGGCGGAAAGAGTACAAAGGAACCAAACTCTTCTGGGAGCGGTGGATACATGGCAAGATCTCCAACAATGTCAAGCGCGCGTGAAAGAGACAGAGACTCTATTGGCCCAGAACGCTAGTATCCACGATCTTGGGATGGATACTGAACCTGAGGCTCCGAGGCTAGCAGAACTAGATAGGATAGATGCTCACGTGAAATATGTGGTTGCATGCTTCGTGGATGAGGACTGGGAGAAAGATCAGACTTATGGGAAATCATACAAGGAAGCACTCATCAATTATGAAAAGTCCTCCCAAGCTGATGACAAGGCCGGGCGCTTGCGGGAAGCAGCGATCGAGCTGGAGAGAAGCGTGTATAATGGTGTCCAAAGATACCTCGCTGTTCACCGAGATTCGAGAAAGAACCGCGAGTTTCTGGAAACATGTATGAAAATCGTAGGTTGGGCATCTCGAAGGCAGACACATATCGCTGACACCATTGATCTGGATGTACGTCCGGGTTCTAACGAATACAACGATCATGAACTGTGGTCTAAACAATTTCGTGCCATTCGGAATCAAATCTCCACGCCTAGAAGGAGTTCTCGTCTTCAACAGCTGCTAAATATCAAAGTTTGGGTCAGAGTAGAATCTGGGAGATGCCGTCCGTTGATGATCGAAGTCGACCGCAAAGACTTGAAAGTTTTAGGGGAACAGTTCACGAAAGGAGGCTTTACTCTTGCAGTACTCCGGGTCACTGGATCGTCATGTAGATTAGTCCCCATAAACTTCTCCGTGGCGAACCAGGTGGTTAGCGGAAAGGAATTCGTTGGATTATTCGCATGCCAAGGATCGATTAAATGGTATGATCAATATGGGGCTTATCTTGAGCAATCCGAAAACTTTTCACGAGTGACGTGGGGCAATGGAGACGTACCCCCCTGGGAGAAAGTAGATAGTAGATTCGATTTCAATCTTACAGAGGCTGCGGGGCTTGCAGAAGGCAGTGATTCATCTGAGCTCTAGCACGTTAGACTTCAAGATCGTAGGATAGAATTCCCAGATACCTATGGAATCTATATTGTTCAACCCATTTTCTAATTCATCCCAAGATCAGTTACACAGAACGGCTAAAGACCTAGGATTCCCATAGTATTGTATAAATCTTCCTGGGAATGGCTTCCCAGGATCTGATTTCTATAACTGACGCGGACCGGGGCTAAAATACCTAGTTCCCGTACAGTGCTAGGACTAACTATAATACAGGATAATGTTCCTTGAACGGGGACTGTGATGGGAAGGTTGGGCGAGGATACGGGTGGGTTCAGGACTATCAACCTAAATCCACTATGGATGCAAGAACACGAGCACATGTCCGAGATGGCCTGAGAGCCCGGCTCGATTCGGGACGCCGGGACTGGGTTCGAGTAGGGTCTAAGACCATGGTCCTAGGCCCAAAATCATGAACCAATCACTTCAGGCTTAGTGGAGTCCAACCCACAGGCAATCCGGCCAGCATCGGCCTAGGCAGCAACCGCAAAATCAATGTGCTCGCTTCCGGTGTCTGTCCAGCTCGGACACTCCTTCGGCGGCCGTCGCCATAGCGCGAGTGATTGGACGCTCCAGTGGGCCATCTTTGAAGAGCATGAAGATACAGTTCGTTCCCTCTGCCTGCGCCGCCTGATCACATTTCGCAGCCGCGATCTTATGCATGTTCTTGTCATAAAATTCCGCATGCTCGTGCCTTTCGTACCGATCAGCCACGCGCTTGACACGGAACGGGTCGGATCTGTCGAGGGTAATACGTTCAATTTCTTTCCATTGGCGTCCGTTCCACACCCGGAAGCTCATCGTACGGTTCAGACCCACTCCACGATTGTTATGAGGTATGGATATGTGTTGTTGACGGGCCGAAACCCCATTGTTGCGCTGGAATGATGTTTGCGCGGCTTTGTTCGCCAGTTGTGATCTGCGCTCTCTCCAGAGACTGGAAATTGTAGATACAGGAGGCTCAACTTGCCCTAGCGTCGACATCGTATCAGCGCCGATGTCCTCTTCATAACTCTGATTGTTGCCCGGCCACGCAGGCAGATCGGGCATTTCAAACGACGGGTGAAATGATGATTCCCGTGGCTTGATCGCAGAGCCACTCCTAGCTTTGGCAGATTTTACATTTTTCAAAATGCCCTTTGGCCTCGGCTTTCTGCGTGTTACGGTAGCCTGCGGCAACAGTTTATCCGTGAGTTTGCCTAGAGAAGCGAGCTCGGCTCCCTGATCTCGTCCTCTGGTCTCCGAGGCTCCTTCTGAAGGGAAATTCGAGTATCCAGGGAGCATAGTCGCCGCTAGATCCGGCTCCTCGTTCGATCTATTGAGACACACCTCCTCGCTCTCCGCGCCGCGACTCGGGGTACAGTTCTCGTTGTCTTCCTCTCCTGCTCGCGTCGTATTCTCTAACCTCTCATTCCCTGACCGACTGGCTCGAGTCAGACTTTCTCCTCGCCGCTCCAGGCGATCTTGGTCGACAGTGAGCGGTTCAAAGGGAGCTAATACCTGCTCTTCTTCTGCTGTTATTGTCTGCGATAGTGACAAGCCGTTGGTTGGATCTTCTACAACTCGCGCTTTCATGGCATTCTGGTATTGGTCCTCTGCCGAAGTTGGCGTTGCAGTTTCATTTGGCTCCAAACTGATGGAGTGATCCTGGCGCAGCCCTTCACGTAATCTGGTGATAAAACTGGGCAGGTCAATGGGTAAATCAGCGTTAGTGTTTGACCTAGGTTCTTCTACTGGACCTGCATCTGGCGGCAACGAGACAGCCTCATCATCCTGTTCTAACTGAGCTAGAGTGATGGCTCTTTCCTGCGCAATACGCTCCTCTTCTGCGGAAATCAATTCTTGACGTTGCCACTCTTGTTCAGCCGCTTCAGCTGCTGCTTTCTCTTCCGATTCCTTACGACCACGTTCACGTTCACGTTCAGCTGCAATTGCTCTTTCTTCTTCTTTCCGGAGACGGTGTTTGTCGGCAGCCCGCTCTTCTGCTTCTCGCTGCGAACGGGCTTGCTCAGCCGCAATGGCCTCTTCTTGCATCCGCTTTCGTTTGGCCGCTTCAGCTGCTGCTTTCTCTTCTGCTTCCTTACGACCACGTTCACGTTCAGCTGCAATTGCTCTTTCCTCTTCTTCTCGTCGGAGACGGTCTTGGTCGGCAGCCCGCTCTTCTGCTTCTCGCTGCGATCGGGCTTGCTCAGCCGCAATGGCCTCTTCTTGCATCTGCTTTCGTTTGGCCGCTTCAGCTGCTGCTTTCTCTTCCGATTCCTTACGACCACGTTCACGTTCACGTTCAGCTGCAATTGCTCTTTGCTCTTCTTCTCGTCGGAGACGGTCTTGGTCGGCAGCCCGCTCTTCTGCTTCTCGCTGCGATCGGGCTTGCTCAGCCGCAATGGCCTCTTCTTGCATCCGCTTTCGTTCGGCCACTTCAGCTGCAATTGCTCTTTGCTCTTCTTCTCGTCGGAGACGGTCTTGATCGGCAGCCCGCTCTTCTGCTTCTCGCTGCGAACGGGCTTGCTCAGCCGCAATGGCCTCTTCTTGCAGCCGCTTTCGTTCGGCCGCTTCAGCTGCTGCTTTCTCTTCCGCTTCCTTACGACCACGTTCACGTTCACGTTCACGTTCAGCTGCAATTGCTCTTTGCTCTTCTTCTCGTCGGAGACGGTCTTGATCGGCAGCCCGCTCTTCTGCTTCTCGCTGCGAACGGGCTTGCTCAGCCGCAATGGCCTCTTCTTGTAGCCGCTTTCGTTCGGCCGCTTCAGCCGCCGCTTTCTCCTCCTCTTCCTTACGACCACGTTCACGTTCACGTTCAGCTGCAATTGTCCTTTCCCCTTCTTCTCGTCGGAGGCGGTCCTGATCGGCAGCCCCTCCTTCTGCTTCTTGCTGTGAACAAGATTGTCTGGGGACTTCGGCTTCTGACCGCGCTTGGTTGGCATCTGTTTCCTGTTGTAATCGCTCTCCTTCTCCAGCTAAAGCATCCGTTTCCCTCGACAGGTGCGCCTCATCGGGTAGTCGCTGTTCTACTGGCTGATGGGTCTCCTCTTCCGGATGTCCACGGTCTTCCATCTCCGTATCTGACGTTCGGCCAGTGACTCCAGGTCCCAAATCCCCCTTTGGTTCATCATTAGGGACAAATAATGGGGAAAATGGGGTGCCAGGATCGGCCTGCCTTGTTGAGCTTCCTGCAGGGGGTTGCAGCGATAGGGAGAACTTCCCAAGAAAGGCGAAATAAACGCATCGCCGCACGTATAATGTCGAAACAATTTCGGTTGGTGAAGCAGTGCTGTGCAAGCGATCAATGAAGAGAAATCGGCTGTCGTTTATCTGAGACTGCGTGGACGGAAGGCCACACCGAGCCCTTCGGGTGGCAGGAAAACTGACCAGAGAATGTGAATGCGGTGTGTAATTGCGTGGTGTGGCCGCATCGAAGCACTCGACAATGCGGCGGACTGACTGCTCGAACACATCGGCCGAGTATTCATAACTGTCTGGTTTCCTAGCTTTCAGTAAGCAATGCACTGCGATCTGTCTATCTGGAGACCGGTCTATAATATCCTGGATGCTGGGAGATGTAAATCCCAGCTTCCGTGCAAGGACGGCCATATCGTAGACGACAGTCTCGTCCGCTTTCTCGCTAGCTGGCTTCGCCAATAGATCGTCGCCCTCGGGGTCTTTGGCCATATTAGGGTAATGGCGCATGGCGTACAGCCACACCTGCCGATAAGCCAGCTCCACATGATTTGCGCCAGTGTGGCCACGGCGCTCAACCCGGGATTCGGAGGTCTGGACAAGGCATTCGTCTTCGTTCAGCGCTGGCCGCATATAGTGATGGCTCATTGCGGACCGCAAAGTTGGGCTGTACTTAGACAGGGGAAAGAGCCTTTTAACCGCGTGGGCGCATGGCTGCAGAAAGTCTACATCCCGAAAAAATGTGTGCAGAGATGGAATCAAACCGTCGAACTGTTGCAATCGTTCCCACATATGGCTTCTCTCGGTGGCACTGAATGCACCGAGAACCTCGCCGCTAACCACCCAACCATGCACGCTTCTCGCATCCTCCTGAGAAACTCCTGGGGCCATCAATTCCAGCATCTTCACCGTGTGTGAATCGATCTTCATCATGGCCGCAAGGTCAGGATGAGCGGCATCGGGGCTGACGAGCGCGGCCCAGAATTGCTTGACGTGACAGGTCAGGTAGTTCACAATCTCCTAGAACAGATCAGCACTGTACAGGGGGACCTGCAGAATTAAACAACCTCATCGCTGTCAAGAGCCATCACCTTGGCGAGCTTCCCTATGCTCATACCACCCCAGATCCCCGAGATCGGCAGAAGACCATCAAACGCGGAACTGATATCGATGTTCTTTTGAAGCTGACGAAGGCGCTTGGCTTTGTTTGGTGACAACCTGGCCCACCACCGTTTCTGGAAGCGAGCATTGTGCTCTTGTTGATATTGGCGGATCTTGCGGTAAATCTCCCCGTCACTAGGTTGTCTTTCGTTGCTATATTCCTCAATTAGTGCAGTGCGCAACTCGACGCTGATATCTAGATTCTCTTAGTTCTGCTTACGATAAAGTGGTTATACTTACCATCAAGGTAGAGATCCACACTCCACCATCGATCTCCTTCCGGAAGAACTTCAGCGCCAGCTCGAACACGATGTAAGCCATGGAGACAGAGAACCCCGCCGGTGGAGAAATGAAGATGGGGGAAATTATTAGGCGCGGCAGTTAGGAGGTCATCAGGGGTCTTCCGTGCTGTGTTGAGTGCGGTCTGTAAAGCCTCTGCGGAGACAACCGCAGTAATGTGGTTTTGGATGTCATATCGACGGCAGCCCTCTTTTCGAAAAATCTCACAGAGTCGGGTTATATTTTTCGGCTCTATGGCCCGCGATGAGTCTGGGTGGAAACGGATTTGTTGTAGATCAATCTTAGCTATCCCTTGGTATTTACGGCTTCGCTCTGTGCCCAGTTGAATTTCAGTGTCTGTAAATATGAGGGGTTCCATAGTCAGTTGCCCCACGGTGCAGGAAGTTTATTTCGCGCAGAAGAGTGGATTGTTCGTTCCTTTTATACTTGATTCGATGGTCTGACCTGGGGCAGCCGCTTTTAGCCACCTAGATAGGGGTGAATGCTGCCTAGTAGTTCGTAGAAAAATATAAACAGCTTTATGGTCCCCAGTGAGCTACAATTTTTCTCCGCAACCACCCACTCTCTGAATTAGCCTACCATCATGTCTCCCAACACGAAGTTTGGTCTTGCTTCAGGTGTAGACCAAATCGCTCCGATACAGTTTCCCAGCAGGCGCAAGTACACTTCTATCAGCAACGGACAAGGAGGTGTTCTAGAGACTATGGAAATGAACCCCTACCTGCCACCGAGGGTCAAACACCATTCTCCATGGGAAGATTATAGAAAGGAGTTCGGTTGTGAGCTCGCAGGTGACGCTGTGGCGGTTATCCATAAACGGGAACCTTCAAAAGTCTTCTTACTGAGGTGCTACCCTCAAAGCATTGGAGATCAGATGTTGCAATGGTTTACCCAACTTCGACATCCAAATATCATGTCCGCAAAAGAATGCTTCTCTGCTGAAAATTCGTTCTATGCTCTGTGTGAAGATCTCCCTCTGACTTTAGAGCATCTCATTGTTTGTCGTGCCTACCCCACTGAAGCCCAACTGGCCTTGATCCTAAAACAGGTAATTCTCTCCTCTCTCTTCCAGGGCACAATTAACCATGAGGAAGATATTGGAAGGCCTCTCTTACCTGATGGCGGAAAACCTGGACCACCAGTCGTTAACTGCCTCCAACATTCTAATGGGGCTCGACGGGGTCGTGAAGATGGGTGGGGATGTTCGCGATCTTTCTCTGCTAAACGTTTGGCTGAGCGTATCTAGGTTCATTAGAAGACATTCGGTCCCGCAACCAAAACCGCGATCAACGCGAAACTTTGAACGCTTTGGCGACAGTTACCATGGAGCTAATGGAAAAACACACGAGAAAGAGTGATGCACCCGGTGTGAATGACCTGGACCGTTGGCCTGCGGACTCGAACGCGGTGAAGTTTCTAGCAACCATTGAATCTGCCCGTAATGTTGATGAATTGAGCAAGGTGAGGCTACTTCGGCCAATCAAAGCGCTAAAACTTACAGACTATCAGCACCCACTTATAGCAAAATGCACACACACTAAGGGAAACCTAGTTGGGTTGGCTCGATTTGCCTTGATCTCCGCCCGGACTTTCTATTCCTATCCGTGATCTCGGTCCTGTGGGATTACCCCGTTAGACCATGTCATAGCAATATTCTGGCTTAGTACTCGTGGTTCATACACAATGAAAACCTTTTCCTCCCTAACTGCCTGAAACGAATGAAGGTCCGGTAATACGGGGGACATCTACGACAGACCCGTGTGGTTAAGGTCACAGTGCCTACAGAATCTTTCTTCAACTTCTTCTCTCCACCTAAGCCTCCTGCCGATGAAGATGACGCCATCAGTGATATTGAGGAACGACTGGAGCTCGACTACCAAGATCCTGTTGAACAGTCTTTGGTTCAGTAGATATTTTGCTTCTAGAAAAAGGTATCTGTTTGTGAGGTAATTAGGAGACCGTTCATCAGATCGTCGGTTGCATTAAACTATCGTTTATAATGTATGATTTTACCATAAATCTGAGGAAAGGCATGCCGTCGTAAACGAGGTCCGCTCTCTCTATAAGTTACTTATATCTTCCAGACAGATGAGCGTGGTAGGTTTCGTAAATGAACGCAAAATGAGCGAGACGCGCCGTCGGAGTAGATTTCAACACTTAGTATTCAATAACGCGACCGATAATACCAGGGATCCGGGTGCTCTGGTTGACGAGGAGGCGCCAAAGACAACTGGGAAGATTTCACTCCCTCAACATGGGAGATTATCCTCTTCAGGCAAACCCCGGAGAGTAGTCAAGACAGAAACTACGACTCCTAAGAAGGTTTCATTCACTCAACCTGGGATATTATCGTCTTCAGGCAAACCTAAAGGCGTATTCAAAACGAAAACTTCAAAATTGACAAGAACTAACACCAAACATCGCATCGAAAGCCCGTGGGATAACTACGTCTTCGTGGATGAAATCGTCAAGGATGATGATACAGTAATCAAGGTACGGAAGTCCGTGTCCGGGCAAATGTTTGCTTTCCGCACGTTTCCAAACGATGAGAAATTTGAGGTGATTGAGCAGCAGTTCAAACTTCTGGATCATCATAATGTTCTCTCGGCACAGGAATTTTTCAGGCATGGGCAAAGAGCTTTCATTCGCTCATCAGTGATGGATATTTCCTTTGATCGGATTGTCATGTGCCGCCAATATCCATCATCTAGAGTATTAGCATCGATGATCGGACAGGTAAGCTGAGTCCCCCTGAAAGGGGTTGGCTAACTAAATTTTAGACAATGGATGGCCTCCACTACTTGGTATCAAATGGCGTAATATGTGATTCATTGACTTGCTCCAAGCTCATGGCCAATAAGGACGGTTGTGTCAAAATTGGTATGTTGATCACGCACAGAGGTCGCATGTTCTAAGTTGGCTCAGTGGCATTCTCGGACGCAAAGATTCAAGAGGATATACGCGCCTCAACAACCAACTTAATCATGCGGTTGACTTCAGTCATGGTGTTATTAATGCAAAAATTCGATAACGAGGCAGGCGAGACCAGTATCCAAGACAACGCTCGGTGGTCTCCGCAAGATGAAGCCTGCAGGTTTCTCCAGGATCTACATAGCACCAAGGATTTCCATACAATCTACCGTGTAAGTCCCTTGCCATCATCCTCGGTAAAGAATTCGAGTACTTACAGCGTTCAGCATCGTTTTATCGATCCGAAAGAACGGGATGGTGACGGTTTCAAGGACTTGATTGTGAAGGCATCGGATACAACATTAGATTTACATGTGAGACTAGATCAGCGCGAAGAATTTCAACCAATCTGATCTTCGTTTGGGGGTATGTACCTTGTATTTAGTGAGCAGAGATACAGACCTTACAGTAAGATCAGTTCCGCCATTGTACCATATGTTACAGTTGTTTGTAAAACCGGTGCACGCTTTTACTCACTCCAATAGTTTTCGAGTCCCTTCTGCCAAGTCCCACTAAATCATATTCACAGATTATTCCGAAGCCCCTGCCTCAGATTTCCGTAATGAGTTGGTACGGTATAACTGAGAGCATTCAATCATGTGTATGCACATTACAAGTTTTATATTCGGCCGAACTTACCGTGGCCCCCTCATTTTCGCCTACAGTAACATACTATGATAGGCATTAAGCGGTAGGGAAGCGACGGAGTAACCCGCGTCCTGGTGAAACGAAATTCAACATACATCAAGTTTCTCCAATCATCCAATACTTTCTCGACACGCGAATGGTTTATTATGATAACAACATCTTATTTTCAACTTGTTCTTTTATTCGATTTAATAACGATATGTTGGCGGATGAATCCATCGCAGAGGATGGTCAACCAGGTTTGAGAAGGAGTCGAATTCTCTTAGCTTTGAAACAGATATAAATGATTCAACATGAAGCTTTCTTTCCGCACATCTCCGTCTTGTTGGCACTGCAAAAAGAAAATACGAGCATCTGTAGTATCGATGGAGATAGTTTTCAAGGACGGATGCTGTCCTAGGTAGATAAGCACAAAACGAAGTCCGCTTGCTAGAACTTCCGCCCTTGCTGAGCACTGCGTGACTGCTACTGAATCCAGTGCTGGAGGTAAGGAAAGCTTTAAGGAAATGTTGAAATAATCCACACCTAGTCTCTTAAGAGATGCAAAGACTTTGAAGGATCCAAACTTGGGAATCTGGTTACATACTTTGGTCCGCAATCTTCAAAAATGGTCAATGGCTTGAAGAGGTGACAGAAAAAGATACAAATATCTCTCAGGGTTAACCAGTAAGTACATGTATCTCCGTGCTATTCGTGCCTGTCTGGCTTTTCTTAATGGCAACGAGGTCCGGGCGATCGTGACCGCTCCAACGAGTCATACTAAAACTGAAAGTAGCATCTGTATTGTGGAGCCCAGTGCCCGTGTGGAGGAAAAAACCTTGAAAGTTCGTAGCCCCAGATAGGATATGCACCTCTGTGCTGTTTGTGCCGGTCTGGCTCTTCTTGATGGCAACGAGGTCTGGCTGTCCGTCGCTATTCCAGTCAGTCATTATGAAGTCGAAGGTATTATCTGTCTCGTGGAGCATAGTACCCGTCTGAAGGATATAATTCTGGAAGCTCGAAGCCCCAGATAGGATATGCACCTCTGTGCTGTTTGTGCCGGTCTGGCTCTTCTTGATGGCAACAAGATCTGGCTGTCCATCGCTATTCCAGTCAGTCATTATGAAGGCGAAGGTATTATCTGTCTCGTGGGGCACAGTACCCGTCTGAAGGATAAAGCTCTGGAAGTTCGAAGCCCCGGATAGGATATGTACCTCTGTGCTGTTTGTGCCGGTGCTACTTTTCTTGATAGCAATGAGGTCTGGCCGTCCGTCGCCGTTCCAGTCTGTCATTATGAAGTCAAAGGTATTATCTGTCTCGTGGAGTACAGTACCCGTCTGAAGGATAAAATTCTGGAAGTGAGACCTAAACGTGGAACTCTCCCACACTGCCTTGTTTCCGCTGGCGTAAAGAACCAGATTACCGTCATCCTGAAGCATGAGGACTTCCCCTCCAAGTCCATTCGTGCCCGTTCTCCACAGGGCATGCTCCGGAGTGTTATATCCACCATACTGAACCACATTCCCATCGTCCTGTGCCATGATTCGATAGGGGGGCACTCCCATACCATCCGTGAAGCTTTGCCAAAGTACTTCGTTGTGCATTGCGTACAGTACGACGTTTCCGTCGCCTTGAAGGATGAAGCGGTACAGGGAGTTTTCAGATTGCAAATAGTCGCCTTCGTACATTGTGGCGTTCTGCAGAATGATTCGTGAGCCTAGATTGTGGCCCAGAGGTATCTGACGTCCTAGTGAAAGTTCATCACGGGCTTTCATAACCTTATCGATCGTCTCGTTGGCTTTGCTCTCCGCCTCAACTTCAATAGGCATGCTGGCGTGGACTTTATTCACGAAAAACATCCATAATTTGCCTAATTTTGAAAGATCCTCGAGGCTGCCAATTCCAGCCTGAACGAGATATTTATTGATGAAAGCGGTCAATCCCCCAAGCTTCTTGTACTGTACGACGTGTTGTAGTTCATGAAGGATCCAATGTATGTCACCACGAGCACCCTCGTCGTACCGATCGAGATTGATAGATCTCGGAAAATGAATGTTGTTCCCGAACGTGATCGCGTTGTCGTCTTGAAGGGTACTGATCCCTTCCGCGTAACAGACTTTGCTAAGGTCGACATCATATACATCGAGCTCCTACAGAACTAGCTTGAGCCATAGAGGTAGGGGTTTATATTTCCCCATAGCCTGGGCTTCGACATATTCTATGTAAGCTTTGGAAATTGGATCAAGTAACAGAGGGTCCAGTATTTGGTCCCACACCGGCTGAAGAACATTTTTGTCAAGGTTAGCCAACTCTATCCGCACTTGAGAATTCTTGTTAAAAGGATCCATATCCTTGATCTTGAGCTTTTTGATGTTTTTCAGCCAACCCATTGCGTAAGATAGTGAAAATGACTTGGGCCGAATTGGAACTTAGGATGTGTCGTAAATTAAATGGCGTTGTGGCACCAGAGAAAAGTCAGGCGTAAGAGCGACAGAAGCAAATAAGAATTTAGCTAACCTAGCGGCAGTGAAACCTGAAGATTATAGATAAGCATACTAAAAAGGCCGGACGAGGGATGAATGGTAACACTGTAGAAGATTAAATCGCGTGAAGGAGATGTTGATCTGAATACTTTGAAACGAGGAGTGATGTAGGATTTGCGGCCCTTAAGGAAAGTTTTGAGAAGCGTCATCGGTAGCACTATGATGGTCACATTAAATCAAGGCCACGCAAAACTTAGGAGCAATAACTCTTGCCAAATGTCATTATCGTCATAGACTTTGCTCAGTCAGCCTCATCATAATCGAGGCCTTTGCACATGGAACCACTTCTTCCCAACGTAAACTAACTCTCAAGGTCATCGAGTTTCTGTACTCCTTCCTTGAGGCGGATTGGCTCTCTATAGCGGAAACCCATACAACTATATTTTCTTCGAGAGCTCTTAAATAGATGGCTTCAAAGACAAGGCCTTCAAGCAGGACACGGCAACTCGCTGCGCGTTCACATTGTCTTGGTGAATACTAGAGGAGCCAAGCTGGCCAGCTTTGGTAACAGTAGGTGCCATGATGGTTTGCAGATAAGAGCAGAAAACATTGCTAGGGGGTGCTCCACCTTAGCCATACGGCGCGCTCCTATTGGCTGGACGCATGACTCTATGATTGATATAGACTTTCTGATTGGTTCGGAATCATTCGATACTTCTGAATACTTGCTCTGCCTTGCGCCGCCAAGCCAACAGGTCGGAATCACGTTCCGACACAACTAGGGTCTAGAGCTACGTTGTATTTCCAAACCGCAAGCGGAAGTCTGTAGGGTGGGAGGCGACTGAGTAGACCCAGTCCGAGTGGCCCTCGAGCATCCGGAGCGCAGCTCCTGTTGTCGCATCCCAGAGAATTGAGTCAATTCAGATGTTTGCGGTCTAATGACAAAATTATAACCATGGACTGTTCTTTTTTTTGTTGCAAATATGTGGTTCAGTGCTTATACGGACGAATCAGATGGTAGGAATATAGTAATATGCCGTACAGTACATGTAACACGGTCTACTCTCTTGTTTGTTGATAATAGAAACAACAATATCTGGTGCTGAGCATTGCAAGATGACGATACAGTATCTCTATTCTTTTTACGGAAGAGAAAGATGGAGGGTAGTCAATCCTTCCTAGCTACAGTATCACATTTTACTGGCACAGGCTTTAAATACCAGTTTTTCAAATAGTGCCGGTCATCAAATTCCATTATTATAGCTCAGGATGTCGCATAGCTATAAGATAGCATATACCATCCAATTTCCTGTCCGCTTTGCGATTAGTAACTACAATGTGATGGAGCCTTTTGTCGGTTACCTTGTGGCTAGCATATTGTGCCTCTGTGTCGTGGCTTTAATTGCTTTCCGGAATAGAAATCGCTTAATGCCTGTGGCTTATCAAATTTTGCGAATACTTCAAAATACATGGAAATATCTGCTATATACAAATATTGTTGGACGACATCGATATCTCGGCCCCTGGACCGTGGCTGAAGTCCTGCTACACCTCCTATACATTTCGGCAAATGTACTTGGCGTCGTCTATCCTCCCATTTCTGTGCGAGGCCTTACTAGTCGAGCCGGTGCTGTAGCCCTTGTTAATATTGGATTTCTATGTTGTAGTCTGAATGTTGACTTTGTGGCGGAGATCTTTGGCCTGACCCCGATGAAATGGAGGCACTTGCACCGCGCGGTGGCCTGGATGACGGGGACATTGACCACTGTTCACGTCATCTCTGCGGTACACCAAGGCTCCACACAGTTGGGACGTGCCAGCTACGTCGGCTCTATTTTGGTGAGTATTGCCTCTGCGCTCTATCTTGCATCTAACGCCGCCTAGGGATTCGTCCTTATATTGACGATACTCATTGCGTCTGCTAATCCGCTGAAATGGTGGAGTGGATTGTTGGCTTCCAATTTCCATGCATTGTTTGCACTCGTTGCGATCACTGCCGTATATACCCATATAGTTGTCGAGACAGGTGTGTCTTGGAAGATTTTCATCCTTCCGGGTATCTTTACTGTAACCCTCTCGAGGGATGTCTGGTATTTCCTATATAGAAATGGTATGCTCAGTGGGAAAGGTTGGACCCGAGTCTCTTTCATTCGACTTGGGGATAATACAACACAGCTCTGTCTATGCCCGGGCAGACCGGTACATGTTTACCCTGGTCAGTATATCAAGTTGTGGGTTCCATTCTCCAAACACTCTTCGTGGTGGTACTTCCGGCAATATCATGTCCAGTCGTGGGAACCCACGGCACAGCAGCAGCTGAAGCTCTACGATCTTCCCAGCGGGTTCATTTCCAAGAGTCAAAAGAAAATGTTATACTTGCAGGAGAGCGCGCCACACCGGGCATTTTTCACTGGCCCGTACGGCTTACATCACGAGTACACCCAATATGAGACAATACTGATAATAATTTACGATTATGGAATCCTGTCGGTATACTCTCAGCTTCAATATATCTACTATTGTATTGAGAATAGGACATCAAAGGCACGTCGACTGCGCCTGGTGTGGCAGTGGGACATTATACCGAAAACGGAATATTCTTTCCCTGAAATCAAGGCCCTTGAAGAAAAAATCCATGCGATACTTAACGAGTTCTCGCAAAAAGTCGGTCTAGACCCTATCGTGCTCAAGTATCACCTCGGTATATACACCCCTCCAGAAAAGCCGGAAGACGACCGTATTCTAGAAGGTGATTTGGCACAGAAAAGGAGACATACGGATAGAGAGAGTCTAGAAAGCGCGGTTCGAGAATATATCTGCGATGAAAAAAGCGACCCCGAAAACATCCAGCTCCGTAAAGCGGCTCTTCGCCATAAGATCAATACAGTAGAAATGCAAATCGCGCCACTGGAAAACAAAATCGAGCAGTATGCGGCGCAGATACGTATATTGGATAGCGTGACTAGCTGGATAAACACTAAATTGAAGCAAAAGATTGAGAATAGCGTCTGTCTCCTCTCTTACGGACTGATCATAGCTGACAATCACATTAGCCCATAGAGTGCAGCGTCTACATTGCCCAGGGTTTGGAAACTTACAGCTCAGGAAGGGCAAAGACGATAGCGGGTACCGCAGGTGTCAGGTCTATTTTTGAAATGGAGGTACAAAATCACCGAAGACGAATAGCCGCCGATGCTCCTGGAACTAGGAGGAACTTTCTTCTCATGGGTAGGTTTAGGTGACTCTATAACTTCATGGTTTTGCTGATAGAATTCTGTAGTCTCTGGTCCCCCTTCTGTACAGGACCTTGTCCGTAATCTCACAGGCGAGAACTTAGGTGATGTTGACTTAAAAGAGTTTCAGTATATACCTGCTCATAGGTTTTAGTTCACTATACGTATTGATACTTCTGGATTGGTGGCTGACTTTTCTATCTATTAAGTTATAGTTAGCTGCTAGATTTGGATGGGTGGATGGATGATTTCATTTACCCTGACCTCTCACTACACTAGCGATATGCAGGTTACTACCACTATCGGTTTCCTTGTAGCTCTAATTACAGTCATCGTCACATTTCTTACGGGTGTGCTGCTACAGTTAGTTGCAAAACTGGTGCACGCTTTTACCCACTTCAACTGTTTAATATGTTTCACCCTAACTCAGTGAGGCAAAGTGTCAGAATAATATTGTTCCAAAAATTTCACTTGACCGTCACTTACTGTATATTAAGATGGTATCATTAGAAACTCACTTATCTGTACAGCGTAAGAAAAGTAGTTCGCAAGAATCCCATACAACAACGGGACCCACTAAGAACTGCCCCTAGGACTACAACAATACAGTACGTAGATCCACAGTTAAACGAATCGAGTTGAACGGATCTGGTCGAATGAATCCGCAGTTAAACAGATCCACACTTGAACAGATTTAGTTGAGCAGATCCACACTTAAACAGATCCACACTTGAACGGATCCACTCTTGAACAGATCTACTATGTATCATAGTATAGTTAAATGGATCCACAGTTAAATTAACGTATATATTTGAATTTGAACATATTTATAATTTAAAACAGATCTAGATTCAAATAGATCCACATTCAAACAGATCTACGTGTGACTACCGTAGCCTATTCCCATGTCTGCTTTGATGAATGATCAGTTGTGGCTAACGTTCTCTGTTCTACCTAACAAAACTTACTTCCTAAGGGTCCTCACTATTGCAGGCTATGCACAATTCTATTTCCACATTGACGGTCACAATATAGCCATCATCCAAGTGGGCGGGGTTTATACGGATCCTCAGCAGGTTCAGGATCTCTATCTTGCCACTGGCCAACGATACGGAGTCTTGCTACATACACTATTGGCCAACTACAAATCAGAACTATGCGATTTTGGGGGCCATGGACATCGCAGGCTTCCCTCGATCTGCACCACCGCCAGCTAACCCAAATGTGACGGGGTTATTAGTATACGACCGTACATTATTATCCATTACCTCCTCAGCCTTACTTATGTGCTAACTTTTATAGTATTTCTGTCCATTCCTTCAACTCCAGTGGTTCAACAGTTCACCACCTTCGACAACTTCTGTCTAAATCCTTTTGATAAAATACCTCTTCTCTATCCTCCTAACAAAGAAATCATATTGAACTTGAGTACATTCTCGCAGACAGTCCCACTAAACGAGTAGAATCGGTAAGAATGAGCTCTGTTTGTCCTTTTCGAAGCGATTGCCTTTTACTAACCGAAACATAGTGGTGGGTTCAACAATATCACATACATTACACAGAGGGTCCCATCGCTGTACACTGCCCTTTCAGGGGGACTGTACGCTTTAAACCCAATGTTAGTTTAGCCTTCTCCCCTTTGGAAGCCAGTTGAGAGCTTAACAGAAAATTCAGCGTGTATGGTAACCATTCCAATCCATTTGTCCTCAGCCTCGGCGACTTCGTGGAAACGACAATATACAACTACGGTAGGTAAAACCCTCAACCCTGGCACGAATCGGGCTAAATCTCTATTGTAGATACTGGACTACACCCAATACACACTCATGGTCACACTGTTCAGCTCGTGGCTCGTACAGGCAGCGAATGTAACTACCGATCAATACCGATGAGACTCGACACATGGAGGGAGCCCCGTTGGAATAGTTCGGATCCTATACTGTCGTCCGTTTCATAGCAGATAACCCTGGCATCTGGTTTTTCCATTGCCACATGGAGTGGCATTTGGTTGCTGTAAGGATGTTCAATTGGCGCTTTTGTATTAATGTATCCCCTAGTCAACAGTAATAAATGCTAACCATTATTGCCACCAGGGAATGGATATCATATTGGTCGGAGACCCGCTGCAAATACAGACAGGACAACCTGATATACCATTGTCGATGAAGTTGATCTGCTTGGAACAGGGGATCCCTCTAATGGGTAATGCAGCAGGCAACTGGATCAATTTCTTGGATCTGACAGGCGAGGTGAATGTGGCTCCAATAGAGTGCGGGTATGTCATGTTCTATTTTTCTATTTTTCTTTCTATTTGTTTTTTTCCCTATCGAAGGCTGATAATATGCTAGATCCGATTATCCTCCGTGTTAAGATGAGGTTCTTGGGTCCAAAACTCTTATCCACGACTACGAAGACTTAATTGACACTTGCGGAGTACATTTTGGAGTCCGACAATTGGATTTAAAGTATATATAACGATTTCAGACAGTTTATTAGCCAATTCTGAGCACCAGTCCAAAAACCCCGGTACTAGTACCACCATTCAATTTTGCTATGAAACGCTAGGCGGTAAATCTCTAGAAATGGGCGAGGAATCTTACTCTTTCCCTTCCTACCTTCGCGTGTTACCTGAATGGCGGGTAGTTCTCTGTCAACAACATGGATTATGCTTTACCCGGCGTAGTCTTCAGCAACATCTACTTAAAAAACATCATTTAAAATACTATGAGCGGATTCATATCAAGCAACATCCAGAATTCCAACTAGTTGCTACTACAATTGATAATATTATATAACCCTCTGACAGTACTACAGTCGCACCAGAAATCTCCTTCCCAATTGCATACATACACATTCATTTTCAAACCCTAACGCCAAGTGTTGTCTACTTGTATATAGCTAGCGTGTTTTAAAAGGAACCAATTACTTAACTGTACATACGTCAAGATGACCCATAATCAGTCTATTTATGGATTAGTACTCTTGGCATTAGGGTTTGAAAACGAATATCTATGTATGCAACTGGGAAGGAGATTTCTAGCGCGACTGTACTGAGATTAATGGTCTTCCAACGATAATAGGATTCCTATGCCATATGGAAAACTGTGACTATCAATCTTCTAATACTGATTGCATACGACAACACTACAACCAGAAGCATAACTGGCGGAAGTGTCATGGTCGTATGCCTTGGCATCAAGTATACCTACAGATATTATTTACTAGACGACAAGATATTGTAAGGGCTGACTGCATCGCGAGATCCAAGGAGCCAATTTGAATGCGCGGAAGATTGATGCCAGCGATCTAAGGCAGGAATACGGTGAATGCCTAAGGCCTTGGCAAGTCAGGATAGTTGGCAGCAAGCGCGCGATCTAGATATTCCTTACCCCTCTCGGCGCCTGACCGGTGCATGAGCGCTTGTGTATATAGAGCGTAGATCTTCGCAGGGAATCCTTGAAGGTCAAGCGATTATTCTCGTACAATCTCACTCGTACCATCTGCTATTGTTGCTCTATCTTAGTTCGTATCTCTTGTGTGTGGATGCCTTAGTATTCGCTTCTTCAAGTGTTCCGTAACCCATACCCTCGTACTCGAACTATCGTTCAACCCAGTCATTACACATATATCGTTAAGCTTAAACGGTCATAGGTCTCCATAAATTGGCTCAGCCTTACCCTTCAATGGACTAGCGCAGCCTCAAAACAAGCCCTGCCAGGGACACTAGGAACATGGTTGGTAAAACACTTCAGCCAATCAAGAAACACAGACTCATACAAAATGAGATATTCAGCGTGCAGTATGCATGCGAGAAGGCTTCAAGTCAACGAACCCTCGCCACGACAAATTCGGTCCAGATTAGAATCTATTTGTGTTTAGCACCCTATTACAGTCACACCAGAAATCTCCTTCCCAAACAAAAGTACATAGACCAATTTTCAAACCCTAACCCACCCCACATGCTAAACCATATATAAATAGTATATCTTTCTGTAAAAGAGCCAGTTTGTATCGAACCTGTTTATGTATTGGTAACTTTGTAACGTAAATACGGTAATCTCCAGACGATTCGGTGCTCAATGCAAACATGATAAACAATGTGGCACGTGCGTACAGGCAGATTCGGAACCCTCCTTCGCATACTCTTTCTTCTTTTTGCCCTACTATAGCTAAGGCATCATTGAATGTGTTTTGCCTCACCTCGTTATTCCAAGTCAGCCTTGCCTTCCAACGCTTACTTATTTGAGCTACTGGACAGTATTACCCTCTGAACCTTCCTCGTCACTTCCTCCTCAACTCATTGACAATGGCGAAAATATTTGACCTCCCAGAGGAACTTATCTGTTTAATTTTAAGCAAACTCCCTCTGGCAGCACTGATTTCTACTTGCCGCGTTTCAAAACGCCTGCATGAATATACCCTACCTTATCTCTGCAATTCCTTCCAAAAGAGTTCCGATTATAAACGTACACGAAAAAGACTCCGAGGTTTCCTCAAAATACTCACAACAAATGTTTATGTCCGTTCTTATGTGAGATCAATCATTATCGATCACATGTGTGACGTTGGCATGAAGACTCTGCAAAACTTGATCATTCCACTTCTATCATATACACCAGACATACGACAACTTGCAATACCAGGACATATAAAACTCCTAGCTTTGCTAAGCGCCGCGATCGACGAAAAAAAGGTTTCTCTTCAAAGCTTACAAGAGCTCCGCTGCGTGAACTGTGATCCGGAAATATGGAAAATAATTTATTATTTCCCACAACTATCACGACTGTCACTGAAAAACCTGCCACTTGATGAATCAACATTAGCATTATCAGCATCTTCTCTTCCTATCAAGTCTATCTTGCTCGAGGGATGTGACCTTGATTCAAATGCCATATGTGCTGTGATTAAGAGCTGCAGATGTCTAGCAAGTTTCCAATACCTTCATTCAGATCGAGAAATTATCCTTTGTCCACTTGTCCGGAGAACACCAGCATCTTCTCACCCCTGTCTGAATATTGAAGAAATATATGAAGCTTTGCTTCTCCACAAGGACAGCCTGGAAGAACTTGTCATTCATGACCACAAATGTGTGAAGCGTTATACAGTTGTTTGCAAAAACGGTGCACGCTTTTACTTCCTCCAATTGTTTGACACGTTTCATCCTAACCTTGATCAGGAAAAGTGCCGGATTAATGATATTTCCAAAGTTTCATGTGACTGTAATTTACCGTAAATAACATGATGTCACTTGAAACTCTAATACATTGTAAACATCAGGCCAAGGATGCCAAGAATTGGATCCAACAATCGCTTAGAAGTCGATAGCATCGACGTAAAGCTGTGCCGTGCTTACATGAAAATGGAATTATCATTTGTAATCCAGCTCTCCAGAAATGCCTTCATGCATGCAGCTGCTGAGACAGCCGCATAGTACTGCCATTTCTTGCTTTTGTGGCTGTCGGCGTAGTCACAGACCCCTTTTATTATCAAGCAGGGAAGAGTGTCCCACACACCTGCTCCTTCCATCTCGAAAGCAATCACTTTCTCTTTCCCAGCAATTTGATCTCGATCTTCTCCTGATTTCATTACAACGTCTCCCGATGCTACTAATCCGAAGTGTACCTTAGGCTCGTAAGAGGTTAGCTCATTTTCCGCGCCGTTCGCTCCGGATTTGCTAAGCCGGGCCCTTAGCACCGATTCCTCGTCGCCACAATTGAGCTGCTCGCACGTTAAACCAACGGCTTCATCGCACACTGGATCTGTTTTGTGTGAGCATGCCTTGCACAGTACACAGCCAGATAGTCTCTGATGCTTGTGACGATAGCTTGAGAGAAACAACTTATCCTGACTGGCACCGGGATACAGCGATGTTTCACCAAGAACTCGTTGCAAGATCGGTATATATCTGTTTACCTTTGCTTCAAGATTCTTGTGGTCCCATCGGCTCTTCAATTTCGCTAGAACCGCCCTGATTTCGGCGTTGGGTCTTCCCAAGCTATCCAGAATATTGTCTTTCCTCGCAAAATGGTCGGGATATTGCCTCCCGAAATCGTGGGGGATAATCCCTTCGCTGATAACGATGTCTCCCAGAAAAATATCATCACCGGTTGAAGTAGTTGGCACCCCTCCGCAGATCCCGACCACAATAGCAAGCTGAACACCTTGAAAGCTGGAACGAAGATTGGCTGCAACACTGGCAGCGGCCTCTTTTCCTATTGCTGGCATATGTGCCAGAACAACGTTGTGACGCCCGATTGTACCGGTTGAATACGCGTTCTGGTCCCTTGGGGCTTTACCAAACGCATCCCCATCATCATCCCATCTTTTATCAAATACTGCTTTAACCGCGTCAGCTTCAAGTGGCAAAGCGCATAAGAGAGCAATTCTGAAATCTCCACGATGTCTTGGACGAGTTGGATCTGCCTCAATGGCTAGAGAAGAGGGAGAGGTCTCATGAAAATGGCTAGCAGTTGAGGGCCTTGGAAATCCTTGCTGACGATAGATTGAACCTGCAAGTTGAGCAAATAATGCTGGTAAAAATGTGTCGTTATTATTTGTGAAAACTGACAGAGGCCGATCGTCTGTTGGTTCTGGGAGCACACCCAGCTGGTGGAGACCCAATTCAGAATGGGCCGCTTGAAGCCGCTGGACTAAAAGGCCAGTGTTGTATCTAAGTATCGCAGCTTGCACATTGAGATCACCTGTAAGAGATAGATTCTCAGCTCCTGAGAGTTGACCTGGTGGTATCGTGGTTGCTGTGGATGCTTGGAAATTCTGAGTTCTAGGGATCACTGAGAGAAGCTCTTTAGCATATGCCGCTGCAGTTGCTGCCGCGTATCCTTGCCACTGCTTATTCTTATGCGAATCGGTATAATCACAAATGCCCCGAATGACCAAACACGGGAGGCGGTCCATCACTCCAGCAGCCCCCATTTCAAAACAGAGGATTCCACGCTGACTGGCGAGTTTGTCTCGAAATTCGCCACTCTTAATTACGATGTTGCTGGACGCAATCAGACCGTAATGAATTACTGGGTCTTTCCTGTCACGGGGAGGCCGAGCCACCAGCCAACTCGGGTCGCAGAGGTCACACGTGGCTTCGCCACCGACGTGCTCGTATTGAGCTTCGAAGAGTTGATCTTGCTGTTGACCGCGATGTGTAAACTCAGTAGACAAAGAGGGATGTCTAGCTACTATTTCAGACAGGTACTCTGGAATCCGACTATCACCCAACATATGGGACGACCGTAGTGAAGACAAAGCCGTCAGGAGTAGAGCAGGAGGTCTGCCGATTGTGCCACGCTGGAAAATGCCGTCTTGAAGAGATTTGTCGAAAGAATACTGAACTACGCCGCCAGAATCGTGGCTCGGTGTACCCACTACGACATCTCCCAGTCGAATGTCAGCACTTTGACTAGGCACACCTCCTCCAATACCGACCATCAAGGCGAAACGGATTTGGCTGAAGCTTAACACCATCATGCTGGCCACTGTTACCGCGGCTGTCGTGCCGTATGCGCCAGAAGGCAAACAGGCGATGACAATGTTGTGATCACAAATCTGTCCCAGGACATAGCTATTGTTATCGCTGCCCATGTTGGGCAGTTCAGGATGGACCTGGTCCAGCATAGCTTTGGCGGCAGCAAACTCTAGCGGAAGGGCACAAATCCATCCGATTGTATAATCGTCGTGAGAGAGCTGGGTTGAAGTACTCGCCCAGCTGGAACCTTGTTCGCTGTCACGGTGTTCGTCTAGCTTCCTCCTCTTAGACGCACGAATTACTTGGCCGTCTTCAAGTCTCTGGTTCGTCCTTTCCATCGTATATTTAATTAGCAAAGGTCTGAGATTGTCCAACTCCCACGAGGTCTCGCCAAAGCCGCCAATATCGATCCGTAAGTGAAGATAGTCCTAGATCAAATTGTGTTCAGTGAGAGTCTGATATTGATAGGCTAATCCGCGGCGAATGCTGAGGAGTAAGTACAACTGAACGACGGGAGACTGGTTTGGCAAGTATTAGAGGGACCGCACCAGGCAGAATCATACCGCACGAGATTATGGAAGCAGTTGAGACTTAAATGTTCTTAAGTCTCTCAGTCGCAAGGCGCCTAGCAGGGTGATAGATACATCAGGCAGGAGAAGATTGACTATCAACAGCTAAAGAATCAGGATACGATGGAGACTTTTCCAACAGACAGGGTTCATGCTGAGATATCCGATGATGAAATGGACAGAGGTCGCCGTGTCTCTTGACAGTTCTATTACACGAACAAATTTTCTGAGTCATCACGTATTCCATAGTTACTAGCTAATACAGGCGTCTGAGACAGGAGCTTCGGAATAATTTACGAAAGTGGTTTAGCGTCTCTTGGCTACAAGGGTCAGGAAATAATTGAAGTGAGTAAAAGCGTGCACCGTTTTTGCAATCAACTGCACACTGTAGCGAGCAGCCGATAAGAATACGATCCGAGTGTACCTTTGTTAGACTGTATCCGACTATCATCGAACGGTATATTTGCACGAAAAGTTCGTCGTTATCAATTGGGTGAAAATGCCCTCAGACGGCGTCCCAGCGGGACGGGCCGCGACGCGAACCCCTGAACCGCCCGACCGGGACGGATACGAAAACTCACCACCACGGTTGAGACCGAAGCGCACCACCAAACCACCCAATGACTATGCACAAGAGCAAGAGAAAGAAACCGAGCAGAGGAAGACACGCTCCCAGCAGAAGAGGAAAACTCAGAAGAGGCCAGCAGCTCAACGCGACGCACCAACCGGAGATGAATCCGCAACTGAGAGCGAGGACCTGGGCGAGGACCTGGACACAGCCAAACTTGTAAAAGAGCTTATCAAACTCAGAAAAGAGATTAGACGACGAGATGAGATGCATAAAGAGGAGCTAAAGAAAGTTAAAGAAGAATTTAGTGCCGCCCTTGCAGATGTTCGACAGGAGATGCAAACTCTGACACTACTATCCCGCTCTGAGTCATGCTCGCAAAGCAGCCACGATGATATCCTCCGCGAAATCCAATCCCTACGCACTTCAATCACCACTTCGGATTCTGCAAACCATCTATCCTATGCAGATGTTGCCCGCACGCCTCCGACCAGTCAACCGAGCAACATACGGACTTTGTCATCGTTTAACACGACACCGACAACCTTCACCGATACGTTATATTGCACGATAGACACCTCAAAGATGGCAGATAACGAAAGTGATAGAACATCTGCTGGCTCAATTAGGGCAGCAGTTGAGAAAGAGATCCGGACAATGGAAAACTACACGAACTGGAGATGCCGCGCTGTGACCGTGGATCCAAAGAACACCTACCGGATTAGAATTGCTTGCCGAGATGAAGCTGAACATCAACTAGTTAAGAAAGCTGCAGAAGCAAAGATTGGCGCAGGAGCCCGAGTGCTGCGTGACGAGCTTTACCCAATCAAAGTCGACAGTGTCAGGAAGGCAGCAGTCCTAGATGAAAAAGATGAGATTAGAGCCGGAGCCGCAGCAGCCTTCAGTGAGGAGAACGACACCACGGTTGCCAAGATCGCATGGCTCAGTAGTAAACAGAGTGCGAAGGCCTATGGCTCTATGGTAGTATACCTAACCAAAGGCTCTGATGCACGGAGGCTTCTGGCCGACGGGTTCTTCCACGCTGGGGGAGAGTCTGGCGTAACCAGCGTCTTTGAATATCGACCACGACCGGCACAATGCTACAATTGCCAAGAGATCGGCCATAAGGCATTCCAATGCAAGAACGCCCAGAGATGCGCGAAATGCGCCAAGGAAGGCCACCACCATAGCAATTGCAACGAAATGGTCCTTAAGTGCGTTCCATGCGGAGGCCCACATGAGTCGTATAGCAAAAACTGTCGGAAGCTCTACCCCGTACAACATGAATAATAGACTCCGAGTGATCCAGCTGAATGTAAGGAAACAGGGTGCAGTGCATGATAGTTTGATGAACGACAAAGAAATTCAGGACGCAGTGGCGTTAGCGATTCAAGAACCCCAAGCGCGGATGGTTCAAGGCCGACTCTTGACTACCCCGATGGGACACCACAAATGGACGAAGATGGTCCCTTCCGCATGGAGAGAAGGCCGGTGGGCAATTCGAAGCATGCTCTGGGTTAATAAGGATGTAGAGGCGGAGCAAGTGCCAATAGAATCTCCGGATCTGACAGCAGCGGTCATTCGGCTTCCCGAGCGTTTGATTTTGATGGCATCAGTCTATGTAGAGGGAGGGGACGCCCAGGCTTTGCGTGACACGTGCAATCATCTACGCAAGGCAATCACAAAGGTAAGGCGAACCACGGGCACAGTGGTGGAGGTTTTGATTGTGGGAGACTTTAATCGACATGATCAATTATGGGGAGGAGATGACGTGTCGTTGGAAAGACAGGGCGAAGCAGATCTAATCATTGACCTCATGAATGAATTCGCCCTCACTAGTCTACTGAAACGAGGCACAAAGACATGGCAGGGGGGAGGACAGGGTGGAGACTACGAGTCCACCATCGACCTCGTCCTCGCCTCCGAGAATCTGACGGACTCTATGGTCAAGTGTGCAATCCACGGGACAGAGCACGGCTCGGATCACCGCGCAATTGAAACCGTGTTTGATATCCCGAGGCCGGGTCCGAACCACCAGGAGCGACTTCTACTGAAAAACGCGCCATGGAAGGAGATCAATGCCAGAATCGCACGAGCCCTAGACAGCACCCCGGCGCAAGGCACATTGCAGCAGAAAACCGACAGACTAATGTCAGTCGTCTTGGAAGCAGTCCATACCTTGACTCCAAAGGCCAAGCCGTCGCCATACGCAAAGCGATGGTGGACAACAGACTTGACACAGCTCCGTCATATATACACATACTGGAGAAATCACGCCCGCTCAGAGCGACGGGCAGGACGGAAAGTCGCATACCTAGAAAAGATGGCGGAAAGTGCGGCAAAGCAATATCACGATGCTATCCGGCAACAAAAGAAAAAACACTGGAAGGAATTCCTTGCAGACAATACCAATATATGGAAGGCCACCAAGTACCTGAAATCAGGAGAGGATACAGCATTCGGAAAGATACCACAGCTGAAGAGAACAGATGGAACCACCACCACTAATCATGAGGAACAAGCAGAAGAATTATTAGCCAAATTCTTTCCTCCCTTGCCAGACGATATTGATGATGAAGGACCTAGACCACAAAGAGCACCAATAGAGATCCCCGCTATCACTATGGAGGAAGTAGAGCGACAGCTATTCGCAGCGAAATCATGGAAGGCACCGGGAGAAGACGGCCTGCCTGCGATAGTTTGGAAGATGACATGGCCCACTGTCAAGCACACAGTCCTTGACCTATTCTCCACGTCGCTGGAAGAGGGCACGTTACCAAGTCAGTGGAGACATGCAAAGATCATACCGCTCAAAAAGCCGAATAAGGAGGACTACACGACCGCGAAAGCCTGGAGACCGATCTCACTTCTAGCGACACTGGGCAAGGTACTAGAATCCGTGGTTGCAGAAAGGATCTCCCACGCAGTGGAGACATACGGCCTGCTCCCCACGAGCCACTTTGGAGCTCGAAAACAGCGATCGGCTGAACAGGCACTCCTGCTCCTGCAGGAGCAAATCTACACAGCCTGGCGTGGCCGTCGAGTCGTAAGCTTGATCAGCTTCGATGTCAAAGGAGCCTACAATGGGGTCTACAAAGAAAGACTACTCCAGAGGATGAGAGCGCGAGGCATAGCAGAAAAGCTGATCCGGTGGATCGACGCGTTCTGTTCGGCACGGACGGCGACCATCCAGATTAATGGGCAGGAGTCCGAGGTTCGCATCCTCCCACAGGCGGGACTACCGCAGGGCTCTCCTCTATCCCCAATCTTGTTTCTCTTCTTCAACGCAGACCTAGTACAACGACAGATCGACAGCCAGGGCGGAGCGATTGCTTTCGTGGATGACTTTACCGCATGGGTGACCGGGCCCACTGCGCAGAGCACCGGGAAGGATGAAGCGATCATCACGGAAGCGCTCGACTGGAAAGAAGGAGTGGAGCGACCTTTGAAGCCGAGAAAACGGCTATTATACACTTCACCCCTAAAGCACATAAATTGGATCAAGAACCTTTCACCATCAAGGGACAAACCGTCAGACCCAAAGATCATGTCAAGATTCTCGGCGTTATAATGGACTCTAGACTCAAATACAAGGAACACATCGCGAGAGCCGCATCCAAGGGCTTAGAAGCAGCGATGGAGCTCAGACGGCTCAGAGGTCTATCCCCGGCAACAGCGCGACAACTATTCACATCGACTGTTACTACAGTCATGGATTACGCCTCTAATGTTTGGATGCACGCTTTTAAAGATAAGGCGATTGGTCCAATCAACCGCGTCCAAAGGGTAGGAGCGCAAGCGATTGTGGGAACATTCCTCACCGTTGCAACCAGCGTGGCAGAGGCAGAGGCTCACATTGCCACTGCACAAAGCCGGTTCTGGAGACGGGCCGTGAAGATATGGACGGATATCCACACCCTGCCAGAAACCAACCCCCTTCGCAGATGCACCGATCGGATCAGGAAATTCAGAAGATTTCACCGCTCACCGCTATATCAGGTGGCAGACGCCCTGAAGAATATTGAAATGGACACGCTGGAAACTATTAACCCATTTACACTAGCACCGTGGGAGGAGCGAGTACAGACCGATATTAGTGAACCCCCAGAATCGCACACTGTAGCGGGCGGATCAATGCAGATCGCGGTAAGCAGCTCGGCACGGAACGAGGTTGTAGGATTTAGTGGAGCAATCTAGAGGAAACCACCCCAGTATACAAAGCTGAAACTAAAGACCTTCTCCTTTACACTAGGTGTAAGATTAGAGCAGAACCCATACTTAGGGGAGCTAGCAGTAATGGTACATGTATTGAGCATGCTACCAACACTAAAGCAGTATAGAATCACGCTGCTGACAAGCAACAAAGCAGCCGCACTCACACTAAAGAATCCTCGACAACAGTTGGGTCAGGAACACATCTGCTAAATATACAAGTTCATTAAAAGGTTACAAAGAAACAGAAATCAGATTGCTGTCCTTTAAGTCCCTACTAGTAAGGATAACAAGCTACTAAGCCTAGTCAAAGAGCAGGCTAGGATAGTAACTAGAGAGGACGCTATCCCACAAGCACAGGTTTCCTAAATAAAATCAACAACTCTTAATATCGCACGATCCCAAAACATTATCAGTAAAGGCTTACCTGAGAAAGTAGGCAAACATATTAAAAGAGTGGACGCAGTGCTCCCAGGCAAACACACCCGACAGCTGTATGATTAATTATCATAGAAAGAAGTAAGTGTACTAGTGCAACTCCAGACTGGCATGGCAAGATTGAATAGGTATCTCTATTGAATTAACGTAGTGTAGACTAATCAGTATGCATGTGGACAAGCAAAAGAAACTATAGAGCACTTCCTCTTTCAATGTTAGAAGTGGACGGCATACTGGACAGAAATGCTGCAATGTACTAATACCTACTGAGACAACCTATTCTTCTTCTTAGAAGGAAAATTACCTTTAGATGATTAGAACTAGACCTCAAACTTTAAAGTAGTACAGGCTATAATATAGTTTGCAATTGCCACAGGCCAACTCAACGCCACTTAACCATGTAGACAAACATAGACCAATCACCCTTCCATGATCTCACCCACACCAACCACCTCGTGACAGACACGGTAGACGCGCTTTAACTGCTGAAGATAGGATGTTGAACACTTAAAGAAGCGCCTTTAAGCCAGCTACTAATAAAATTACTAACCCACGAGCATCCACTACAATACTGATAGATGAGATGACATATATTAAAAGTGATTATGTATGGGCTACCAGGAGACACGGCATATATATTAGGACATGTATTAGCAGATTAGTGATAGTTGCCCTTTCGGTTTGGCCGCCGGGCGTTAATATATTGTGTGTGTGTGCACACTGTAGCGGGCGGATCAATGCAGATCGCGGTAAGCAGCTCGGCACAGAACGAGGTCGTAGGATTTGGTGGAGCAATCCAGAGGAAATCACCCCGGTATACAAAGCTAAAACTAAAGACCTTCTCCTTTACACTAGGTGTAAGATTAGAGCAGAACCCATACTCAGGGGAGCTAGCAGCAATGGTACACGCATTAAGCACGCTACCAACACTAAAGTAATATAGAATTATACTGCTGACAAGCAACAAAGCAGCCGCACTCACACTAAAGAATCCTCGACAACAGTCGGGTCAGGAACATGTCTGCCAAATATATAAGTTTATTAAAAGGTTACGAAGAAACAGAAATCAGATCGCTGTCCTTTGGGTCCCTACCAGTGAGGATAACAAGCTACTAAGCCTAGCCAAAGAGCAGGCCAGGATAGCAACTAGAGAGGACGCTATCCCATAAGTATAGGTTCCCTGAATGAAATCAACAACTCTTAATATTACACAATCCCAAAACGTTATCAGCAAAGGCTTACCCAAGAAAGTGGGCAAACATGTTAAAAGAGTGGACGCAGCGCTCCTAGGCAAACACACCCAACAGCTATATGATTGATTGTCATAGAAAGAAGCAAGCGTGCTGGCGCAACTCTGGACTAGTATAGCAAGATTGAATAGGTATCTCTATTAAATTAATGTAGCGCAGACTGATTAGTGTGCATGTGGACAAGTAAAAGAAACTGTAGAGCACTTCCTCTTTCAATGTTAGAAGTGGACGGCATACTAGATAGAAATACTGCAATGTATTAATACCTACCAAGGCAATCTATCCTTCTTCCTAGGAGGAAAATCACCTTCAGATGATCAGAACTGGACCCTAAACTTTGAAGTAGTGTGGGCCACAATACAGTTTATAATTGCCACAGGCCAACTCAACGCCACTTAACCATGTAGATAAACATAGACTAATTACCCTTTCACGATCTCACCCATACTAACCACCTTATAACAGACACGGTAGACGCGCTTCAACTGCCGAAGATAGGATGTTGAACACTTGAAGAAGCGCCTTCAAGCCAGCTACTAACAAAATTACTAACCCACGAGCATCCGCTACAATACTGACAGATGAGATGACATATATTAAAAGTGATCATGTATGGGCTACTAGGAGACACGGTATATATATTAGGACATGTATTAGCAGATTAGTGATAGTTGCCCTTTCGGTTTGGCCGCCGGGCGTTAATATATTGTGTGTGTGTGTACAGTATTAGTGCTATAATGTCTTTGAATGCGGCTTAGAATTGTGTTTAGTTGATAACGAAGGCAAGGAGCCCTATATTGTAGACTTCAAGGTGAGTCTGATGCTAGTCTTCGCCTCGAAAGATTGTAGATCATAGTAACAGCTCCAAATCATGTGAATGCCTACGTTTTTGTCTACGGCTAGACTCTATCTTTTTTGGAAAATAGCGTAAGAGTGAGATGACAAATGTCTATCAATTAATTCCTTCAGAAAATCTGTGGTGGACCACTGGGGGGTCCGTTTGACCAGTAATACTGTAGTCCTAGCCTGGTTTTGGTTTATTTGGTTTCCTCCGGTGCTATTACTGGCAGCTAATGTAGTAAAATTAATCAATGGCCTATGATATTTCTGATGTGCAAATTAAGTGAATTAAGCGTGTGTTAAGATTTGTTGTTCTACTATAAACTGTTCTTTTGAGTTTTGACCACTTATCGCAAACCCTGTTTAAGATCCACTTATTAAACACTGTTGTCGGATTAGTCGGTTTATTTCAGGCCAATCCTGAAAGTGTTTTACTAGGATCAAAGAAAAGAAGTGACTAGCAAGGGTTGTGTGTATTGAGTTGTCTGTGTCTGTCTCTTCATCAGGTTTCAAAGCCAGTTCCTTTATAGACACTTTTGCAAGGTGATTTGTGAGTCATCAAGAGGGGTAAATTTTGGGGGCTATAAAATAGGGCTTCTGATTGTTCACTTCCTTTTACTGCCTCCGGATATCCGGTTTATCTAACAACTGTTCAAGACCCACTATTAGACGCTGTCGAGGACCCACCTATTAAACACTGTTACAGACCTACTGATTAATATAGTAACTAGCTGTTCGTGAATTTCTGACTAAATACTGCATATCATAGCCTTAAAGTTTGGGATATTCATTTTGATATGGATATCTCAGGATAATATTGCATAACCATGGACCACAGATTGGCTCATCCACACACTCCAATCTTGTTGTTATGTAACGGATGTAGCCATGACAGAGCTTGAGGAACAAGACGGTGAAGGACGAGTATAGGGTTAGGTTTAGTTGATGTCGGAACGTGAATATCAAACCCTACACGTTTCGGCACCGGATATAGTTAGTCTGACGCGGCACGCACGTGCCGCGTATATCTAGCTAGCTATCCCCGTCCCCCTCGTTCTTGGGGATCAGTCACAATATTAGGAATTAAGATATCTTCATATTGTCAGGCTCATTAGGCCGCTTCGTGCTCTCGCCTTACTACCGTCTATGCTTCGTGATACGGACCGTAGTTAAACCAACAGTATATATCTAGCGCTAGTGCCCTATAGGGTTAGTCCCTCCAGGAGTAATAAATCATCATCATCATCACCATCATCAACAGATGCTCTAAATTTTTCTAGATGTTCAGCAACATCGATTGCAGATGGTAATAATTCCAAATCTATGCTTCCGAAATCTTCCTTCCCTATAATTGGTAGGCAAATCTACAACCTCTGATTCTTTGGATGGAAAAGTTGGCTACGGTTACCTCGTCAAACGCAAAAATCACTTTAGTAAACGAGGGTCCTTACTTGCACTCGGTTGATATAACATCTGTATATATGTGGTCCAACGGGGACAGATTACGACACCATTCCCTTCCGACGCTAGTCACATAGACTCGGTCGTCGGTGTACTGGGAAAAGGAAATGTGGACAGCGAGGTGGCAAGAATGGTGACAAGATCTGACTGGGACTCTGGGGACACGGTAGTGCTTGTCAGAGTACTGGAAGAATTTGGCACGAGAGACTCGGACGTGACACTTGGAATCGTCGTATCGGACACTGCTGTGGTCACGGTGGTTTGACAAGCTAAAATTCCATTTCCGATGGTGATTCCGTCATCTGGACGAAGTCGCTATTAGCAGGGCACTCATTGGTGGACATCCACCTGTCCTTCAAACTCACCTAGTGACAGATAGGTGACTCCTTGTCCTTGGCCATGGGTGCAATTCGCTTCTAAAATTGGGAGGAGGTCGGTTGAATTGCGAGTAACACGCATTGGATTGCAACTTGCTGTGAAACCGCCACTAAAGACTTTCACATCAGACCAGCAATGAAAGTCGAAGTTCAAGCAGAAGTTACTTCGTTCGCCACTATATCCACGGCTGATCAGTGCTGTTCAAAAGATTCTCTTTCCGAGAAAGAAAAGAAAGATACTTACAGTCAATTGCCCTTCATCGTTTGCAATGCATGCATCCAAGTCCAGTGAAGCTGGTACTTGTCGTCCTGTATCGTCGATACATCGAGCGAACAGGGCATACGAATTTGACGGATCGAGATGAAAGTCCGTGCATGATGTGTTCAGGTTGTTCGCTAAAACGAACACTGGGAAGCCTAGAGCAAGAGTGAATACATTGAAATGCATGGTCAGAACTATAACGAATTCAGCTACATAGATAGAATAGCATGGAAGCCGTGATTTATATATACAGGCTTACACTAGAAGTCTATGTGCCTTCCTCATCTCCTATGATGGCGGTGGAAACGACCATGAATATTCAGTAGGACAACGCATTTGTAGTTCGCACCGCAGACGCAGTAGGCTCGCTAGCTTGATAGTCAGATATTTCTTGGTGGTATGAAGTTTGACCACGTCCCCATCCGATCATTCATTGAACAACTTTTGAACATGGTGGATCCGGCCAGCAGTTCTTACTGTTTTGAATTTGACCTGAAGTTGCAAGTACCACGGAAAATATGTTAACACCGCCTAACGTAGTATGCTGCCTATACGCTCTGGCCATCAATATCTTAAGGGCCGTTCATGTTGGAAGGCCGAGATTGGTTGTCTATTCACCGCATATGATCTTAACATGAATGAACAAGATAAGAATAGTACATCGTTTCTACACGATGTGACCGATCATGAAGATCCCCATGTTGTCAAACAATTACTAAATATACCAACAATTAACGTCGATATAGGGATCACTATAGATTTACACCATTTCATATAGCCACGAAAAAACAGGCGCTTGTGGAGGTGAAATTATTATAATATTCGTGCTATAAATCAATCTGACCGTTCAAGATCAAAACAGATAACACCGCTGTTGATGGCGCTGTCGACTGCGATTAGTTTACTGTAGAACAACTTCTAGTGGATGAATGTGTTAATTTGTGGACTAACATCCCTTCAAACCATTCCGATACTCGACCAGCCAGCTCTTCACCACCACTCTAATTAACGATTCTTAGTGTAGAATATCCCTTGTCTTAGTAGCTACTGATGTTGTACTGCAAGTAAACATTCATCTATGCTTGCCTAAGGAGCAGCCTGTTCCAAGTAGAATCTGAACTAGTGCCCTACCCGAGGGATCCTATTTAAGTTCAACACATGTAACATCCGTCGTCCCTGCCTGCTCAAGCAACACTTGATTTCCACGGAGTTTATTTAAGAGTAGCCCAGCCACCCACTTGGCATATGGTTCGAGAACAACTAGACCCGACTAATTTCGCTTCCAAGTGTAGATGGCTTGTAGATATATGCAATATGAAGCTTTGCATTTAGGAGTATTTAGTTCCTGATTGTCTTATTACTGGCTTTCTAGCCCCCCTTGCCCGCTTCCGTTCATATGCTTTAATTTGTCGCTTGACGATGGGTGAATCTCTCAAATCTTCTGATAAGAGTATCCTGAAGTGATAATCTCCGGCATTAGTTCTGCGATCAACTTTCCCATCTGCCAAAGCTTTGAGAAGAAATGATAAATCTGACTCGCTGTACCCTCTTATGGTGTCCTCAACTGGGTACCCTCTGTCAACCTGGCTGTCTTTGGAAGGATTGCTAAGAGTTGCCCTCTGCACTCGTGGCTTTCTGACCTGGATGGTCCTGGCAACATTGTATTCTAAGCCTGAACGGGTCCTCATCATGATCGAGTTCTAATGTCTCGATGTACTGGAGATGGTGGTTAGAGTGAAGTCGCAGATATCGGGACACTTATATAGAAAATCAACCACCCAGCCTCACTATTTTGAATATATCTATCACCTTTGGGCCCCTGATTATGGGTAATTACTATATATGTGCACTGAGGCTGCTGCTTCAACTTAAGCCGGTACACATTATCTGGATGGGGATACCGTAATTACAGCTCTCCGGGAAGGAGGTAGTCCTAGTTATGAAACAAATGAGGACAATTTCTTTTCAAGGAAGATGAGCAAGCTGGAATATTAAAGCCCCATGAAATCATATTAATATGATGAATATAAAAGGACAAGGGATGACCTGTCAATTCATTTTCGCTAGAAATAGCACAAAGTCCCAGACAAACATGAAAAGGAAACACGATAAGTCTGGAACAGCTAGAACAGCAAAAAGGAGGAGAGTCACAAACTATATAGATCAGCTTCCAAGGGAGGTGATTGATTTAATACTATACTTTCTTCCTCCGCGGTTGAAAAGAAATTTCAAATCCGCCTATTCTATTGAATCTGGGCCATCTGAATCGCCATGGCGTACAATCTTCAAGAGCGGTGAATGGATTGAGAAATTAAAAGTAGAATATCAAGCCACTCCTCTTCTTATTGGTTCTACCCTCGACAAAACGAGTATCATGACCTCCAAGTGGCCGAAGCTAGCACTTTATACGGGCGCTCAATCTCCAGTGTCCGAGAAAGATTGGAATCTGTTTTTCAAGTGCTTACGTGATTCCAACTGGGTCTGGGACCAGGAACTGCAACAGATTACCCTCTTTAATGGGGTGACTATGAACCTGAATGACCTTCATGCTCCAAAGAAACAGACGATACTATTCAAAAAAAAAGGTGACATAGCAAAAATCTTCTATTCATACATCGATGACCCACAGTATTCATTCTATGAGACTGAAAAAATTCACTTCCTTGAGGAAAGCAGTGTCAAATGGATTGGATACAATCCTCCTTGGGTTCGCGTGCACTTCCCGCATGTTGTTCTTCCAAGCTTATCTCTCGAGGAGATATCAACTTGATAGTGTAGTAATTTTTTTCAATTGTGATGTTTGACTTTACGATTTGTCGAAATAATTTTACCATAACACAAAAGAGGCTTTCCAGCACGCTTCAGATTAGTAGCCTCTATAGTGGGAATTTAACCCAAAAGGCAGTAACCTAAATTAATTGAGGCGTTTCTATACGGATTGAATTGTTCATCCTTCTCAAACTCAGTAAAAACGTCACCGGCTTCTCGGCCAACTTTAGCAGTTATCCGTATTCGACCGACCTTTTTTTGGCAGAGAAAAAGATTATAAAATGAAAATAGCAACGAATTTTTACCTCTACATTAAATGTAAGAAAGACTTTTTATAGTGATTTATGGAAACCGAGTAACGGGCTGGGACGGTGAACTGACCAATGCAGTGAAAGGTGCATGTGAGTCTCCATCTACAGGAATAATAGTGCCCGGAGGCCACCTGCAAAGTATCATAGAATCAGAAGGACAGTACTGTATACAGTAGTTTGCACCCTCAGAGTAACAACTAACACTCTCTTCTCTTTCATCTGAAACAGCGCTAGGAATTTTCTAGTCTATATATGGCTAGATCCGGAATAACCCTGGCTCGTGTAACTTTCACCGTGCGGTATTGCGCATACGCAGATTTGATACACCCGTAAATTACATGTATCGCTGCCTAAACATGGGTACCTTGCCATTTCCGTCCCTGACATTCCTTTCTTGTACATACTACACCAGTTATTTAAACATGATTCGGTCTTGTCCTATAGGATGGCACCGCCCCTTGCACGATCAACAGTTCAACTTATACAGTACTTTGCACACTCAGAGTAACAACTGAAACTCTCTTCTCTTTCCTCCGAAACACTGCCAAGAGTGGCCTAGGTTATATATAGTTATCTTCTCCATGTGCCTTTCTTCACCAGTCGCTTGAACATGATACTGTAGAATAGCCCCAAGGCTTGCATAGGGTTACGCGAATTTGTACTGTACCATGATCCGTTTTCCAAGATGGAATATAGATTGCTTTAAATCTAGAATTGTTATAGCTCCCTAATTATAATGAAGAACAGTCTTGATGCGGTAAAATGATCGTCACCTCCCAAGCTCATTGCAAGGTTGTCCCCGCGCCACTTGCCAGCCACCTTACCAAATTAAGCTAAGTTTTATTGACTGGCGATCTGTTCCTCTGTGTATGCTCTGAAGGGCAGTCAGTCTCTGCTCTCTCCTCCTCCTGTGATTCGAACTGCTATCAAAGATTGGAGCGTATGGCATGCTCAAACCATCTGGCCATATCCTCCTCGACCTCTTCTTCCACCACACCCTCCTCGACCACACCCTCCTCGACCACACCCTCCTCGACCACACCCTCCTCGACCACCCCCTCCTCGACCACCCCCTCCTCGACCACCCCCTCCTCGACCACACCCTCCTCGACCACACCCTCCTCGACCACACCCCCCTCGACCACATCCCCCTCGACCATACCGACAACGCACTCGGACAGCGGGGCTCATCCGTTGCGGAATTGGCGGCCATTTTCAAAACCATGGCAAAATTTCGCTGCTTTCATCGCGTCCGTAATCGCTCTTATAACGATCTACTACACAGTCCAAACGTATAATCTAGCTGTCTGGACTGCGAAAAAAGATTACCGCGAGTTTTGTGAGGACTTTGAGGTATCTACCCGCAGTTGAAGTTTATTTATATTACATACTCACGGCTCTCATGCTATTAGAACAAAACCACTGGCTCACAATGTCCCATCGAATATCCACCGGTTATGGAAAACAAGATTAAGCGGTGGATAGCAAGAGACAGTGCCATCTGGGATGAATCCAACTTGGTATTTTTTCGCAGAGAGAACCCAAGTTTGCGAGTTGGAATATATCTCGTGCTCTTTCTTCTACTCTACACATCATTCTGGCTGTTAAAGCACCTACGATGTTTACAAATTCTGCGTCGAGAGCGCGTCGTTCCAACAAATCGTACATTCCAGCCTGATGAGTACACGATTAACAGGACTCATTCTTTGGTGGAAGAGCTCTTTTGCGCAGTACACACAAGGAGTATAACCGTGCATACTGATAATCAATCGTCGCTTATCCGGCGACGTCAAATCTCGATTCATGAGTCGGAGTCTGAATCATTGGGCATGGATATATCCCATACTCTTACTATGGATCCCATCTTTAAAGATGCGATGGATGAGATTGTCAGTTTATTAACAAACGACCCTTACGTTAAAGAGCTTTGCGGTATTGTGGTCTCGACAATGAGCGCTACTAGATTCAGCATGAACTTCATGAGGCTCCTAAGAGTATACCACCTTGAATTAAAGACAGAAGCCCATACACCTTTGCAAAGAGATGCTACTGAATTCATCCGGTTCAGAAGTACGCGTCTCTATATTGCTCAGGAGTTAACAAACAAGATTGCCATGCAAGCTACCACAGCAGAATCCTCATTGGATCTACGGAAGACACGATTAGCAAACTACTTGTTACAAAACTGGGATGATTCCCCCTCAGGACAGCCACCGCTACATTCGGTATCACGGTTTTTAACAGAGAGCCCTGCATTCTGGAATCTTAGGGAGGCACTCCGGCGCTTTTTATTCCCTTCGGCTTGGAGCATATATCAAGAGGGCAGGCGGGATGTTATTTCTCACAACAAACCAAAAATGATTACTGCAGGGACTCTAGCCAAAGATGAATCTGCCATCGACAGAAGGCGCTTACGGTCAATAATAACCCGCACCGTTTGAAGTCGCTAGAATGGCCCATCATATTTGCAATCAACTATAAATTGTAGCATTGTCCATTTTTTAACTACATGAACGACAGATATTCCAACATGGGTTTCGACATGAAGAGATTATACGGTCTTGCTTCCATTTGGTCAATCATCTTTCTTTGCCGCCTCGGCCATGAATCGTGTAGTAGAAGATTCTACACCGCTTTATACTCTGCTGTTATACCTGCATATCGAAAATGGGGTTCCACGGTCTTCTTTCACCGACTGAATTAATGCGCTTAGGAGTAATGTACGAAACTCTTCATCGGGATCTGCTACATAGCATTAAGAAATTTAAAGACGATTTCAAGCATCCCACGCTGAGAAATAATTGTTATTTCATCAATCAGCATGTTTTTTTAATTCAGAAGACACAACCCAACATTCTCGCTTCGGCAAGGAAATAAGTCGTCTACAATCTGGAATTATAAGCGGTTATCGCTTTTAGGGTCTATTTTGGCTTTACTTGGACTAGAAAGCTGGTTTGCATGATAGCACGGACATTTTCATAATGTATACTGTATTGTTAACCTTGGATTATGCACTTTGGTCTACTCCAGCCCGCAACTCATCAAGCACGAAGAGCGGCTTCTGAGTACGAGACTATTAAAAATTACGCACAGCATTTTATAGAGAACCATGGAGATATATGTATTGGCGGCGACCAGGATTACCAGTTGGGGACTGAGAATAAGAATGGAATAACCTTCACTGTTGAAGATGGAAGGAAACGAAATAAATTTTCATGAAAACCAAATTCGTTGCGCAAGAATTTGCCCATCTCATCTCAGTATAATTCTAGTTTATCGAGCAAATGGTCGCTTAAAGCTTCCGGAATTGTATTTTATCACTATACATGTATTGTAAACAAAACATCGTACCGAGAGATACAATATTATTTCCGCATTAACATTATTCCTATACTATTCTATATTTGTCATGGTGTCTTCTTGGCAGTGTTTCAGAGGAAAGAGAAGAGAGTTTCAGTTGTTACTCTGAATGTGCAAAGTACTGTATACTATAATGCATTAATACCTCTATCTTGGACTGGCAGGTTCTTTTATATCTCAAAGTGATCGTCCCTTCATAACACAGGGTTAAAGGCTCCAGATATTATCGCTGTTATCTATCAGAGTCTCCAGCGGACAAGCGCTAATTGTTTCATGGGCACCGACGTGCTTGTCGAAAAAATCACTGTGGTGAAGAACTATCCTGTATGGCCGTCTTTTGGAAGCTGTACTCATTGAGATCGGACCCGCGTCCGGATCTGCTCTCACCAAGATCGCTTGCTGCTTTTTGTACCGATCTCCACAGCTGAAGTCGCCATATGCCAAAATGTTCAGAGTTTTAATTCCATTGGGCCCGAATGCCCAGTTAGCCAGAGAGAGGAGATGGGATACGGCCATGGAATTTGCCTGCACCTCAAACAGATCCGGACTGGCCTCATACCAATCAAGATCTGTGCCCGGAAAACCCATAGCGTCATCGAAACGAGACTCGGCGTGCTGACCTCCCAGCTCTGATAACAATGCTTGTCTCATGTTGTAAAGTTGATATTCGCTTCCGCTTAGCCTGAGATGGAGCACCTGGATTTGCAAGTTCGGGAGGAAGGACTGGAAAACGGCTTTCTATTAAAGGTCAGTGATCCTTCATACGCGTCTGGGAACGGCGTCTCACTGCAGTAATAGGAGAGAGGCACAGTCCAAGATTCTGTATGGCACCGCTAGACAGAGCCAATCCAAGATCGGCCAGGAGATACACCGGCATATGAAGAGTGGACTCAGAACGCCTTGGATCCATCACATAGCTTCTCGTGTGGTAGACGAAACACTTCATTGAAGGATGATGTTTCACCGCTTGAAAATATTTTTCCATATTTCTAGGGTTTGATACAAGGATGTGCAAGTGTTCAAGAGTGTGGAAAGATTCCAGAAACGAGTACAGAGCGTGGTCAGCTGCTTCAGAAAGCGTGTCAATGCCATGTGCTTCATCTAAGGCGATCTCAAAATGCTGTAGCAGAATCGGATCATTTAACTGGGATAAGATCTGCAGTACCACCAGTTGATGTGGGCAGCTTCTCAATGTCAGCGACCGTAACCGTGAAATTGATAGAGTGAATGCGGCTTTAATGAACTCCGTGAATCTGAAGTTTCCCAATGAGAGAGTGTGTAGGTCGGCTAGATTGTTGATCGTGTCCATAAATGGTGTGGATCTGATTTCCGGGGCAAATTCTAGGTCTATCAGCTCCAAAGACCGGGAGTTATTCTCCAAACACCCCACGACGAGTTCGAGCTCCTCTGAGGTTACGATCTGTTGCCATCTCAGTGACCGAAGCTTTTTAAGGTGTCGCAATCCCTTTAGTCGGAGGCCTGCGTGTGGACAGTGGGGGTCTGTTCTTAAGGAGAGGTCTCTGATATTGTACTGAAACCTTGGGATGTAGCCATCCTCGTCAAGAACATGGGATGGAAGACATGTTCCCAGGTGCCACCTATACAAGGATTGTCTTCTTATGAGCTCAGTGCTATGGTCAAGGACCCGTACGTACCAGAATGATGACAGAGCCCCGGGTTTCAGGTTTCCGAATACGTCGCCCAGTTGATCCAGGAGATCCCAGATAAAGTCCGTATGGAAATGTTCATTATCCGGTTCATGTGACACCCCCCTGCTGTTCGAGTACCAAAGCACCGTGCGGAAGGAGCATCGATTGAACTGAGCCACCCGGAACGGTGCAACAAAACGTAGGTTTCTTACCAACCCCAGGTGACAAGCAATGTGACTGGGGGAACGCGATTGCATGAAACGATGTGTATTTAGAACATTTAGAGACCACTCGCTTTCTGAGGAGAATGTAATCGTGCGGTATTTGAGCAGTATGATGAGCTGATAAAATCTCCGGCTTACTAGGCTAATACTATTCCAATCGTAGTCCGACACTAGCTGCGGATGTTAGTGAAAATTGGCTGTCGCACCACGGAAGAAGATTACCAGATCGAAAATCGCCAAGAGAAGCTCAGAAGGGAGCTTATCTATCATGTTGATCGTGTATAGTTAGCAGCAGCACTGTTTTCTTGCGATGCTGATGATACGTACTTATGCTACATGGACTTCTGCTCTAGGCATCTACTTTGAGCAGCCTTGAACACCGATTCTAAAGTTGTTGAAGAATGTACTCTCTGTGATTAAACTATGGTTCTTAGGTGTCTCAATTTGATGCTAGTTTGACCGGTTAAACACAGTCTGGTGTGGATGTCGTTTATTAGATATATATAATGAATGAATGAATGATGTTTATTACGCCCGGAGTTTACCTTATAGGGCACTAGTGCGCTAAATATGTGTAATTCCCGGCCTACCCTCCTAAAAGCCCCATGCTCTTCCTGCTTTGGCGTGGTGTCTTGGTATTTGCACTTAAGACTTCATTGAACTAGGGTTCCCAACACCTAGTGAATTAAGATTGTAGACCGGTTCAAAGCTATCTTTGGCAGCTACAGCAGGGTCTACCATACGTGAAAGTGGGAACGGTTAGCGTCGGAACATGAATATCAACCCTGTTACCCTACGTGTTTCGGCACCGGATATTAGTTAGTCCGATGTGGCACGTGCGTGCCACATATATATCTACCCCTTGCTCCTGGGGGATCAGTCACAATATTAGGAACCAAGATAGCTTCATATTGTCTGGCTCATTAAGCCGCTTTGTGCTCGTGCCTTGCTATCGTCTATGCTTCGTGATACAAACCGTAGCAAAAGATAGGTAAAGCAAAATCCTAGCAAGTCGACGACCCATCGGGGGCGGGCTCATAACCTCTCTCGTTATTGAATGGGCACAAAGAACGGTAGATAACAACGCATTTCATTTTCAACGAGAGCCCTTGTTGTGACAACTTTATGGCAGTGATTATGGGGTACTCATTCTGAAATAAGTGGGCCGTTCAAAGAAGGAATTGTTCAAGTGGAGCTGTTGGTCGTTCAAGCGAATTGGACATAGTGCTCGGTACGTAGTAGATTGTTTATAAACCCAAAGTAACCCTACATGCTTAAGCAAAACTGGTGTCGGGATCTTACTCTCTTCGATTATTTCTCAGTCCCTGCGCCAAGCGGGGCTAAACTTACATTGAGAGAAATGCCAAGACGGCTACAATGCATTATTATGTATGGCACGGTATCCATCTATCTGTAACAACCAGCAGGCTTTAGGGTCTAACTATTCCAAGAAATGCGCCCAATACGTCTCAAGTTGAGTTTCAGCTACACCAGGTGAAGGCTTATATGTTCGAGGATGGTTTCAGCTCCCTCGGACTGCACCTTGACTACTGGAGCTATTCAGAGAAGGGAGATCTGGTACACATTGTATATCTATAAAGATGGCAGATGCTCCAGGATAGCAAAAGATAGGTTTCAGTACATTGACATTCCATACCCTACCTTGTATACTCAATTCTTGTGATCCCTCTTGAATCCCTATACGTATCCCTTGTAACGTTGTTACACTATCCTCCTCAAGAAAAAAATTGAACAGAGTTGTGTCAGATAATCCGGATTTCCAACAAGGTGTAGAATCCAAAGGCCATCCTTGTAAACAATTTTTCAGGATTGGACTGGAGTTAACCCACCAATCCGACAAGTTGAACAGAGTTGGACAATAGAAGGGTTAGGGTTGAACCCTAACCCTAATCATCCTACCTTTCGCTCGGGCCCAACGCATCCAGACCAATTGCCAGATAATCTGGGGCGATGGTGACTATGATATTTATGTTGAAACGGACGATTGGATAACGTACTGCGCAATCGTCAACAAGGACTATGGAACCTCATTTGAGGCGCCCTTGACTGGAATATGTCGTTCGGAAGACCATGCATGGAGAGTTTTGGATAGAATGCTGGACGCCTGGGCTACACAAAAGCAGAGTGGACGCCCGACGACAGATGATCAAACGCTGGAGATATTTGGTGGACCCAACGGTCCCTATCCGGAGTCGCATAGCTGGAACCACTTCCCCGCTTCCGAATAACCTCACGTCGAACCGTCACATTCAGTAGCTAAACTGCCAACTGTACCACAGCCCCTGACCAAGTTTGTAAAGGCCTCACTTGTATTGAAAAACACATGGAAGCATAGCTACTCTTGGAATGATGTATTCTCTAGTTTACAAAATGTAAATAGTCAATCTTTAAGTTCAATAAGTAAACACGTTTTTCAAAATGCTGGTAAGATTTCAACAATATTCCACGGAGCACTTTAAACAAATCCACAGTTGAACGGGCCCACACTTGAACAGGTCCAGCGTCATTGTTAGTGGTGCTCCACCCAGTTGCATCCCGCACAACCTTAAACTAGGGCCTGTATTGCAAACATAGGATGACGGGATAGGAATACGAAGGCAACTAGGATGTTGACAGCTTGCCAGTGCTGCTAGACGCCCTTACACTTGTGGGATTTACTGGTATAACCATCAACTCAATCGATTTTTACAACGTATTGGAGTTTCAAATGACATCATATTATCTGACGGTAAATTACAGTTACATGAAAGTTTGGGAATATCGTTAATCCGGCATCTTACCCAAGCATGTCTTGCAAACAACTGCAAGTAGGAGTGCTATGCATGTAACTACTTAGATTAGCTTGTAGTTTAACTTTTACCGAGTTTAGTACCGATGAGGTTCTGTAATCAATCGTTTGACCTGAAGTTGCGCCGCGCCACCCAAAAACTTGAGGGCTATCTTTAATTGAGCGAGTCAAGCGAGTAAGCCACCAAATCTATGCTAAGATGGGTTGGAAGCTACCACGTATACGTACTGTTCTGTATGGATATCTTAAATTTCATGGAAAAGAAAAGGAGCGAGGGTGGTTTTTTGAATTTTGTAAGTGTCCTGAGTAATAAATATGTGGATGTCAGGAAATACTCTGTTTCCTTAGATTGATTTACACAGCACGGGCAACTGAAAATGAAAAAAGGGGTTGTATTTGCTGACTAATTCTAATACTGAGGTTGGTTGTGCCGAACAGGACATATAAGGGCGCCTCCTAATTGATGACAATCTCTGTAACTAGATATTTAATACCTAAGCACAGGTTGAATGCACCTTACAGCAACTATTTCCTACTCAAAAATGAGTCTAAGTCAATTCAATACCGGCAAGGCACAGGAAAGTCAAGGGTTATCAGTTCAATCATTCCTGAGCTCTTCCGCAATTTACGCTACGATATGTGTGATTTTGGTAGTATATGAACTGAAGAGCAGTCGTTCGTCGAACTTTCCCAGTCTGGTGGCCTTTCTCAGATGGCCACGTGACTCAAGGAGCCTGATTGCGCAGTATGGACCGGACAAGTACTTTCTCATCCGTTTCTTCCATACTGTGATCAAGATCTTTCTACCTCTTTCGATTGGGCTTACGGCATCTTTGTTTCCAATAGACATCACTGCACGTCATTCGGCCGCCGTCACAGGTTTAGACCGACTCAGCTGGGCGAATTTGGAATCAGGACAAGCTGGTCGATTATGGGGCAACGCAGTAGCAGCAACATTCTCTATGAGCTATATTTGCTATGTTCTCGTTGGAGAGTTCCATGATTTGATCAGCATTCGTCAGGATTATTTACGGCGGGTGTCGGCGTCATCCACAGCGGTTCTCGTGACCGATATTCCGAGAGAAAGATTGTCGGAAGATAGTCTAAGGGAGGATTACGCACGCTTTGATGGCGGCCCAACCGAAGTATGGATTCATAAGGAGTATGGCCAAATTCTGAACACCCTACTACAGCAGCGGAGTAGGCTTATGAGGCAGCTCGAAATTCATCTGACAAAAAAATTCTACAATCGTGAAGCAGCTGCTCGGACGGTCGAAAAGGATGAGAAGCTGAAATCTATTGCCACAGAGTATCAGAAGCTGAACGAGCAGATCAAGGATCAGATGAAAGATCCCAATAACGCTTCTTACAGGCCGTCGGCACTGGTTAGGTTTAGGGACTCCATTGCTCCTCATTTAGTCCAACAGGTGGTGCAGAGCCCACAGATAATGCGTATGATCCCACACCCGATCCAGTCGACGAATGACATTATACTGCCGAATCTCTCGCTATCGTGGAAGCGTCGCCTCGTTCAACGCCTGATGGTGGAGGCGATTGTTGTCGTTTTCTGCATCTTTGTTAGTGTGCCGGTTGGTCTTACCGGGGCCCTTTCGCAAATATCGTACCTAGCCGATCAAATACCGTGGGTAGCACATCTCATGAGCAGCCTCGAAGGATCGCGATGGCTGGCGATCATCCAGGGCCTACTGCCACAGATCTTCCTGTCCGTGTTAATAACGTTTTCTCCGCAACTGATCTTGATAGCGGTTTCCTACCAGCGTCATGTGACGTACTCCGAAAAAGAGATGTCAATTGCGGGATATTATTTCTTTTTCCTCTACATACAGATATTTCTGGTTGTGTCCTTGGCGTCTGGTCTCACAACAGTGATACCGAACGTTCTGAGGTATCCGGGGTCGGTCCCTGGAATCCTTGCCGACAACATACCGAAGTCTAGTAATTACTTTTATTCGTACCTCGTGCTACAGTGCATTACTCAATGCTCATTGTCATTGCGCCGTCTTCCCTATGTCGTGTGGTACTGGTTGTCGTCTCACTTGATACAGTGGACATCACGGACACCTCGAGAGATTTGGAAAATGCAAGAGATTTCGGTCCATTGGGGTCTTGTATACCCCGTATTCACCAATCTTATATGCATATGTAAGCTGCCTGTCACTAATCTAGGTCATCGTATCCGTGTTAATATCCTGTTGGCATCATCTTCTCTATCATCGCACCGCTTATCGTTCCCATTGGGCTCACCACGTTTATGGTGATATCCCTCGTTTATTGTCGCAAATACATTCAACAGGTAACGGGAGCGGTTGAAACAGGAGGTCTGTTGTACTGGAGAGCCCTTCACCAACTTTTCATTGGGATGTATACTGCCGAATTGACTCAGTTAGGACTCTTTACTCTTCGAGATGCCAAGCTGCAGGCAATGTTGATGCTATTGACCGGTCTGATGACTGCCATAGCACAGTGGTTTCTGTCTCGAATCTACGGACCTTTACTTCGGCATCTCCCTGCCGGCCTCATTAGCTCGAGGAATGAGAGTAAACAAGATACCAACTCGGATCCGTGGATGGCCTCCATTTTGATTGAACAACCGATATGGGCGCCTGCACCCGATGCTATCCGCCACGAACTACTGACTAGGTTCGGGATCTATGTCTCACAGGAAGGGATGGAATGCTACTCCGACAGGATCGATCCTGTCAGGGGTCCGCCACAGACCATCGCAGCCCGAAGGACGAGAACTACTCTTTCAAATCCAACAGAGTGACATTTCCTCATCAACTAGTTCTAGCTAGTAGTATCTAAGGAACCTATAAAGGACCGCTCAACGTGTAAAATCTTGACAATGGAGGAGAGGAAGAAGGTGAAGTGTTCGAACGCTTGTTTATGCAAAAATGATGTGTCCGTAGAAGCTTGGGGTTCCTGCTGCCAGTACATATCACCATAACGAATTAAAACAGAGATATGTCGTAGAGATTTTTGCAAGGATACTTTACATTATGAAGATTTCCTATACACTCGGAGGCAAAACCGGTGTCTGGATCACTCTCTCGATTGTTTCTCAATCCCTGCGCTAAGTGGGGCAAAGCGACATTGAGAGAAACGCCAAGACCGCTACAGTTCATCGTATTATGTATGGTACTGTATGGGGACATAGACCCGGTCAAGCTTTACATTACTACTTTCTTCACATACAATTGACAGATAATTACAATTAGGCTTACGTATGAACTTCGAAATCGATAACTGGTTGAAAGAAGAAAATCATCTAACCTTTTGCTGAGACTGTCTCAATCAGTTGTTTGTAGATCAATGTGCATTCAGACTTAATCGCTTGGAGCGTTCACAGTCCATAATTACTACATCTTGTCATATGGCATCATCGGCTGCTGGCACCTTGATATCTAATCTCTCGGTCAGCCAACTAGTCAATAACGCAGAGCATGACATAGTATGAGGATGGTCACGGCCTAGGAACTTCGATTGTGGTTGTATACAATACTGCATTAGGTTGAGGGCTTCCGCGCTGCGGCCCTGCTCTTTTCATTCGCGAGGTTTAAGGTGGGGCAAGGCATCTGTTTTAAGTTAGAAAGTATTACCGCGGGGTGGGGCAGTGGCATTTCACAGAAATATATTCTCCTCGTATCTCAGCTGCGAACAACGTTCATTCAATGCCATATTACTTCAGCCTTACGAGCGGTCCGGAATTTGTACTTCACTTCAACTTAACTGTGGCTCGCGACTTACCCTCCCAAAACACAAATATAGCAGAGGGAATTTGGGATCCTCTCGTAGCCTTTCGAAATGGCCCTCGCGAAAGCAGCAGTCAATACAAATGTCGAGGAGATAAAGAACTTACTTGAACAGGGTTCTGATAGCGATTCGCTTAGGAATGACTTCGTCTCGAGTCTAAAAATAGCGGCGGAGAAAGGGTACGCGACGATTGCGGAGTTACTGGTCAGAAAAGATGGAATGCCTCTTGACAATTTGGATAATGGCGGTCGGACACCTCTTTCATGGGCTGCAGGAAATGGACATGAAACAGTTGTCCAGTTACTTCTTACAAAAGATGACATTAAGCTGAACTCAGAGGATAATGATGGCCGAACACCTCTTTCATGGGCTGCAGGAAATGGGCATGAGGCAGTTGTCCAGTCACTCCTTACAAAAGATGATATCGAGCTGAACGTAAAGGATAAACATGGCCGAACACCTCTTTTGTTGGCTGCAGGAAATGGACATGAGGCAGTTGTCCAGTTACTTCTTACAAAAAATAATATCGAGCTGAACTCAAAGGATAAAGATGGTCGAACACCTCTTTCATGGGCTGCAGGAAATGGACATAAGGCAGTTGTCCAGCTACTCCTTATAAAAAATACTATCGAGCTGAACTCAAAGGATAAATATGGCCGAACACCTCTTTCTTGGACTGCAGGGAAAGGACACGAGGCAGTTGTCCAGTTACTTCTTACAAAAGGGGATATCGAGCTGAACTCAAAGGATAAAGATGGTCGAACACCTCTTTCATGGGCTGCAGGAAATGGACACAAGGCAGTTGTCCAGCTACTCCTTATAAAAAATACTATCGAGCTGAACTCAAAGGATAAAGATGGTCGAACACCTCTTTCATGGGCTGCAGGAAATGGACATGAGGCAGTTGTCCAGTTGCTCCTTGCAAAAGAGGATATCGACATGAACTCAAAGGATGAAGATGGCCGAACACCTCTTTCATGGGCTGCAGGGAAAGGACACAAGGCAGTTGTCCAGTTACTTCTTATAGATAATGATATCGACCTGAACTCAAAGGATGACTATGGTCGAACACTTCTTTCATGGGCTGCAGGAAATGGACACGAGGCAGTTGTCCAGCTACTCCTTACAAAAAATACTATCGAGCTGAACTCAAAGGATAAAGATGGCCGAACACCTCTTTCATGGGCTGCAGAAAATGGACACGAGGCAGCTGTCCAGTTGCTCCTTGCAAAAGGGGATATCGAGCTGAACTCCAAGGATAAAGATGGCCGAACACCTCTGTTGTGGGCTTCACGGGGTGGACGCAGCGCGGTGATTAAAATGCTACTTGCAGCAGGTCAGGCTGATCCTGACGCAAAGGATGTCAATGGTCGGACGGCACTTTCATGGGCCGCAGAGCGGAGCCATTTTGATAAAAAGGCTATTGAGTTGCTGCTTGCACAAGGTAATGTAGACGCAAACTCAAAGGACAGTATGGGTAGAACTCCGCTTTTAATAGCCGCAGAAAGTGGAAATAATATGGTGGTAGAGGTATTGCTAATTAAGCAGGATATACAAGTGGACTCTGAGGACAATGTGGGTCGTACACCTCTGCTCGTTGCAGCTGAGAATGGTCGTGAGACTATCACAAAACTCCTCCTTATGAAAGGTGGTATCAATCCCAACATTCGGAGCAAGGAGGGTCTGAGTCCGTTGATATTTGCTGCGCGCTATTGTCAGATAGCAATAGTTGAACTGCTACTGAGCATCGAAAGTATTAGTATAAACCTTAGTGACAACAAAGGCCGAACACCTCTTTCATGGGCTGCAGGAAATGGACATGAGGCAGTTGTTCAGTTACTCATTAGAAAAGATGACATCGACCTGAATTCAAAGGACAAAGATGGCCGAACACCTCTTTCATTAGCTGCAAACAAAGGACACGAGGCAGTTGTCCAGTTGCTCCTTGCAAAAGGGGATATCGAGCTGAACTCAAAGGATGAAGATGGCCGAACACCTCTTTCGCTGGCTGCTAAAAACGGATACAAAGCAGTTGTTCAGTTACTCATTAGAAAAGATGACATCGACCTGAATTCAAAGGACAAAGATGGCCGAACACCTCTTTCATTAGCTGCAAACAAAGGACATGAGGTAGTTGTCCAGTTGTTCCTTGCAAAAGGGGATACCGATCTGAACTCAAAGGATGAAGATGGCCGAACGCCTCTTTCGTTGGCTGCTAAAAACGGATACGAGGCAGTTGTTCAGTTGCTCCTTGCAAAAGGGGATATCGAGCTGAACTCAAAGGATGAAGATGGCCGAACACCTCTTTCGCTGGCTGCTAAAAACGGATACAAAGCAGTTGTTCAGTTACTCATTAGAAAAGATGACATCGACCTGAATTCAAAGGATAAAGATGGCCGGACACCTCTTTCATGGGCTGCAGGAAATGGATATGAGGCAGTTGTCCGGTTACTTCTTACAAGATATGATATCGAGCCGGACTCAAAGGATGACTATGGCCGAACACCTCTTTCTTGGGCTGCAGGAAATAGACACGAGGCAGTTGTCCAGTTGCTCCTTGCAAAAGGGGATATCGACCTGAACTCAAAAGATGAAGATGGCCGGACACCTCTTTCATGGGCTGCAGGAAAAGGATATGAGGCAGTTGTTCAGTTACTCATTAGAAAAGATGACATCGACCTGAATTCAAAGGATAAAGATGGTCGAACGCCTCTTTTATGGGCTGCAGTGAATGGACACAAGGCAGTTGTCCGGTTACTTCTTACAAGATATGATATCGAGCCGGACTCAAAGGATGACAGTGGCCGAACACCTCTTTCATGGGCTGTAGGAAATGGACACAAGGCAGTCGTCGAATTACTTCTTGACAGGAACGATATCGAGCTGAATTCAAAGGACAGTAATGGTCAGACGGCGCTGTCATGGGCGATGAAGAATGGACAGAATGCGATGTTTAAATTGCTCCTTGCGACAGAAGATTCCCGGCCAGACCTACCATATAGTCATGCAGCTGCGTCTGAAATAAAACTCGAAAGTGATTACTTGGATCTGGATTCTTCGAAAGACAGATGCCAAACACAATCATTAGAGGCTGCAGAGAACGATTTAGACACTACATCCCAACAACTTTCTGCCGGACCCCATATTCACGACGATTCAAACGGTTTTGTGAGGAGATGGCTCATTCATATATTCGAAAGCTGTGCCACTCCTCCTTTGAGAAAATTTTCGGTCTTTATTAACGGATTCTCCTCTCGTATAACTTTTTACAGATATCCAGGGTCGCGCCCAGGTGCTATATATACTCCCTCAAGGACTGCATGGTACTTGGCCCAAGCCCAGAACTGCGTAGACGAACTGTGGTCTGCAATCATGGAGAAAGAAGCGCCAAGAGACTCGACACGTTTCAAATGGACATGTGTAAGTTCCGGAGCCCTTTCCTCCATGAATTTGGAGAAAGCTAATGCTAGTTAGTGTTGTGGGAGAACTTTCACTGAAACCGTGCGGGAGTTGAAGCCAGGAGCCGCTAGGGAGTGGGTACAGGCTATGAACAATGCACAACTTGGTCAACCGGAAACCTCCACCCCTGCTAGGCCTCAGAGCGTAGACATTACGTCTCTACGTGCACGCTTTTCATCTGGCTCATCATGCAAGGGCCAAATGTCTCGGGATCTGCGGGACGATAATGAACCGTCTGATATTTACGCGCTTCTATGCTTCAAAGTCGGCAAACACACAATCCGTTTAGTACAAAGCGATATGTCACATACCTACAATGACGAAGACTTATTTAGACAGCTACGCCACGAATACCAGGGAACATCTGGGTCCTTGATTGAGTCTGTATGGAGTCCAAAACGGTGGCCGCTGCGTTTGATATATTGGCTGCGACTAACTTCCCTAAAGCACATTGAATTCAGGAAGGTGCGTACTGATTTTCAGTAGGATAGCTAAAAGCTCACTTTTTCAGTTCCAACTGTTCCATAGCGACAAAGTCGACATCAGAGACGACGATAAAGAAGAATGGCTTATGTGTAGATCGCCGACTGGATGCCATGATAGCTGCCCAGGGCCTCACGGAAATGGTGAATACTGGTTTGATCCAGCTCCCCCAAAATTAGAACCTCCAATACCTCGAAACGCCATGATGCATTTCCTAAAAAGGCCCAAAGATGCTGGAACAGTATCAAACCACATTGAAGCAATTCAAAGGAAACGAGGCCGTCTCATATCCGGGCCTGGATCTGCTGTGAAAGGCTGGGGTTTATATTTCAAAGAAGAAAAAAATCAGTTCATGATCATGGCAATCCCTGGATTACTCGGTACTTTTGCCCTATTGTGGTTTCTCAGTCACGAAAACGATCTCCTGACTGCTTCCCCACCTGCCACGCTCGCAATTGGATTATCGGCAACAGTCTTGACTATCATGAAAGAAATAGCTGAATGGATTATGGTATAAGATTGAAAGCAGGTTCGGCAACCTGAACGTCATATAACGAAATCGATATTTTCCCATTTTCGTGACACAAACTACTACCTTTTGTTCCTGCGATACCGAATCAATCACAAACACAGTGACTAATTCTTCTGTCCACACCTTTAACCCCTGCCGCTTTTTGTCTGGAAGAAATGACTATTAATAGACTGTAGGTAGTAGTACCAGTTCTGTTCTTAGCTTTCCTGAGCAACATATTTTCTAAACAACTCTAATGGCTATCTCGACCCACGAAGCCAGATTTCAGCAACCGACTCAGAATTTGGCTTAAATAGGCTCAAGGAGTTGGGTGATGGTACATAACAGGAACTATCTCGTCCCACTCATCTGCTTACTTGTATGCCAAGAAGCACGTATTTTAGAACTTGACTGGAATCTATACATATATACTCCGTAGTATGTGTGATACAATACCATACACAGTACGATGAATTATACCCGTCTTGGCGTCTGTTTTAATGTAGTTTAGTCCCGCTTGGCGCAGGGACTTGGGAAACAATTGAGTACAAGATCCCGACACCGGTTTTGCCTCCGAGTGTATCAACCCCTTCTTCCTCTACTCGTGCTCGCGCAGCATACGCTTAACGGCCCGCATGTATAGCTTCAAATATAGTTTCACTGAATTGAGCCTTTGTTGGAGCTCCGCCCTATTATGAATCCCTCGATGAATCTCTGAAAGTTTCTTCAATATTTTTGACTTGTGACGAGTGAGGACAAATTCACGTATGTCCAGAATACTCCTTCCGGAGCTGATCTGACTCTCAAGCTCTCGGAGAGAATCAGATAAAAGACGCTCGATGACGGCTGACGGTGGCAAGTTTACATCCTACCAAAGGTTAGAAAATAATACTGTAGATAGATGCAATGTTACTCACTTTACGAGGCGGATCCGCTGTTTCTGGATTGCCAATGTTGTCAATGACGGTCTTCATCCTCTGCATGTAACGTTCGACAACATCTTTGAAGTGCATATTATCGATCTGATGTTGTCCCGTGACAGGAGTCCTCAATTCATCCGCAAGAGCAAAAGCTAGAGATCTCAACTTTACCCAAGGCTCACTGTAGCGAAAGAGAAGGCCCTGGGAATCTAGTGTCAAAGGCGCAGGTTCCTGGTGGCCATTACGTAAGGCTTGTAGAGCATACGCAACTTCCTCAACTGCAGACATGCTTGTAGGAAATAGATTTGAAGCGGTTGCGAATTTTGGAGAAAGTTCTGCTTAAGGGCAGAATTAGATTACCTTAATCTCGCTGAAAACTGGCGTCCTGTTATAGCAGTGGAGAAACCGTGAAAGTCCACTATGACCCAATGTGCCTATGTCTATTTCTGTTTAACATTAAGTAAGTAGTTATCGTAATGCGTATCGATTACCTTTCAATTCTTGTAATTATCGGAAATAGGTAATTTCAAGCCAATGTGCAAATCACATGATGTGTTTACCACATGGCGGGGCGGTTATTCTATTTCAACGTTCAACCTATCTGGGAGACCCACCTGCAGCTCTAGCGATGGTTATAAACACTGAAACTAAAACCACTAATGTAGGCTTTCCAGCTTATCACTAAACTGTGCCACTTATGTTATACTATTTACATCCGGTAACCCATACATACTAATATTCTCCGGTGGTCCGACGTTATACCTCATCAGGGGTTCACTTAAACGCTGGCGCTAAACGACCACAAATAGGAAGCAGCCCAGAGAATCCAATGTAACCTGGCGCAGGTGAACCACGATGGCGGAACGGGACGCGTTGGATCCCACTATGTCAGCGTCTAGATTCAACCCTACGGAGTCAACATTACTCGTGCAAACTGGGATATTTCCTGTATTGGACCTCTCTGTACGACCGGCCGCGCTTGACTATGTAGGGAGCATGACTCTAATAGTGAAATTCTAGCACCGAGAATTGATAGACAGAAAACATATGATGAGATTTATCTCGAAAAGGTAACAGGGGGTGCGATTTATTAGCTGATGAGCCGTTTACTTCTATAATTAACTAGCTGCAAGTTGAACAAAGAAAGGAAACGGGATAAACTTAAAAGTGCTCCGTAGCGCGTGCCACGCGGTAAGACTCAGGGCCGATCCTGTCTAGGGCGACTGCCCAGGGTTCCGTTCACAATGCGTTTCACTTCCTCGGTCCAGTTACTCAAGTCTCTCAGGTGATCATATATCTCTCCGACATCACGTTGTACTTGGCTACACATGGTTCAGCTTCTGGGGCAGCTTTTCATGGTTAAACAACCTACGAGAGCCGAATTTTCAACCTGTTTGTGAAAGTCAGGAGCCGCTACTTCATTCAATAGGGAACCATACTGAGTCATTTCATCATTGAGGTGTCTGGGCAGGGAGTCAGACGATGTCACAATACCGGAGGTCAGATATCGGAACTCACCCCACTTTTTTGTTGGTCCTTTAGTAATTAGTGTGAGGTTCCAAAGGCCGAGAGAGAGATACTGTACTCGTCGAATCTTTCCTGGGCCCAGCTTCAAGCAGTTTAGACAATGATATTAGAAAAAATACCGAGGCTTTACCTGTGATTGTTATCGTTATCCCTAGTAAATAGTAAGTTAGTTGTGCTATGCCTTGTGTGCTTTTTACGTACTGGCCTGTCGTTTTCCAGCTAGGATCATAGATTGTGCTTTGTTCTTCGGATTGTCCAGCATAGTCATTGAAGATAGTGTCAAATTGATAGTCTACGATGTCTTCCTTCTCGGATGAACTGTAATCCGAATCTAAACATTCGGGGAACCTCCGTAGCATCTCCTCCAATGTAGCGTCCTGGGCCATTTTTTATTTTAAAGAATTTCGACTGGTGTGAGTGATCGAGATAAGTATGATATGAAATGGTAGTAAAATGGTAGCAAAATGGTAGTAAAATAGTAGTAAAATGGATAGATTGAAAGTGGAAAACTGTCTTATTATAAACCCTACACAGCACTGAAAATATGATCAAGATATCTTTCATCATCCTCCTCACCCGCGCGAATGTTTTCAGCAACTTGGGGCAATGGTTGAACTTCCAAACTATATGCATTGTTTGAGGGTACGGTACCACTAAATGGCGGAGCAGCACCCTCAAGTTGGACATATATGTGGTCATTTGGAAAAGACATGTTCTGTGGATCAGGGTCGGTTGCTAGAAGCCTTGGGTTGTTGTCGCCAGCAGTGTCAGCCCTCAATTGAGAGTTCTCATGTTGCTGTATACCCTGCATAACCTCGTGCAACTGTCGTGAAATCATATTCATTGCTTGCATTAGACTCCGGTTGTGCGTATGGCATCCTTGCAAATCGGCCTTCAGCTGAGCAATCTCAGCATCGCGAACAGCAATCAACCGTTGAAATGCCTGTCTTTCTTGACGAACTTTTTCTCTAATTTTATCCTATTTGGTTGTTAGACGTAACATTGTCTACAAGGTATACTCTTAGGACACATACAGAGAAAAGCTCTTTTGCCATGTCTCGTTTAGTCCTGTTGAGTCGGGCGGCATTTCGCAAGCCTTGTGCTCCATTTTGGGGGTCCATTTGGGGGTCCATTTGGATTTCATTTTGCACATTGAGATGGTTCACGTTTCGCATGCTCCTTCTTGGGCTCATTGATGGAAATTCTATTCCAGACATAATGGATGAAGAGAAAAAGTGGACGCATATAGGGGGCAAAACAAGACATTAAACGTTTTCAAAGATCCAAAATACTCATAACATATGGTCAATTGAACAGAACAAAAGCTAAATGAGAGGGGGGGGAGGAGGGGGGTGTCCAAAAGACCCTGTAAATTTGTTTGTGATGAGACCCACTTTTGCTTAACCAGGATATATTCATAGCTTGAACAATGTGTAAGCGCTGTGTTGAACGCTAAGTACACACTAAGCAGCCAGTTGGTTGATAAGCACTGGGTTAAACAATTTGCTGTGCCACCCCTCTTCTTCTGTTCGCAACACTGATATATTCTTAGCCCAGTCTTAGAGACACATTCTTAACATGACCCATTCCTTGACAGGATGCCAGAAATGAAGAACACTCACGGCTCTCGCCAAAATACCCCCTCCATGGATAAGTACAAGGTCGTTCAGCAGTGGGACGAAAACGAACTATCCGACATTGCACAATTTCTTGCTGATCATGAAGAGGCCTCATGGGAAAGAAAAACGGTATTGTGGTATCAAAAACATGGGGTTCAGCGGTCCAAAGAATCTCTCAGGGGAAAGATTAACTATTTAAAACGTGGGTCAAACAATAAGCACGGATACACCCATGCCAGGGCATCATCCAGAACGTTGTCGTCGTCGTCGTCGTCCAGAGTGTCCTCCGGAGCGTCATCATGTAGAAAATCGCCCAACACAAAGAGTACCGTCGGATCTTCACAACGCCCTATAAGAGCAGAATTTCCTGGTGATGAAGCTCAAACTATAGACCTGGAGGATGAAGATGTTGAAAGTGAGCCATTGTTTCCTTCTCCCAAACTTTTCTGCTGCTAAATTCTACCACCAATCTAGCGTTCCTCAGTTCGATGGTTGACATTTGGTGGCAGATGATTATAGAAGGGTGATTGCGGCATGTAATGTATTGCAGTTCTAGTACATTTAAATATCATTCATTGGAAAGCCTGTATCGCCAGACTTGAACTTCCCAACGGATAAAGAGAATGGCGTCGTGGTTGCATCTCACTTCGGATTCAGGTGGTTGGTGTCTCGAGGATAGTGGAAGGTTGCGCCAGGCTGTGCAGTCGATGAAGCACCCTACAGCTCAATATCCATTGATAGTATATTTGCTAGGAGGCCCATGCAAAAGACAGGCTCTCCGTGTTCTTCTCCCGTACAACAACACCGCTAGACAAGGGTCATGGGGAATCTCAAATCTTCATCTCCGTAATAGTAACATAGAAACTGCATATCCAGAGATCTTCATTGACGGGATCCTCGAGGCTAACACGCGGCGTCCCTGTCGGACATCTAAACGCAATGACCCGACACTTGTCCGCCAATATCGCATCCATCGTATGCAGTATCAATCGTACGCTCATGTCCGAGATCACATTTTTCATCAATGTATACTCCCATTCATCCAAGTGCTGTGTATCTTTGCCGATGAACTGCAGGAGCCGGAAGTTTTGGAAAAGTCGCTGTCAGATTTGGCGTCGACAGCCTGTCGCAATGAAGCTGCAGCTCAGCCTCACCTGTTAGTTGTCTTGACGGATCCCAACAACACATCCCAGAAAGATGAGGTCGTAACGAAATCCCCAACCTTCGACAAAATTCGGCGATCACAATTGAGATGGGCAGTAGTGGATTTACGGGACCGCGTGGAGCTCTCTGCGGTGGCTCGGTTTGAGCCACTGCGGTTGAAAATGCGGCAGGAGCTTGAGACGGCAAGAATAGTTAGTGAAGACAGACGACTCCTATTCTGCGCCACCCATCTCGAGGCGCTGATGCAAAAAGCAGTCAAGCACGCGGCCCAAGGTTCGCGCCAGAAGTTCGACATCATCGCTGCAGCGAGAGCAAATAATCCAGTTCCCCAAGGCATTGAATATCATTTGACGAACTTTCTCCGCCTTGCCACACAACACGGGCTACCTCGGACGGATATCGTGACACTGGTAGCCTCGGCGTTGGCAGTTGATGCGTATCCGCCCAATATGCACGGTAAGTCTGGCACACTCGTCGTCCTCAACTGATTTAACCGCAGGGTAGCATTCGATCCAAGAACGATCTTCCGTCGACTTTATGCTCGCCACTGCCACGCAGTCTGGAGGGCGAATTCTCAGGCAATGGAGGAGTGCGAGACCGTAGAAAGCTTCTTTGCATCATTTGCCAGTCGGATCACTCGGTTTCATCGACCGGTTGACCTTCGAAGGCGCATTCTCGGATATAACCTGGGAACGTGGGCGCCGCTAAAAACCAACCTTACATGCCTGTATTGCCTCCTTCGAGGAACGTGCGAGGTGTTACCATGCGGACACGCGATCTGCGATGTCTGCATTCGTCGATTTGCGGCTCCAGGGGCGGGGGAATATCTCTTCCGCTTGGAAACATGTGACCTGTGCCAGTCAACCTTCACCTATACGGTCAGGCAAGTGCCTCCCACCCAACGTCCGAACATCCTGGTGCTCGACGGCGGGGGCGTCCGAGGTATCGTGACCCTGGGATATCTCCGAGAGTTGGCAAGTTTGAGAAATTGGTTTCAGCTGGTTGTTGGGACAAGCGTCGGTAAGTCTAAGACCACATCCGCCCTTTTCCAAAACTGAATGTACTCAGGCGGCCTGATCGCCATCTATGAGTATATCGAGAACTATTCCCCGGAGCAAGCACTGGAAGCCTTCGTGCCTTTCGCCCGTCTGATCTTTCCACGCAAACAGCGGCTCCCAGGGCCGATCGATTTCTTTGGCAATCTAGCGCGCAACCTACTCTCAGACGGTAGCTATAACTCTGAGACTTTGGATAGTATCCTGGCAGAAGCATTTGGAGATCAGAGGAGACTCTACGAGGCATCCAGGCACTCCCAGGGTGGTTGCCGCGTCGCCATCACAGCTAGCCAGGTTGAGAAAAACGGTGAGCTGTGTTTGTTTACTAACTATCGCGGTCCGGAACGACCGGAGGGGCTGACTTCATACGATGTAATGGCTCCGGCGAATGTGGATGACGAGCCCTTCCTATGGCAGGTGTAAGTCCCATCGTCTTCAAAAAAACACAGAGCTGGGCTGATGTAATGCCCCACAGGGCCCGGTGTGCTGTGGCAGCACTTGGATACTTCCAAACAAAGCGGCTTGCCGGTTTAGGAACATTTCAAGATGGAGGAATCTGTGCCAACTGCCCGGTGAGAGTTGCCCTTCGTGAGAGTTCACTCCTGTGGCCACATTCCAAGCGGCCGAACGTAGTGGTCAGTATCGGAACGGGTTACCTCGACAGGAAGGAGGAGGAGAATGTGTCTATCGCTCATCATCTGCCCCGTGTCGTCTCCGACATCTTATCGCAAGGTTATATCAAGAGAGCAAAAGACGCTTTCCTGAATTCGGCAGCAGTCGACGGCACTCACGGATGGAAAGAGGCGCGAGATAGCATTCCGGACGACCTGAGGAACGACGTATTCCGTCTCGACGTTGCGCTCCCACAACTCCCGGAGCTCGATGACGCGGGTAGCATCGATGGACTCGCGTCTCTTTCCTATGAGATTCCAAAAAGTCTGATCCACAGTCTACTATCAACATCCTTCTTTTTCGAGCTAGACACTAAGCCTCTGTTCAGCAGGCAGTCTATTCGCTGTGAAGGGTCGATCTTGTGTAGTAGAGACAGCTCTCGTCAGGTATTAACACGGATAGAGAGTGAGATCCCGGGTGCAGTATTCATGACTGACCTTGGCGAGAATCTGGGAATGGTGCAGGTGCACGACGGCTGTGAGAAGTGCGGATACTACAGAAAGCGCGTGACATTCGGCGTGAGTTGTCTAGAAGATGACATTCAGATAGGAATAGCTGGGACTTCAACCTTCTTTAAAATTGGAGGTTTTCCGACCTCTATTCAGACTATCGCGAAGAACATGGATGTAGAGGCAGAATTCGGTCGTCCAGATCATTGTCTTGACCGGTGGCCTCCTCTGCGCCAATGTTATTGTGCGAGGAGGGGGAAACGATGTAGAGTAGGGTTCGAGCCTGGGAACAGGAGTAAACGGTCGCGTCTACCGGGGGCAACGTGACAACGCACATAGTAGACTAGTAATGGGCCGAAATCTGCATGCCAAGGGCCAAGGCGTAAGATATTGACCCTAAGTAGATTCGCAATACAAAAATTGGAGTCATCTCACATTATATCTCTCAAGTATTGGTAAAGAAGCAGGTATGATCCTTTCCACAAAATCACAAAGATGAAGATGTTTATTCTCCAATACTACCACGTTCTCGAATCGGTCCCGTAACTTTAGAGTCCTAGTACGTACGGAGGTGGGATTCAAAAGTGACGGCACAACGCTAATGCACGCTAGAGAGCGCTAGAAATGTATATCATAATTAATTACAGCTAACTACCATTTGGAGTTTTCCTATTTGCCTATCTACCTGAATGCAAGATCCTGTTTGGTTTAGCTCCGTATTAAAACAACTAAAATATACTATGTATGCATACTCCGTAGAGTTTACGCGCTAATGGCTAGCGTAGTGCCATCACTTTTGACTCCCACCCGGGAGTTAGTGCTTACCAGTCGCTACTAAACTAGTACCCGTTAGTGTCAGTCTGAGGTTATCACAGCGTACCATTGGCCGTTTAGTCAATCAGTGGTTAGTGTCCGCATGCTACCTTGATTTCTGATGGATGCCGTCTCTGAGCGGCTGAGTCACATGCAATAATTGGCCACTAGGGTCTTTAAATGGAGTAAATTCAAGTATTGTTTTTCTAAGGCTAAATAGAAGGGACTAAACTGTAACTACATGGACGAATAAGAGAGCTTCAAACTGTTTCTGGTGCCATTTAGCGCGCATTAACTATTCCCATTCCTCTCGGTGCCCACTTCGTACTCTCAGCTCTGTAGCTTGTGACTCAAGGCTTCTGCTCATTTATCCGCAATCTTTCCTCTAAAGCCCTCACAAGATTTTCCAGATCGTCGTCCTCAGTTGATCTTGATTTGAATCCTTGGGATTTTCCGTACTGAGCAGCGCCATCTCTCAGAGCGTACCGCCCATGAGAAAGCGGATCGAAGTAGCGAGATCGCGGGTCATAGTGGGTACGCTGTAATGGAGTATGCTCTTGAAGGGATCCCAAATTATCTCTTGCTATCAACTTTTCTAAGACTGAAGAAAACACTTTCTTCTCAACGAACATGAGAAGATCGCTCTTTCTGACCATTTTCGGATATTTAGCTTTTTCGAAAATGACGCAGAACTCCATCAGAGGTTCTTTTGAGTCTTTGACCGTGTTCTTGTAATCTTTCATTGCCAACCAGAGGATCTCCTTGATATTTCCATGCGTCTTCGGAGAGTATTTCCGAGAAGATGTTTTAAATACCAGTCGTGCTTCTCTCCTGAAGGGCGGCTCTATCAAAGCACCGTTTTCTTTAGAAATTTCGTCGCCCCCCAAGACTGCTCGACAGGCCTTCCATTCCTTCAGCATGATGGAACTAGCACTATTAACTTGTCCTTCGGTCCACAGCTCCCGCTTGTAAAGCCCATCACTGTCCTGAAATTGAACTCCATATTGGCTTACACACTTTCCATTCCTTGTAATATCAGTTTCCTTTTCAAAGAGAAGAAGGATTCCCACATCTTGGTCTAACACCATTTTGTGTGGCCAGCTGGTCCTTGCATCTTCGTTTCTGTGCGAGTATAGCCTCTTCTTGCGGCCGCTGTGGATCACAGTGACGTCTCCTTTAGACATCTTATCAGGCTCATTTTTGCTCCGGCCGGTTCTTCCTCCTCCAGTTGTCACCTCTTCCCCCTCTTCTCCCCTTTCATCCTCTTCACCCCTTTTCTCCTCTTCACCCCTTTTCTCCTCTTCTCCCCTTTCCTCCTCGTCTCCCCTTTCCTCCTCATCTCCCCTTTCCTCCGCGTCTCCCTGTTCCCTTTCCCTCTCTTCTTCACTTTGGCTTTTTTCTTCACGTGATTTATTGCCCTTCAGCGCTGTTTCAACGTGGTCTAACTTTCCGTTATAGCCATTCCGTTTCTTTGCGTACTCGACGATCCTCAGCACGAACTCCTCCTTTTGAGTTTCATTTCCCTGAAATCCGGGAATATTTAAAATTGCTTCACTTTCAGTCTGCTGTTCCACGCGACTAATAAACGACTGCACCGTCTCCTCTAGGAGTCTCTTCTGTGAATTACTTAATCTATTTTCCTCCGTGATTGACTTTGGAAGGTCTGCCACCTGATTTACAGGACCTCCTCGCCCCTGGTGCGTTAGGAGCTTATGCTCGACAAGGAGCGTATAAAGACGTGCGCCTTCTTCATCACTCATATTGCTTGTTATAATAATATTTGTTCTCCTCTTTGCCGAGTTCTCAGTCTTGGGACTGAGAACCTTTATATAGCTATCTAGGCAGCCAACCATTTCTATTGTGAAGAACTTAGGGGCCTATGCAAATTTTTCCTACAGGAGTCGCTTGGAGATGGTCTTCAACTAAAAGATGGCATTTTCTTTTTATATGTATCTGAAATGTATATGAACGCCCATGCTGCTTGTTCACTCCCATGCATGATTTGGTAGTCTAGGAGACATGTATCATCCAGTGGATATGGGTCGTAGGTGCAGCCATTCGACAGAAGATGTGCTCTTTCGGGCAACAATAGATATCGCATTAAGTGAAAATAAGAAACGGGTTCTGAGAACTTTGAATCATCAACAACAAAGCCAGAAATCGCCCACATCGAACACCCGATATTTGTTAAAGCAGCATTATAATCAAAATCCTCCAAGCAAGCAACGCAGATGGAAACGCCAGCTAACTCTTAGTGGTCCCTTTTCCAGATCCGGTACATATCAGCGACTCCTACGTACCGCATTACAGCACATGACACAGAGCAGAGATCAACAACGTTATCCGCCGCGTCAAAGCATATTGGATGACGCCTTCAGGGTGCTAGACAGGCTTGGCCATAGGAGAGACGTTTACACCATGCTGAAGTCATTCGTGCGTAGTCTGTGCACGGAAGATGCACTAGGCTCAGTTCATGGGTAGAAAATTCCGTCCAAATCCTCTCTGGTTCGAATCATGACTCTGCAGGGAAGACCGCTATGTTGTCTCGCCTTTTCCAGGATTTGATGTTTCGCGATTGCAAAATCGAACTGTACAGACTCGAAGAGAAAGGTAATGTGGGTCCATATTGGTTGGCCTTCATCATAAGCTGCGATTCCCATTTCCAGACACCCGATCCGTCCAATAATTCGTAGGTGGCGCTTGACCTGGGCGAACACTTCGGGCCCTGTGAACTTGAAGATGGGAGATCCAAACCAGGTCATGGGTGCATGTACTGAAGGGCAGCTTGGCACCAGCAACGTTTCAACGCTGTCAAAAATTGCTGTTAAAGCTTCACCAACATCTTCTTCATCATTTGTAGACAGGCTATGGTTGGTGGTTTTAAATTGTCGGGTGCCTAAATTATCTTTCGTAGTATACTCCTGCAGTTCACCAACACGTGTTACTGTGGAGAACTCTGGCCACAGATGCGGAAAGTGATTCCAATAGCTCTCCAGTAGCATATTCTCAATACCCTCCATTTTGATAATACGTATACAACAATATTCACTTGGTGTCATTATTTCCTTTAGGCCACACCTCAGTATTTAAGTGCGCTACCTAGGCAGCCAGATGGATGTGTATGTGTGTCGTCACACCAAACAGCACACTAAGTGTAAGTCCTTTCAAACGCCTTGTTTAAGAGGATCCGTTTAAATTTGTTTCTGGTGGGGCAAAGACAGCAAGTTTGAAATCACCAGGCAATAGTGACCATAACATATGAGCTTGATATGTCTATATAACTATGAGTAAGCCATTCACCAAAGACTCAAAAACTATCGCGCAATGGATCTGCAAATAAGCATAATGGATGACTCGCCAGTAACCGTACTTTCTATAAAACTTCTGTTCTCTATACTGCATTTATCTAGCCTTGCATACTTCACTCTTCTACTTTGTAACATTGCGCACAACTTCTTATACACACCGATCAGAGATGCCAACGGGGCGATCCAGGATGTGCTTGCTCTGTCGAGTTTCTTAATTGGTGCTGTAATCTTCTCGGCTTTCCACTTTGCCGGTGAATATTGGAAAAAACTCGAGTTAGTTGGTGCGATCACGCTTATGTGGACATCCGGGGTGCCTTTTGTCTACTTCCAATACTACCATTCCGCGTCGGCAGTTTGGGGTATTCTTATCCTCATACTCTGTGGAGTAAGGAGTACAGCATGCATCTGGTACAGAGATGCAGATGCATTCATACGGCACTATCTTGCCCTAGCTGTACTATCCCTAACACCAGCAATATGGGCATATTTCAATGTTTCTGCTTGTCGCCACGCGTTGGTGACGGATTATCTTCCCTTCCTGAGATACAATAGCCTCGGTGGTTTGCTTTATCTTAGTCGATTACCCGAGAGACTTGGTCTAGGTGTCCAAACCAATCGATTTGTCTTGCATCTTATTCTCATAGGGTCGGCGATTGCCTACTCGATGAAATTGATTGCGGCATATGACTCTCCTAGAACTGAAGGAAACTGCAGCAGGTAGAGGGTGCCAATAGGTTATGTGGCGGAAGTCTAGTTATGGTACATGTACCTGGCAACTTTGACTAATGTAATAACCGCGGGACTATATGGTAGATCATGAGAAAAGATGCCCACTTTTACATGTCCTCACTTCAGTCAGCCTATTTGATTATTATCCACTATTTCAATATATGAGTCTCCAATACCGGTTATATTAAACTTTGTTCTTAGTTCTATATAGCTTCATATGCATACTCATCTATAGATTTCTCCGCGAACGACTACTCTAGATTATAGAATATAATATGTTATGAGAGCTCAATTCAATATCATTGTATAGCTAATCTAGAAGACTAAACGTGGCAAATAAGCCAAGTCTAACTCCTCGTCCTAACTGTTCTCCAAGATTTCTACCTTGGAGAATTCAAATCGCATAGTGTTCAAATTAATTCGAAGTACGGATCATCTTAAAGTTTGAATCTGTTTAGAACGTTGACGTACATAGATCTGTTCAAATGTGGATCCATTCAAGTATGGATCTGTTCAACTGTGGACCCATTTAACTGTGGATCCGTTCAAATATGGATCCGCTCAAATGTGGACCTGTTCGACTGTGGATCTGTTCAACTGTGGATCTGTTTACTGTGGGCCCTTTAACTGTGGCTCCGTTCAACTGTGGATCTGTTCACTGGACCTGTTTAACTGTGGGTCTGTTTAAAGTAGAATATTGTTGTAATCCTACCAGGGCTTGAAAATCGTATTTACTTATTGAACTGAAAGATTGGCTATTATATATTTTATAAACTAGATAATACGTCATCCCAAGAGTATCTATGTTATGTGTTTTTCGATACAACGCGGCCTTTACATACTTGGTCAGGGACTGTGGACATGCGGCTATACAGGTCGTGTTTTGGCTACTAAAGGAGAAAAGTTCGTTTAAACAAACTGTTTGACTTATTAAGCAGCTTATGGGTAATTTCATTAGTCTTGCGTACTCTATGATGATATGATAACTGAAAGAGTGATAGGTATCTTCTGTTTTGAGGGTGTTTTGATACATGACTGGTTGGAATGATGAATTTTCGCGTACTCTATGCTACTCTCGGATGCAAAGCCGGTGTCCGAGTCTTAGCCTCTTTGATTATTTATCAAACCCTACCTAAGTAAGGCTAGAACGGTAGCTAGGCTATTTGTTACAGAAACTACAAAAAAGCTCTAGCTCGCCGTATCACGTATGGTATTGAACGGGACATCATACATGTATATACATGATCAAGTTTTAATTCTCTCTAACATGGATGACTGATCTCCGTTATAATAGTACTCTTTATGAGCGTTTGATCGATCACTTTACTGTACGACTTCCAGAAGACATGGATCCTTGGCACTACGGAGTTCGCTATATCTAGTATAAATCACGTTCGTGATTCGACTGATATTTGCTTGACCTCGGGGGCGGTCCAGCGGCCGCTCACCGCTCTGGAAGAAACGTTAAATTTCTAACAGGACGTATGCCGAAACCAAATAATCGTGTATATACATAGTACATGTCCGGTACAATACTATATGTGACACGGCGCAGCTGCGAAGTGGAGCCGTCTTGGAGTTTCTCTAAAGGTAATTTAAGCCCGTTTATCATAGGGGCTTAAAACAATCAAAGATAGTAAGACCCTGACACCGGTTTTACTTCCGGGTGTATAAATCCATTACTGTAAACGCTGCAATCGCTGCTTCAATCAAAGTAATTTGAAGGCTGGATGTCTCCTAGGACAGTAGCCGCTTTCACTCTTCCCCATGCACCGGTCGATCGATACCTAGCCAATAGTAAGTTGGTATCGTTCACAACCTGTTGTGAGGCGCTATGCAATGGCATCGGAGAAGACGGTGCAGATTCAAGTGTTGGTACTGTATCATAGGGCTGAACTTGATTATAATAAAGCCTTTTTCAAATAGGATCCCATTCCTTAAAGTTGAGTTTGCTGGAACACTACCATAAGCTATTTCGCCCGCGCAGATTTTGGCGATTGGAGCTTCTTCTTGCAGCTCCTGCAGTTCTGTAGTGGTAGGGGAGGGGCTGTCATCCATTGGATAAAGCTGATATAACTGTCACGACCTCGCTCACGGGAGTATTCGCTCACTAAACCGTTGCGCCAAAAAGACCAGAATATTGAGGATGATGGATCCTCTCTACTACTCTCTCATATAGTAAGGTTGCTAGAGCCGTCACACTAACAGCCTTTTGACTGGTAGAAGAGTTGAAGGACGTCCTGACCAAGTATCTTGTGGTTCCTTGTGGTTCCTTGAAGAATGAAAGGGCCACTCTGGTCCTTGTTTGCCATTGAATTATGGCACCTACGCTGTATATAATCTCGCGTAATTGTAAATAATCGAGCGTTCTGGAGTAAAATAGTGCCGATACCGTTCGAAACACTAGTGGTGTTCCCGATGCACTAACGTTATAGAAGTAGGGTCACCAACCAATTGATGAGAGAGTAAGGCGGAAGGCAATTTTGGATTTTACTGTATGTATAAAACATGCACCAGTAACGAGTAAAATACAGATATTACTGCACCCAAGATAGCGCAGCTTTTAGCGTCCCCACGGTAGGGCGAAATTGTTCAAAGAGAGAGTAAAAGTGGTGAAGCAGGTTTCAAATCTGTCTGTGTCACTCATGGTGAGAGAAGTTGTTCTTCGGCACTGAAATAGTCCAAGCTCAAAGTGTCACTGCGCTGATCTAAGTTGATGGAGGAATCTCGATTTGGAGAGCTAGGACTCCGTGGCTCTAGGCCGAAGAGTTCCAAGCTAGATGATGAGCTAAGTTGGCTCGAAACAACAGATGGACTGCAATCCGATGGATCTGGCGTGGGCGTATGAGAATGAGGACTATAGTCTCTGTCAGGTAGCCCTTCCAGATACAGACTGTCTTTATATGATTTGAAGAAATGAGGAAAACGACGGCGATCAATTAGATATCCCGGCTGTTTTGGAAGGAAGGTCGTCGGCCTATTTGGTCGAAGATTGTAGCGAGAGTTACTCTGACTGTCTATCATAGGCTCGTCCTGGGAGTTTAACGAAGGTGCAATAAAAGATTCAGCAGTCACATTGTCTACACACTCGGGGATCGGGTTGGGAATAGAAGTGGGCGTATAGAGGTGACAGGGTCCCTGGTTAAGATTGGCCCTTTTTGGGTGCCCGTTCAGAGCACCGCAACACTTTGTAGTAGTGTTACTAGTTGGAGTGTCAGCAATTAATGACCGGTATATGCGTTCTTCAGCTGAGAGGCGAAAATAGGCTTTGGTGAGAGCACTCAATGATAGTGATGGAAAATATGACTCCTGAATTCGTTTGTAATGCCAACGATGTAAAAGTCGAAGATGCGAAAGAACATTTAGCTCTTTCTCTGTCCAGCCGTGCCTATATTTTCTTCTCTGGAATCGAAGTGTTCCATTTTGATGTAGAGGCGGCATTTTTGGTGGTGCAGATTCCAGAGACTACTGTAGGTGACATATCATAATCTTGCCGCATCATTTCCTCACAGCACAACATATTGATTTTCTTTCATCATCTTCGCAAAAGGCAGTACAGAGAGATTGGAAACCTCCTTCACCTTTTTATACACTCTCTCTTTTAATTGCCTCACTGCCAAGGCGGTACCCTAGTTGCCATTAGTAATTTTTAGTGTTTCATTCACAGTTTTTGTTTATTTGTGACATATTTCAGAACACTAAACCTTTCTAGGTTGTTTAAACTGTTCAATTAAACTGTTTAATTATGCTGCAGTACATTGTAGTTTACACATGACAAAACATGATCGATTGGTTGTGCATATATTACATATAGTAATGGGCTAACTGTTTATAGTATAAACCACAAACTTGTTCCTACAGGTGGGGCAGAATTAAAGAGAAACAGGTATGGAGTACTACTACATAGGGATGTGTTATGAACAGACCCACATGACGCTAAAAGAACTACGACAGGAAGGAGAAGGTCTCAAAATACAAGAATATGTCGTTACCAATGAACAATAACGCGTATTGTCGTATGTGAAGCAGAGGTCTCGTGCCGATAGGAAAGATATACTGCTATCTTATCAAAGATAAGAGTATATGAAACACTAGGATATCGTAATACTTTATCTACCTTTAGGAGTATACGATATACGATATACAAAACGTGGAGGACTAGGTATACTGTATAAGGACGCTCGTTGACATAAGTCACTTGAATACAACAGTGAGAGTCAACAAGACATTCTAACTCGTACGGGCACCAGGCCGTACCGGGGACCTCTTCTATCTTAGTTACGTTATCGATTCAAGTACCCAACACAAACTTCGCTACTTTAAGGGCCAACCCACAATTAATAAGTCCAACGAACCGAACCTGTGTGAGGTTCAACCTCCTAACGTATCTCGACGCACCGCTGCTTTAACTAAGGTAGATCCTGGTTTGTGACAGATGAAGTTTCGAACTTCGTCAAAATAAGGTGCAAAACTCGAAACCTGCTTCACCCTTAAACACTCTTCTCTACTCTAATCTGTCCCACTCGTAGGGCAAATTTATAGTTTTATACTAATATACTAATACTGCGCATAATATAGGTGTATTCAATTGTTCATGTTTTTGTCTTGTAAATTACAAAACAGACTAACTAAAACCGAACAATTAAAGTTGTTTGTACGCGCACAACATCCTGTCGGAATTTGGCACCACTGCAAGAAGCTGCGGGGAGTTTCTGTTATATGTGTTTCATGATTTCGGGATAGCTCACAAAATCCTTTGTGAGCTCATATCCATACTTCACTCGTTGTTTGTACATGTCTCAATTGCCGGATTGAGTCCTTACTCAATCCCCAACGTAGGTTCCTACGCAGGCATAAATATGGCCTGCGTTCCCCATGAGATAGTTCGAGTTATCAGTTATCAATTAGGAATCATGTTACTATATTGATCGAACTCACCCATAGGCTTGTTGGACTAGCCTTGCACCAATCCCTGCTTCGTGTTCTGGGACCGTGCTAAACCAACAAAAGTAAACTAGAAGAGTCTAGTGCTATGAGATATGTCACAAACAAAACAAAACGTGACTAGTGAAACGTTGAAAAATACTGTATCTACTATAGTGGCTTGCTAGTGGGGCAATCAAAGAGAGGGTGTGTAAAAATGTGAAGGAGGTTTCGAATCTGTCTGTATTGTTGAAAAACATAAGTTTGCAAATATAAGCTAGAGATAGGAAAACTATAAAGTCAATTCCACAGAGACCAACTTCTGGATGTACATATCTAGCGATTTGACAAGGCAAAGGCGAAGCGGCGATATCTAATATCATCCTACCTTTTTTGCGCAGCGCGCTGATGCGTCTACAAACTCGTTATCAAGTCCAGGTCCCAGTCAAATAATGGTGATACCGAAACTAAGAGCACCCGCCTTAAGACCCAGCAAAAGAACCGGAGGAAAAAGGGACTGTTTCGAAAAGCGGCTAAATACAGTGAAGTGTGCCAAGCGCACGTCTTTGTCTTCATTCGAGTGGAAGCAAGCGGTCAGACCTTCATCTTTAATTCGAAGCCTCAGTGGCCACCCACTGAGGGAGAAATGGTACGCTACACTTCACTTAGCCCTATAATATTACTGACTCTCATTAGATGAGACTGCATCCTATCCCAGTGCAAATGTCTTCTAAAGACTTTGAGTCAAGCACAAGTTGACAAAAAGAAAATAAGCTTGTGTTCCGAAATGGGAAGGATGTATTATACCTAGGTAGTGTGGACATACAAGAGAAGATATCACGTTCATTTATGCTGAGATATCACAAATTGGTCTACTGCATTCTTCCTATGTGAAATCACAAAAACATGCAAAAAGCCCTATGGCAACTTCATAGTTTATTTAATAGTAGAAGGACCACCAACAGTAATAATCAACGATTTAGGGGCTTGTGATGCAATGAGACCGGACTGGTCAGCTCCTGAAGGGCCAACGTCATCGTATGGAAAGGCATACCCCTTTCCATCTAGCTCGAGATCATGGACCAAATTACTGTAGACATTGCTTGGATCTGTCATATAATAAAAAGCTGGATCAAGACCCGGTTGAAAGTCACCGCCCTTCAGTAGAAGCGTGGCTCTATGCAAGGCAGCGCAGAGTCTAGGTACGATAGCAACATGAATATTATTGTCTGTGGTGGTGTCAATATTGAAAGGCCCAGTGCTACAACCAAAGATATCAGCTGTAGAAGGTTTTCTAAACCCATGGTCATCTCCAGTGCAGCTTAATATATCATTATGTACAGTACATGAAACATTACCGGCTGACGTTTGTGAATTCACAGTGAGGGGTCGCCGGCTGTAAGTAGACCACACCTCATCGACGTATTCCGAGTAGTAATCCTGGAAAGCGGATGGATGCAAGCTGATATATGACTTCGGAGAGAGAACCCGAAGTATACCACCGTTGGAATCGTTCACACAGAGCTGATCCCATGGCTGACCACTACTAGAAGCCTGCCGTCGAAGCCGATTGCAGATGTCAGTCACCGCAGCAGCTGGGATTCCTAGGGCTTCTTGTATGCTTCCATCCTCTGATTCCAGCGATATGCCCAAAGCTAAGCCCACAAAATCCACATAACTGAGATTTACAAATAGCCCAGTCTCAGCGGTATAGCTGAGCTCCACAAATCCCCAGTGTACGAGACTGTTCAGGTCTGTGGTGTCTGTCACAGAAGGTTCAATGAGAGTGGCGGCACCGTTGTTGTCCAAAACAGCATAGAATGTCAAACTATTGATGGAAACCCATATGCGGCCTGACGAGAAGTCGCTTGGTATTGTGACAGTAGTGCTCGCACCTTCTGCCGCCAGTGGAATTGCGATCGACTGGGAAACTTTGAGTGGAATGGACGATAGCGTACTGGGCTCTGGATGATACCAAGTACTATCTGTTTGTAGCAAGACTAGCCGGTTATCCGGATCCTGAGCTGTAACATAGGCATATGTAGATGTATTTCCTGGTAGATTATTTACAATTGATATCGAGAGGCGTGCCACTACAACAGTGACAAAGCAAAACCCAATTAAAGGTTGCATTCGCGGGACAATCATGGCATTCCATAGAACTCGCCGATAGAATCAATTAATTCTTCCAAAAATTAGCTTTCTTGTTCTGACCAAGAAAGATGTGACGCTCGGATTTATAGTATACAATAGAGATTTTGCGTAAACTGGCCAAAAAGCTCAGTGACGCTCTTTGATCAGACATAGAATTGGTATCTTGAGGGCTAACCACTCAAAACTCGATATGAAGCAACTCATCATTTGTACAGTTAATTGCGAAAAGGGCGTCTGGATTTATACTCATTGTTTCTTCAAACCCTCAATATGCCAAGATTAACTGACTGAATTTGTAAGTATTCCGAAGGCGACGCAGCAATATTAAAATTTATGGCATGATGATAAGATTATATAGTTCTCCCCAACGGGGAATGGGTAGTGTATGAATCCACTCTCAGGCATAAGCAAGGTGTCACTAAAGGTTGATGGCCCTTCGCTATAGGCCTATAAGGAGTGCCAAGGGACTATTCCCTTTAGGTAGGAAGTTGTGGCTTCTGCACTTTTGAACACATTACGTCTCCGATTGGCCGGTTACGGGTAGATTTTAGAATCCAGTCTTTCAGGCCAGGATATACCCTAATTGACCAATCAAATACTTCATTTCAAATATATGACTAAAAGACGCAACTACCCAACTACAAACTGGTATGCACAACCTTTAAAATTAGAGCCATGTGATCAAAGAATCCATTCTACTGTCGGATTAGTCGGTTTATTCCAGGCCAATCCTGAAAGTGTTTTACTAGGATCAAAGAAAAAAAGTGACTAGCAAGATTGTGTGTATATTGGGTTCTCTCTCTGTCCCTGTCTAATACATCAGGTTCAATGCCGGGTCCTTTATAGACATTTTTGGCGGGGTCTTTTGTGAGCTATCATGAGGGGTAAACAATCAGGGCTATATTGAGCCCTGATAAGAAGATGACTCCTTATTTGCTGAAGTGTAGGTAGCTTGAGGTGACTGGTTGACCTGATCAAATAGCCTATCTTCTACATCGCCGGATATCCCGGTTATCTGACATCTACAGCGATATCTGAACAGTCAAATACTGTTGTATACTTGGTGTACACATACGGAGGACCAGAGATCAGGTCATTCCTCTACTATAGTGTATTTCATTCTAACTAGTATGGTCCATTAGGCTATAAGGAAGATCTCTACTATCTTTTTTGAGGACTACTGTTGTTAAGGACGTCAACTCTCGTTATATCTTATACTTCTTTATGTGCAGGTGTTGACTCTTGAATACGGGGAACCTGCGTGGTTCAACCAGTCTTAACGTATCTCGAGACATCTCCTGCATCGCGAACAACTTCGGTGGATCCAGGTCTGTGTCATTCGCAACGGAGTATCCATAACAGCTGTGCTAATAATCATTAATGCTAAATACAGAGAAAACAATGTAAATACTCAACGACCATATCGATTGTCCCGCTGCATACGCTAATTTGGTACCAAGGCTGTACTGTATCAAACTTTGATGTGTCCAGCGTATGCCATCCCAGTTGCCATCACACACGTATCAGCATATTACTGTGTACACTCCAATCGGGAAATATCCTTTCCACCTCCGATGCAAAGGATTCGGATCTCAGACTTGTCATAGCTCTAGCAGCCCAAATCTTGTAAAGTCTCGATGAACGCCGACACGGTGAGTTGGACTTTGGATATATCCACTCGATTGCACAGAGAAGTTTCTCGTCAGTCAAACCATAGCATCGCCGGGTAATGAGCAGGTTGAGTATCTTCATTGACTGAGGGGATTTCTCACGTTTCTTTAAAGCTGGCATAACGAACGGACGGCTCGCTGTAGGACAACCATGATCAGAGAGCAAGTCCACTAGATCGATGCGGTTCCGCTCAATAGCAGCGTCAAGCGGCAGTCTCAAAATTCGACGTCTCGAAACTCGGCGTATCGGAGGTGGGTATTTGTCACTCATGAGTCCTATAGTGGGTTGGTGGCGAAGCAATAATGAGACAATTTCACAATCCGTGTCTTTTGCCGCAACATATAGTGGAGATTGGCGACTGAAGCTGTCTATGACATCTATGTTGGCACCTTTGTCCAGTAGATACTGGATAACTTCGAGTCGTTGTCTAGGTGGCAGGCTCCAATTCGTGCTTTGGTTGACAGCGACAACCAGGGGGTGTATATGACCGCCTGTACTTTTTTTTGTGATGGATTGAACAAACAATACACTGACTCCAAGGAAAGTATCGCGATCACTATACGAGATCGGAAATCTATTACATTCTTTGAGGAGTTGAGGTAACTCAGGAATTTTTTGTACCAAGTCCAAGCTCCCCGCGCAAAGAGCCTGATTTAATCCCACAAGGCGATCCTGATTCGATTTATAAGATCCTTGTCGGAGTTGGTGAAAAGAACCACGATAAGGGCAAGCGATCAAAAGACTCAGGAGCTCGAAAGCATTTAAGCTTGGTGCTAAAAGATAAAACAGCTCCGTTGGAAGCTTATCAAGGTAAAGCATCTTGGAGTTGAGTTGAACACTCACAGTAATGCTGGTTGGCTGTAACTTGGTAAGTATTGGATTATAGACTGGAGAACAAGTGGTCAGTCAGAAGAAAATGGGAGATACGCAGCGGTCGAGCACATATTTATGTACGAAACGGGCGCGGGTATCTTTAGGAATTAGGAAACAATTGAGCACTAATTATAGAGATATCAAAGCAATATACTGTGACTATAGAGTGGGACCCGGCTTGCGGCTGATCAAGTGGCACCAGGACAGCACCTCCCCATGCTAGTGAGTTTGACTGGTTTTTCATGGAAAGTTCTAGCAAGTTCTAGCGAGCCATGGCAAGGGCAAGACGCTGGGTCGAAACTAGATATTCACCCTTGATGTGGTTGACAACTCTGTTACTGACAGGCGGGGAGATGGACACGGGCCAGAATACCTAATAGCACTGGACTCCAGTAACATTGAGGAAAGGTGAAGAACTAACATGAGCCCCCAGACATATTCCAAGACGGGGGGGTTTCGTCTGTGACCTCTATTAGTAGTTAGTGGCTTGGTTTGACATGCTTGCGGGGCGACTTGCCCAGGTAATATGCCATGAGGCGTTTCAATGTGCTAAATATACGTGGACAATTCATGGCTGGGTTGGAATGGAAAACGTCCTGTTGAAGATGAGAGTATAAACATTAAGTGTTACTCTCGGATTTAGTCTGATTACAAACATTTATGAGTATAAGTTCAAGGATTCTGACTATGGGTAAATTAAATATCAATATTGAACTGTTGACGGTTGATATTATAAACGGTTTGAATGCTCAGCCGGAGGACTGGCATGTAAACCCACATCGATGATGTGGATATATTGAGCTTTCGTCCCATCCCAAAATTCAGCATGTTTCTCCTAGGTCTTGACAATGCCACATACTTCGCCTAGACAATGGCTTTTGAAGATTGTACTATTTTTGGAGCGCATCAACACTGGTTCAAGGCAACTGTGTGAAGAAAGTATGCCTACGGATTATTCACCTCCACCTCCTTATCGAACATCTGCGGAGAGTCCAATCATACCAAAATCTACGCCTAATAGCTATATCGCTCTGCAGCCTTCTGATTCCATGTGCAGCTGCCGTATCCTCAATCAACAATGCATTTCAACTTCATCTGCAAGGCTTGATCGTACCGCTGGAGATGGGATCATCCGTCGTTATGGTATAAATGGTGACGAGCAGATCAGGGATTTGCTTATATGTACTGAGTGCCATCGCCCTCGGTCACGGAGATATCATGCACTAAATCGTCTGGAACCCGCAAAATTTCCAAGCTCTGGCGTCTGTTTAAGATGTAAGTCAGCACATCGATACATGATAGCAGAGCTTGAATGAGCCCTTTAAATCGACACCCACAGTTATTTTAGACTCCGCACAAACATTATTTATGGAATTCTTCTGCAATACAGTAGTAAGAAGTTTACTTTTTTCATATATACAGTTGTTCTTGAAATCTGTGAGACCAGTAAGCACATGTCAACGGTTCCAAACCCCGCTACAGTATAAACTTCATCACTCATAGTTCAGTCAATATAATTGGGCTTTTATTTAGTGCAGGACAACCATTAAACTACATCTCTAATAAGCGCCAGTCAATTAAACACCATTTCAGAGCATGTCGATGACTCATTTTATCAAAGGTTTTTTGTGGGAAGTCAAAAATCGATAATATTCTTGTCGATCAAACCAATTTCAATATGCCCATATACTGTAGGTCTAAGGCAGCTACCATCATTTGAATCGCATCATTAACCCAGGTAGTGTGATGACTATCGGATTATATTTACTCCGTACTATAGGATGGAGCATTGCCTACTTTCCTAATTGGTGAAGTCACCTGATACAAAACCATGTAATCTATGGTGTTGATTTTGAATGAACGCCTAGCCTCATGCTTATTTTTTTTTTCTTCAACTAGCAATCCGCATTCTAAGTACAATTGGATTTATATACGTGTTTCATCGGGGCCTAAAATCTGTTGAGCTTTGAAAATGACCTTAGCGGTAAAGGTGATTCGCTCGGAAAAAGTTGATCAAGAGCGAGTGGTCCGTTCAAAGAAGGTGGGTCTGTTTAAAGTACATAAGTGGGTCTATTGAAGGAGGTGGGTCTGTTTAAAATAAGTGGGCCTGTTCAAAGGAGGTCTGTTGAATAAAAGTGTGTATGACATCTAGTGTCTTATTCGGACCCTATCATCTCCCAGGTCTACGCGACTGAAGAAATGATGGTAATTTCCGATGAGCTTAGAATGACTGATGTCAAGACTTTACCGCTTTGTACAGGGTTTCCGGAAACCGGTGTCACCACGGTATACACTCTTGTTGTTTCTGGAGCCCTAATGTGAAACTAGGCTAAACCCCATCTGGTTTATGTCGGAACAATAATCATCCCTGTATATTACAGTATTGTACTTACTGGTAATATTACACAACAATGGCAAACTTGCCCCACAGCAGAATCCGGCAGAAGTTGCTCGAGAATCCATAGATAAAATGGAATTCTATATAATGCCTGGATATCCTAGGACCTCCTTTTACAAAGAGACTAATAAATAATAGAGAATATATAAGATTAAATCAAATTCAAACTAGAGTGTATGAAATCCTATAATAGAAACTCGCCCATCACTATACCCAAGAGCAAGGGTGGCTTCCTTGACAGCTGAAATTGTAAATTGACGATGCTCGGGAGGGAGCCACAGTAGATTCTCGCCTCCCAATGCAACCCAGTTGTTTGATAAAGATATTTGAGGATTAATACTGTATAAAGTCGGGTCACATTTATTATGGGGTTGTGGAATTCTTCCGGATCTAGTCGCAGTATGTTCTTCCGCAAGCAGAGTGAAGGCCACTGAATCAACCGAATCTGAATGGCCCTGAAGGGTCTGCAGTTCAGAGCCAGTCTTGACGTCCCAGAGCTTGACAGTCTTATCCCAAGAGCCTGAGACTAGAGTTTGCCCGTCGGGAGAGAAGGCCACTGAATCAACCAAACTTGAATGGCCTTGAAGGGTCTGCAGTTCAGAGCCGGTCTTGACGTCCCAGAGCTTGACAGTCTCATCGCGAGAGCCCGAGGCTAGGGTTTGCCCGTCGGGAGAGAAGGCCACTGAATGAACCCAATGTGAATGGCCCTGAAGGGTCTGCAGTTCAGAGCCGGTCTTGACGTCCCAGAGCTTGACAGTCTTATCGTGAGAGCCTGAGGCTAGGGTTTGCCCGTTGGGAGAGAACGCTACTGAATGAACCGAATCTGAATGGCCTTGAAGGGTCTGCAGTTCAGAGCCAGTCTTGACGTCCCAGAGCTTGACAGTCTCATCGTCAGAGCCCGAGGCTAGGGTTTGCCCGTCGGGAGAGAAGGCCACTGAATAAACCGAACCTGAATGGCCTTGAAGGGTCTGCAGTTCAGAGCCGGTCTTGACGTCCCAGAGCTTGACAGTCTCATCGCGAGAGCCTGAGGCTAGGGTTTGCCCGTCGGGAGAGAAGGCCACTGAATAAACCGAACCTGAATGGCCTTGAAGGGTCTGCAGTTCAGAGCCGGTCTTGACGTCCCAGAGCTTGACAGTCTCATCGCGAGAGCCTGAGGCTAGGGTTTGCCCGTCGGGAGAGAAGGCCACTGAATAAACCAAACTTGAATGGCCTTGAAGGGTCTGCAGTTCAGAGCCAGTCTTGACGTCCCAGAGCTTGACAGTCTCATCGCGAGAGCCTGAGGCTAGGGTTTGCCCGTCGGGAGAGAAGGCCACTGAATAAACCGAACCTGAATGGCCTTGAAGGGTCTGCAGTTCAGAGCCGGTCTTGACGTCCCAGAACTTGACAGTCTCATCGCGAGAGCCTGAGGCTAGGGTTTGCCCGTCGGGAGAGAAGGCCACTGAATGAACCAAACTTGAATGGCCTTGAAGGGTCTGCAGTTCAGAGCCAGTCTTGACGTCCCAGAGCTTGACAGTCTCATCGTCAGAGCCTGAGGCTAGGGTTTGCCCGTCGGGAGAGAAGGCCACTGAATCAACCCAATCTGAATGGCCTTGAAGGGTCTGCAGTTCAGAGCCGGTCTTGATGTCCCAGAGCTTGACAGTCTCATCGCGAGAGCCTGAGGCTAGGGTTTGCCCGTCGGGAGAGAAGGCCACTGAATGAACCAAATCTGAATGGCCCTGAAGGGTCTGCAGTTCAGAGCCGGTCTTGACGTCCCAGAGCTTGACAGTCTTATCGTGAGAGCCTGAGGCTAGGGTTTGCCCGTTGGGAGAGAACGCTACTGAATGAACCAAACTTGAATGGCCCTGAAGGGTCTGCAGTTCAGAGCCGGTCTTGACGTCCCAGAGCTTGACAGTCTTATCGTGAGAGCCTGAGGCTAGGGTTTGCCCGTCGGGAGAGAAGGCCACAGAATAAACCGAACCTGAATGGCCCTGAAGGGTCTGCAGTTCAGATCCAGTCTTGACGTCACAGAGCTTGACAGTCATATCGTCAGAGCCTGAGGCTAGGGTTTGCCCGTCGGGAGAGAAGGCCACTGAATCAACCCAACCTGAATGGCCCTCGAGTGTTTGTAGTCCTGGGCTCCATAAATCCTCCACCTGTGGTTGTATGTGCAAGTGTTTGAGTATACTACCAGGAAATATCCTTCTAACAATACTTTGCATCGGTGAAAATACTAGCCCGGAACTGTAGAGTTGGAGTGGAGCAATACCCGCAATGTAAGCGTTTTTAAGAATGAATCGTTTAGCATCATAGAGAAAGCCTGAAATTTCAACATCTGTGCTTACCCCATCACTAGACTGTACCGCATCTATCATTGCCACCGCTTCTGATATAACACCCATTAGGCTCAGCGCCTCCAACCAGTGAAGGAAATGCTTTTTCAAAAAATCGAAAGCTGGGAACTCAACGATATGAGCTTCACTATGATCAAGATGGTATACCCAGTACTGGCAGGCGTATTGCAGATCCGCTGAGAGATTCCGATGAACAGCCTGGCTATCAATATCATCTCGTTGCGTCCCATAACTTGGTAGGCCACAAATATTGTGCTTGAGACTAGTGTTCATGACATCAAGACAATGCAGTGCTATCTTCTGGTGTGTCTCTTTCTCATCTATATGGAAAAGGCTTTCCGTGGTCAAGAGGTAGTCTCGAAAAGATAAGTGCAGGATTCGGGTTGGAACATCTTTGTCGCTTGGTATATTCAGCACTGAGTGTAATGGATCCAATAGTTCGTTGATAGTTTGTTCAGGCAGATCAAGAAGTCGTGCAAGCGACTTGACAGACAGTGGTGTAGCAAGAAGAATAATAACCCCAACAATATCCTGGAATTCTTTCAGAAGCTCTTTTGGGTCGTCCTCTTTATCTCCCATGAGTTGATTTAAGACGGGGAGGTATACTTTGCCCATCTGAGATGCAGATGTGGTTACTTGGAATTTAAGAAAGTCCTGAAGACGATTGTTTGGGTGTGTCCCTTTCTTAATAAAGCGGCATGCCGTGGCTGCGAAAATAAATAATGGAACAGCCATCTGCGCTAATTCCTTGATAGCTTCATTCCCAGGCCAGTCGTTAGAGAATGAGCGTTCCTCCCGTATTTTAGAAAGCTCGTCTTCCAGGTATACGCGAATGTCGTGTTCAATTTCGGGCTTGGGAAGTTCATGGAGAACAAGATCTTGATAAGAATTGTCTTGATTAAAGCCAAGGCGGATTGCCAATTCAGGTCTGCTCGTCAAGAATATTCGGAGACGTATAGATTTTGATTTCTGCACCTGGGGCAAAAGTTGAAGTATGGCCCGTATGTCGCCCGCATATTCACATTCATCCAATGCATCAATCACAATCATGATGGTTATAGGCTCACTTTGATTCAGGCTAAGTAATGGTTGGAGAAGCAGTTTATCAAATTGTTCTTTCATCAATTTTCCTGAAATGTACGGGTCGGTATCAATCGCCATTTCAACATGATGAATTAAAGCAGGAACTCGGAGCAGAAGCTGTGCGCAAATCGTGGTGAAGAACATCTTGGCAGTACCACGGTCACGCTCTCCGCGTTTGAAGAAGAAGCTGGCCCCGAGTTGGCCTTTTTCCTTGAAGTACTGGGCTACTGTTCGAGAAATGGTTGATTTCCCAGTACCAGCCATCCCGTTCAGCCAGAATATACATTTCTGTCTCGGATCCTCTGCCCACTCTTGGATCTGGTGAAGTAGGCCAATCCTGGTTTTTGGATGGCATCTCGCCTCATGTTCTGCATCGGATGCATCAAAACTAGAACCTTTTGCATATGGTAATTTTCTAAAGACCTTTTCATGTCTGCTGTCATTACTGAGGTTCTGGACCACAACGCCTGTCTCCTGGACAACATCATGTATTTCTCTTATAGACTTCTCAACTTTGATATTTGTTAATAAGAGATTCCATAAGAGTATACTAGGGCAATAGAGCGAAATAAAGAACCTAGTTAAACATTACGTACTTTGCTTAATTGGATCCATTCTCTCCACTCCGAGCCCGGAAATAACCAGAAGAAGTTCTTTTGCATATGATGCTGCTGTTGCCGCGGCGTACGGCTGCCAGACCTTATTCTTATGGGAATCAGCATAATCGCTGATCCCTCGGATGACAAGACAGGGAAATGAGTCCATGAGTCCTAAGTGAAAATAAGTTACTAGATTTCTAATTTACGAGTGGGGTGTGATACTAACCAGCGGCCTCCATTTCAAAACATATAATGCTCTCTTCCCATGCCCATTTATCTCTTAAAATGGCGTCCTTCATCACTTGATCCGCGGATCCAATAGTCCCATAATGTAATTGAGGAGAGTTGTTAGGTCGATCTTTCCTTTGTACAAGGTTACAGTTCTGGGGTCCGCAACAACTCTTGCACGACTTCTTCCCCTCGTCATGAACAATGGTCGACTTAAAGAGACGGTCTTTCTTGGACACTGGATATTGGAAGTTTATGGCGTGGACTGGATACTTTGATACTGATTCTGATAGTGTCTCGCGGATATTGTTGTGTCCATCTAATTTGTGCTGTGCTTGAAGTTGAGAGACAGCGCTTAGAACGATGTTTGGGGGTTTGTTCAACTTGCCGCCACTGCGTATGAATTCCTTTTCCTGCAATGACTTCCCGAAATCATACTGCACAACCGCATCCGATGATTTTGAGGGTAGGCTAATAACCACATCGCCGAGTCGTATGTCACGTATATCTTCTGGATCATTTTCGGAGTCTTCAGAATCCTCCCCTTCATCTTCACCACCTGCATAATCATCATTTCCCTTTGCACCATAATAAGGCGCCCCGCCGCCAATCCCAACCATCAAGCCAAACCTAACAGCTGGAAAGCTGCGGATCATATCCTTGGCAACAGTAGCAGCAGATGCCTTGCCTGTTATTGCTGCTGGCAAGCAAGCAATCACCACATTATGATCACCGATCCGGCCAAGGACGTACGAATTCGCGTCGTGTGGATCGGTTGCGGGAAGACCTGGATGCCTTTCATCCAACATGGTCATGGCAGCCACCAACTCGGTCTCTGGTAGAGCACATATCCAACCCACGGTATAATCACCATGAGCAAACTTTGCTGGGGGTTCGGTCATGCTTCTCTTGTTTGTTCAGAGGAGCTGTTAGTGTTTGGTGGAAAGCCGATTGTAAATAACAGTGACTAAATATTCATGAACGGTTCAGAGTTACAAAAAAAGACGGGAGAAGCATCATTCTGGAGTAGTCGGCTTTGGAGAGGTATTGCTTGAGGAAATGTGATGTGGATGCGGGGTTATCAGGGTCCGCAAGGCTAGCTAATTGTGGTCATAATGCACAGCCACAGTAAAACTAGGATCGATGCAGGAAATCGACACTTTCCTCCTAGACATCGTTATCGGGGTTGGGTGGACATTCCCGACCCCTATCTTCTCATCCACCAACACATGAATTACCTTTGCATGATTTCAGGCTCTTATTCTGTACATCACTTTCATGTTTGCTTTGATCTGCATCGGTAGCCAGGCAGAATGGAGCGACTCCACATGATCATATTCCATACGCCACGAATCGTCAGCCCTAACATCGGCCCGTGCCGTTACCTAATCATCTGCCTAAGAATTCTAGAATATTCCATGCAAACAGGACAAACACCAGGAGCTCCTGACATGCTGTCCACATCTTCAATCCATCCATCGGATCATTTTATCATTCAAGGCTGATCATGATGGGTAGTGAAATCCACATGGCTGCGCTTATTATCCTAGTTAGCCTGTAAGCCACAAACCCTTTGACCCTTGCATAAAAGCTAGCAGAGATGACTGCCTTTTTCCCGCTAACATTTAAGGTTCTCACTGTTAGGTTCCTCGGCGGCATTTATTGCCTCGACGAAGCGGCTTTGAGCCTACTTAGTGATGCCGCTTCTCAGCTTCGACGTATTGATCCATGGGAACAGATCCCGTCGTACGCCCCCACCCCCGGATACTTGGGCCGCGAACGCACGGTATCCGGATATAGCCCTTCTCTCAACCATGGGAATCGAAGCTCCACCCCCTCGCGTTATACCCCACCCGATCAGCGCGATTTCATTCGAGACACTGAATGGGATCAAGCAGGGACAGATACTGAAGAGGAGTGGCCCTCGTTTATCCGGTATATGATCGAATGGAGAGTAACTCTAAACAACCGTATGGTGGCTAAGGACACCGAGCAAGACCTGGCTTTGAACCCCAGTTCGTACTGGCAAGATATCAAACAAAAAGCGGAAACCATATTACGTCGGAAAATAGCTCGCAACCGACGGGTGAGGCTTGATGACACCACGATAGTGGTCTCTGTAAACGATCGCTCACAGCGCGATCTTACCAAACGCTTTGAAAGAACTGACATTGACTGGACAACTATCTCCAGACAGCTCGTGATGTGGAAAAATCTGTTCCATCAGGGCAAGAAGATTAGACTTTGCATTTCCATTAACTACTTAGACTCAGACGAGCCTTTGTCAGGCACCGACAAGAGAGGGCAAACATCAGTGACCAGGAGGATGCTGAATACACGAGAGGCTGAGATCGACGCTGAACACTTTTCTGGGCAACCTTCGGCTTGGCGGGATGTTTACCGAGTAATGCGCTGTCCTGGTCCACCATGCCGCCTAGATTCGCAATACTGCTGGCAGGACCCGGATGGGAAAAAGCACTATAAACTACGCACACATCACCTGAGGAAGCTGGTTAGATATGTGGAGAAAGAACACGGTATCATAGAAACCCATGATGATATTCCCGACAACATCCGTGAGCAATTGTATGCAGAGGAACAGCAGCGACTTGAGAGACGACAGAAGGGTCCTGAACATCCTACAACTGGATCTACAGTCCCAATAAATATCAACGTGCTCCCAGCACAGCCATCCCAGTCTGTAATATCTTCGCCGGCTGACGCCAACATCGCTTCATTGAGAACATATCCGAGTAAGCCTATCGAAATCCCCGGGCCCCTAGAAGTAGCGGTGGAGGAATATACGAATTGGCAGCTCTCGCGGGTGAACACTGAGAGTTTCAGACAAAATGTCAGGAAAGCACGTGATGTGACATTGGAGAACTGCCTTGACCTTAATCAAATACATCAGGATCAAGACCCCGAATTTTTTATCCGGCAAGGTGTGAAAATTGGTGCTGCACGCAGGTTTGTTAGTGAGATCAACGACTGGGCTCAGGAATACCAACCCAACCGAGCCGATGATTTTGAATAAGTATATAAATTAATCAGCTAGAAACAATTTCACATCTTTGAACGTCTCATCGCCTCGAAATATGTTCCTTAGTGATGCACCTGACAAATCTCCACCTTTTCGAGTCCTAATTGGCCCAAGGACAAAGACTAACGTAGTAAAACTGAAATTTAACACGTCCTATTCCAGGTTGAGATGACTAAGTCGTAATCATGGAGATATGAGTCTCTGCGTCAAATTATGTTAGAATGCCCAGCTAGACCCGCGGATATCCAATCCGAGGGGGGTTAACTTACTGGAGCTCGCTCACGGTTATCTAAGGATCTGGTGAGGTCGAAAGTCTGCAATTGATGAACTTCCGACACAACGGCTCAAAGCTTGCAGAATTGATGAAACTTACAGCCCTGTATTATGACACTCAATATTCAGTCCTGCGTGCCGAAAATGCCCCTTCGCGCTTTCCTCTCGTGCCCCGACCGTATCAACACACCACTCAAGGTAAGTGTCAAATCCTTGCCCAGGGCTATCTTTGTATGACTGCCAGTGCCGTCGAATAAAGGCTTTCAACTCGGCGAAAAACTCCTCGATTGGGTTTAGATCCGGTGAATACGGTGGTAAATACACTAGTTTGACGCCTTTTCCCGAACACATTTGCTCGATTCGTTCGGAGTGATGAAAAGATGCATTGTCCATGATGAGAACCGATTTAGGCTCCGGCCATTTTCCACAGTGCTGCAAGAGTTCCTCAATAAAGTCCTCGAAGAATGGTGCATCAGTTGAACCTTGGAACACACGCGACAGTACAATTCCGTCCTGAGAGTAAGCGGGAAGTATTTGATAACGCTGATCTCGATGGCATCTAGACACCTGGATTGGTGTTGTACCACTTGGAGACCACCCTGTCCTTCGGAAGCCTATCCGTTTATCACATCCGGACTCATCAACATACACTAGGTGATACGAACAGAAGTCTGAGATATAATGCATATACTCATCTCGTAAATCAGCATTTCGTTCTCTTGCTTGTTGTCGGGCAACCTTTTTTGACCACCCTTTATGGTGAAGTGCATCACTGATCGTGGATTTCGGTACACGCATATCGAATTCATCTAGCATAAATAGTTCCATTTCATGGATGTATAAATCTGGCTTTTCAAGTAAATGATCACAGAGCGCTTCCAGCATTACCGGTGTAATTTTCCGCGGCCGTCCGCCCTTAACTTCAGGCGCTTTAAGACTACCGAATAATTGAAGGTTTGAGCGAAGTCGAATAATTGCGCGTTTACTGCATCCAGCAGCTTCCGCCATTTGGGAAGTAGTTAGCTCACCGCTGACCAACATATCATGAATTAAATCAAGCGTTGATCGAGCTAGATTAGGAGCCATTCCTGTTACACGAATGTTGATCGACTGCCAAGGTTGGTTGTTCTTGGAGATTTGTATTATCCAGGCAGGGGAGGGATGGATGCCACGTGGACTTTAGTCTGGTACAGTAAAGTATACAAGATCTAGTAATGAAACCATGGTGTATTTTACAATACGAACTCGGGTTAATAGGATTCCGAAAGGGTGTCTCGAAGTGGCTTAGTGTCTTCTTGTCTTAGGGTTACGGAAAGAAACAAAGAGTATAATCGGTGACACCAGTTTCCGGAAACACTGTAGCATGTTCATAATCTCTGCACCTTCAGTTTCAAGAGAGCTGCCGTTCGACAGACCAACGGACGCATTGTTAAACGTGACAATGCCAAAATTGTCAAGGACAACTAAGTGGCTTCCTTCTTCGTAATCTTCCACAATCCACTCCGCATTTTGTCCATTAAGAGTGGAGGACGAGTCAGGCGCGGTAAGGCTTTGGCTCGCTTTCTGACCGTTCGTTAAATTTTCAATTGTCACAGTTCCAGAACCAGGAGAAGTAGACACGACACAAAGAGAAATTCTATCACCTGCATTGATACTGATACCCGAGAATCCGCCAGCATAGTCAGGATACCACTCATACATGTACCAGGCACCAAATGAGGCAGACCCATTGGAAGTGACACTTAAGTAGACACCAGTCTGAAGAATCGCGTTTGGATACGTACTGCCATCAATGCCAACCCAGACGGATGAAGAACCGGCGCGGCCATTGGCCGGTTTGGGAGTTGGCACGCTGAATTCTGCTGAAACGGAGGTGAAAGTGGTTCCTGACGGGGGAGCATTCAGTACTGCACCGGACCAATTCAATGTGAGATCAGCATTAGTCTTGTTCGAAATTCCATCTAGTTGGGAAAATCTTCTATTTGCGGCATGTGTCACTTCCGGACCATACGGCTGTGGCGCAGCAGCCAAGACGGTTGCACAAAAAAGAGTCAAGAGCTTCATAATCAAAATTTATCTATGATTTCAAACTTCTCGAGTACGTGTACATATTAGGAACCTTAAGAAGCTATCTAAATTTTCAATATCAGATCTTTGAAGTCATTGATATGCTTCCAGGGCGGTAAACTTACTTTAATTCCGGACAACACGGAGGACATCCACAACAGTATGGCTCACCTTCCGCATCGATTACCTGCTGTGGTGAGGTCCCCACCTTCAATGCAGAAAGAAAAGAAAGAAACGAAAATAAGACGCAGAATACACAAAAATAGAGCGACTTAGACTTGCACCCTTTTTGGTGGTAATGCGCAGAGCCATATACGGTTGGCAATTGTTTGGCAGTTTTGTCCATCCCCCCAAGACTTCCAGCCGACGATTATACGTGAGGATTCCAACTTTGACCCCTAAGCCATCAAATTCTGATACTTTTGCGTTGCAATAGATCTTTCAGGTAGTTTCTTGCCTGATCGACGATATCGTTAGAGACGTCACGTCGCCTCTGTAGTACATCTCACAAACTGAGGGTGCTCTCAAAATCCGGTTCTCTAACTAGACTACGGAAACTCAGGTTTTGAACCTGCTTTACAGTAGTTGAGTTCAATTTCTCGCGTGAATACACACAATAATCAGATCAATTGTGTTGCTAAGATCCTTCATCGCAAAGCATCGGAACGGAAGTGCTACAGTAATAATGTTTGATGTTGGGAACGCTAGCGCGCAGAATGACAGACCATATATTACAGTACAATGCTGTACGCTCTACGGTAGTGTATGTATGAGGTCATCCTTGGCCCCTTTCCGATGAAGACGCGGCTTCAAGTTTACGCGCTAGGCATGGAGTGTTTTGAGGACTTTTGCCTGGGCGACCAGTTCTGTTCTTTTGGCTGCTGGGCACGTAATTCAAGTATAGTGAGTATAGGGATAGGTGGATGTATGTGGTTGTTCAGACCTCATAACATGAGGTCAAAGGGCGGATACCAGGTCTACTATACCTGGGCGCTTGCGAGAGTGTACTATTTTATATATACAGACAAATTCGAAACCTCCTTCACTTTTTTTCTTACTCTCTCTCTTTACTTTGCCCCACAGCCAGGGCTGGTGGCTAAACTATTCCGAAGGCGACTAGTCTCGTAAGGTATTTTGCTAGGGCTGTACAAATCTTTACGCTATATACGTTATGTAATTCATATCATTGGTTCTTAATTGATATGTCTGTATTGTCTTGAAAAATTAAAGCAATATTTAACTATTCTGGAGCTAGCTCCAAAAATATACCCCGGAAAGTGGGGCCCAAAAAGGAGACAGAGAAAGAAAAAAGTGAAGGAGGTTTCGAACCTGTCTGTAGCATTTAGAGCGCCCTGTTAGACGAATAAAAGGAAGTTACATTTTTGGGACTAAATTCTAGAAATCAACATGCCAGTTGTGTGATAACATTTTTCCTAAGGAAAAAAAGGATTGGCCGCGTAAATGCGCCTCGTTACTCCTGCATTTACTTTTGTATGCGTCAGTAAACACGCTCTGCTAAGATATGTTCAAGAATATCATATAGCTATACTCTATACCTTCAATGGATTTGTACTCAATTATTGATATTCCTTTTTTTATGCACATTGATATGTACTCGCAACTCGCCCCTCTTTGACTTTTACTGGGCGTGTTCTCACATCCACCAGCGTCAAGGTGTTTTGTACGCCCTAATATCTAGACAGAACCAAGAATTAATTCAGACCACGTCAATATAAGTTGCCTAGAAAAGTTGCCTAAAAATTAGAATAGGGTTGCAGACACCAAAATGTATGACTCCAAGTCAATTTGTCCGAAACTGAGAAAATTTTAGACCTCATTTTACCGTATATCTTCACTCTCCCTGCGGATATAAAACGGGTTTATACGTTATTACAAATATAAACATACCACCACCCCACTGTGTCTTTGTTTATCACATTTAACCCTTAACACAGATATGGTCGCATACCTTTTCCTCGACATTCCAGTAGGTCAATCAACCAAAATGCTTTGTGAAATAGAGATAACCCATTAGATCCTGAATGATAACCAAGGCCAGCTTTTTGATCACGACATACAGGTAAGCCACCATCCAAGCTAGACGCTAGATCTAAGCCACAGAGCTTGAATCGGCTCACCTTCTTTATGTAGCTCGCTGAGCAACTTGTAAGCATTGTGAATCAAATTCGTCTGCTTCGTGAGGACAGAAAGAATTCGGTATTAGCTTTACTCCAAAGCAAGTATTCTGAGTTATTCCGAGTGCAGAGTAAGTGGAAGTTAACATTAACAGTCTGAGGCAACACCCGTTGACCTGACTTCAACGCTTTGCCCTTCTTCTAGTGATAATTAATGGCGTATTGATTCTAAGTGACATTTATCCTCCACAACAGACTTCGAGCGACCTTTAGCAGGTACACCCATCGTTACTACAGGATCGTATTTGACACCACCGGAAAACAATGGCACAATCGGCGTTGCTAGTGCAGCAGAAACGACGGTGTCATACGGTACAGCTCTACAATCCAGCTACTATTCCACTAACGGTGACGCCCCTGTCACCGACTGGAATGATGATTGGGACGCGCTTGTAGACTTATCGCCGCATGGGAGTGTAGCCCCTTCTATTGGCGATGGACGGCACAGTATACACTTGTCCGGTGAAAATGTAATAGATCATGATTTTCAACTGATTAACGGAAGTGATCCTAGCTTGAGAGCTGCTATAAAAGCAACAGACGTGCGGTATCATCAAGGTCTCCTAATTATGCGGAAATACTACATACCCCCTGAAGGTGGCCCTTCAGATATGAATCAGATCTCGCTAGTAGTCCAAGCCGGTTACGCAATTTTAAGACCGGACATACGCAACTATATCGAGATTGACATCAACCGCTGGCTGTCATTCGGACTATGGCCCGCTGTTGATGATTCGCAGTCTAATAATTTTTGTCGAGAATGCTCAAAAGAGGTAAACAGATTGAACATGATGGCAAAATCCGAAGCTAACACCATGCAACGACGAGTGCTGCGCATGAGATTGTATCACTGGTATATGGAGCTACAGAAGGAACTCAAAGTCCCAGAAAAAAGGCCCGCGCTTCGTCGTGGAGAGAAAATACAGACAAAAGCCATAGATATGATTCTCAAGGACTCATATCTCGATTGGGAAGGCGCAAGTGACTTAGAGAAAAAGTCATATCGAGACGAATTTCATAGGAACAAAGACGTTGGTTTGAAATGGTGTACTCTTGTGCAATATTTTGGCGAAGGTATAGCAGTGATATGTGGGAAAGAGATGGACTTGATCATGTATGTAACTGTCGAGTCTCGAGTTCGATTCGGAGAAGGCTAATCCGCAATGATTAGTAACGATACTAAGTTCAAACCCAAATCGCTGCACGCGCTAGCCACTTTCGTGCTCAATTTCTATCCTGACGTGCCACACATATGCCGTCTCTTTGGTTTCCCACTCAAGTTCTTTATACAAGATATAGGAGCAGGCCCTGATGAGTACCACAATTGGCAACACAGCCTGGACCAAGAAGGAGCCATAATTATGGTGAACAGCGGTCTAAAAGGCCCCCAAGTGCCATCAGAGCCCCCCTCCACCTGGATTGTCCCGGACTGTTTGGAGATGGATCTTACAGGTTTTATTCGGGGTGTATTGAAAGATAGGAGACGACGGCTCTATCCTGCGCCAGGGTGATTTTTTTTAGTGAGAATTCTTTCGCGTTGCCCTCGGCTGAAGAGGGGACGGAAATTCTTTTACTCCATGTAGTGTATACTGTATAAGTACAAGATTCAATTCCTCATTTGATTACTTTCAGCTAAACCACCGGATCCTTCTAGACGGGGATAAATATAATTTGGGGCCAGCCTATGTATATAGAAGTATGCCCGCCAGCTACATCTCCACTTGGTGTAACTGCTGCTTGGTTGAACAGTATTCCTGCATGAGCACTCGATGAACCGGTTGAACATACTACGATAAACAATCTATTGGCATACCCTCGCGGCATGCTCGACAGTAAAACAGGGAAGTGTGTACCAACACATTGAATTCAGATCTTAGGGCACTGTAAACTCGACGGCTGCTCCCTCCTTAATGGTATATGCCGGAGCCTCGGTTCAACAACCTTTTCATATGGTGCTGTTGAACAGTTTGCTTGTCATGGTTGATCATGGAACGATCCCATAGAATTGAGCCAACACCTCAACTTACCATACCCCACTACTATGTTCATCATTGGCAGTTAACGATGACCTAAGATGAGGCTTACCCAGCACTAGTCAAGCGCTAAGGCAGCCACACTGGTCAGATCTCCACTTGGCACATTTACTGTGTATACTACATAGTACTTGGTTGGACAGTTAAACAGTTGAACAGTTATGACAGTTTATAAGACTGAACACTTAATAATAAACGAATGTGGACCTCGCTTGGGAAAGCCACCAAACCGGTGTTACATGTACCCACACATCAAAGAATGTATATTATAAATGGTAACGGCTGTTTGCGGCTTTAAGGTCACCTATTCGCTTTCTGGCTAACGTTTACATATTATGCTATAAGATAACCCCTGCTGACCGATGCATACTCATCAGCTTACTTGTTTTCCCACTATGAGAGGCTAATCCCCGATCTTTTCATTTTTGTTTTCGTTTTGCGCTCTTCTGAGGGTACTGTAATGGACTTGCTTCTATTGTTCTTCCTTCTTTCCTCTTTCCATACTGTATACTGTATGAGTGTCTTTACTGTACATCTTTCCTACTCTCTCTTTTGATATATGTACAAGCACCGACCATATTACAATGTCTTGATCGATTGGCAAACCCAATCCCATCTTAGATCTGATGTGTGATGTTATGTGACTCCCAAAAGATGGATCGATCAAACAGCGACGAATAATTCATACGAGTGATGGTTAGGCTAATGGACAACCCTGCCCTAACCTACTGGCACGACGACCAGTATTTGCTTTCTCTAATACACCTGTATGGGGAAGCACAAACGGTTGATCCCGTGTAGCCGTCACCTCCGCACTATATGCAGTTCATTAGTAATAGCTATTCAGACCAAACTTAGTTACTAACCTGACCCCACTGAGCTACCAGCACACTGGCGGTAGTAGCAGTGGTACTAGAAGTAGACGGGGTCGCTGTAGTAGTCGTACTAGTTACGGTAGAAGCGAGAAACATAGGAGAATTGTTGTCATTTCCACCACAAGGAGAACCAGTCTTCAAGATGCTCTGCGCCTGCTGAGCGTAGTTGCAGCCATCAACCACATTTGCGTTAGAGAAAGCAGCGTCCCACATCATGATACCACCCCAGTTTGAGCTAGTGTCAAATGAAGCAACGGTATTTGCGAGGATACTCGGGGACTGATAGTAGGTAGCACCGCTCTCAGTACCAGTAGAACCGAGCTCGGAGGCAGGAACACCAATGAAGATCTTAGCATTATTTGAAGGAGTGCGAGAGATATATGAAACCCATTCAGCGTAGTTAAGAGTATTGGGGTACGAACAGTACTCATTATTATAGAACTGTACCCAGAGGTAATCGAATTGAGCTGCCTGAATGATTTCTCCCATATTAGGCTCAGGGATAGGGCATTGGGGTGCACCAGTAATATAATAAGTATTGCCTGAGTCAGATTTAAAATTAGAGCGGAGCTTAGAGATCATATATTGATAGTACTGATTGCCACTATTGGATTCAAGGTCGAAGTCCCAACCATCAACGGAAATAGATCCAAATGGCCGTGGTATACTGCCTCCAGCACTCTTGCCATATGCATCCCAGAGATTTTGGCCAATTTTCTCCGCTTCACTTTGAGAAGTGAGAGAGTAGGCTCCAACAGCACCGCCAAGTGAAAGAATAACCTTGACATTATTCGACTGGCAAGTAGCAATCTGGCTAGCGAGAGCATCACAGTTGATACCTTCACCGGAGGTACTAATAGAGCAGTCTTTCCCAATCACGCCAGAAGGGATTACAATGTTGTTTCCGTACTCGTAAAGGAAGGCAAGAACAACAATATTGATACCAGAGTCAGCAGTGCAGTAGGTCGAAAGATCGTTGTTTTCGCTTGCTGCAGCGGCATTCTGGCCCCAGTAAACAACAACTTCACCACCAGGGCTGCGTGTCTGGAGTTTATGAGGAGCACCATCTACGACGCTGGCCGCAAGGACCAGGTTGATCAAAGCAGATGAGATCTTCATAACTGAAATAGATAGACAAAAAAATGGAACAATAATTTACGCAGTGCCAAACTAGATAAGGAAGTTTCAGAGCCGTGAGCTTGCTTGAGCGGTAGTTAAAGTATAAGGCTGATACTAGGGGTAAGTTCGGTTCCTCCCTTAGATAAGAATAGCCGTGTGTACATAGTCAAGGTGCTACGTGAGACCACATTCAAAATTATGGCATCGAGGTTCAGAGGCCCGAAACAGCTTGACGTCCAACGTTAATCCCTTGACGAAGCGATTTCGGTAATGAGCACTACGTAGTAAAACATCAGAAATGACTCTACCAGGGACGCTTCCAGATGAAATTGACTAGCCTTATCCGGCATGGCTGATTAGCTGGATTAACAAAGTAAAAGAAAAGTCTCAAGATTCAAGATCATAGTTGAGACCTCATACGTGACAATTCCCTCTGAAAGAAATCGGATCGCTTATTTGGACTTTTATCCCAGTCGCTGGTCCCTCGCCTACGTTTTCGATTGGCGGAAATAGAGCCCAGGGGTATTCGTTTTTGATATTGGGCTCGTTCGAAATCAATGAACATTACCTGCTTGTTTTCTTCATTCAAGGTCATGTTGCCCGGGATTGGGTCGCCGTGAAGGACACCAAGGTCATGAATTGCACGTAATGATGTCTCAGCTTGCGCAATGACCAGAGTCTGATCGATTTCATGATGGTTCGCCAGATTTCTTCCAGCATAGCTCATCAGAGTCAAACGGACCATTTTTGCGATCCCATCATATGAAAATGGTCGACGAATATCGAGACCACCGAGGACTATTGGGACGAACTGTCCTTGAATTGCACGGAGATGGGAGTACATCATCTCCTCCCGCTTGGCACACTCGATGAAGTCGATTGGAACACCTTTCCCAACAAAGGTATACCCATGCGACCAGAGGGTGATCTTGAAAAGAGCCCCGCGTGTGCCGTGTACATGGAGTGATTCGCATCCGAGCTCTTCGTTAGGGTCCGGGTCCCTAGAGAGCTGTCGATCCAACAAATTGATAAGCATTTTCGTGTTCAAGCGATGCCGGCCGACTCCATGCTCGATGACATTAGGACATTGTTTATCCAGAAGTCCTCTCCCACGCAGGCCACTAAGGCACTTTTGAGAACAATACTTTCGAGCTTTGCCTTTCGAGGAAGCCGAATGTTGTGACCTGCTAGAATTTCGGACCGTGGCAGTTGTGGTTTGACGTTGAGGAAAGTGAGAGTCACGTGGCCCTCGACTGGGGGTCGGCGGATCATCGGTATCGTCTTCATGATCTGATAATGGTGACCCTTGCGATGGCTGACAGGATATGACCCTTGCAGCCGTCGACCTGGTTTTTACTGGAGACTGGCGCCAATATTTTGTTCTGCTTAGTGGTGGTTTGTACTCAGAAGCAGGAATGTGCTTCTCCTCGATCTCCTCCAGTAGATCATCATATACCATTTCCCACATCTTCAGTTGGCTCATTGCCCAGTTTCTCCAATTGATATCTCGCGGGGAGGTTCGCAAAGCTCGCAGGGTGAAAGCTAAAAGCTGCCCTACGGCTGTCAAATGTAACCGGTTGTCACCATTTACATCTCCGGCCCAATCAGTGGTGTCGCCAACATCTTCTTTCGGCACTGATAGATAATAAAGTACGGTAGAAGGATCCTCATAGGGTACTCGAAGGAATATGAATGCTTCACCTGTGCTAACGCAGCCGTACTCGTATCCACCTTCGTACATGTAGTGTGCGGCCTGTGTAATAACTGCGGCAACCACACGACGGCAGATATCTTCAGGCGATTCGTCTTTCTGGTACCGCACAATGCGGTCAAGTTCCATGTCCTGCAGTCCGGCTTTGATATGGGCAAGAGAAAATTTGTGTGGAGCCTTATTTTCGATGGCAAAAGCTGGCTCCTTCTTGTCCGGTCCGCGGTTGTATACGCAGAACTGGTCCGCTCGAGGCCGAGGAGGTCGTCGCTGTGCAGTTGTTTGTCTTGTGGTTCGTGAACTTGATCTTGAGGACTCCTGAGACCGTCTGGCAGCTAAACGTTCTGAACGACGAGGTCTGTCCGTCGCCAGACTTAAGGAGCGCATATCCGTCACAATTCCGGATTCATCCGTCAATGTATTCGCATGGTTTTCAAAGGTCACGTCTCCATTGAGGTGAAATTTCCGCCGTATTTGTGGACTGGCGTAGAGCTCTTCGATGATCGAGGCAACAGGAGACTCTGCGGTCTCGCGTAAAAAGTGTCCAATATCGAGTTCTGAGCCGTGCATCCTTTTCCTTATTTGTTTCCCAGCTTCTCTCAACGCCAGCAGCGGTGTAAAGTGACGTTCGGTAACAAAATCTGCATCCATGAGGTCCTCCCATATTGCCATCTGCTCGTCTGGGAAATCAGTCCATTCCTGGATTCTGCTCGGTCGCAGTTTGCGGTCCGCATTTGCAGGATCCCCCTTTGTGGATGACTTCTTGTCCTTCTGAATAGCCAGACCGAGAAATAGATGTTCGTGACACGCAGTGAGGAACTCAGGTAGGGTAGTGTTCTGAGTCTGTAGTCTTTCTAGGCGCAAGTTCTGTTCCGCTACCTCTTGTCGTCGTTCTGCTTCTTCTCGTCGCTGTCGTTCTTCCTTTTCTCGTTGTTCTGCTTCCGCGAGACGCTTGCGTATTTCGTTCAATTCTTTCTGCGACATTGTCGATTTATGTTGACAAGTGGTTGCAATCAGAAATGGGAATTTGTTTTGGTCAGGCTGACGCTAACACCCGATACAGTATAACGTAGGCTTGGCACACTAAGAACGACTAGGTGGTCATCGTAACGGGGCAAAACAATTACTCAGAAGCGACACGATTTAACTACGTATCTAAAGGAGAGTCTCTACTCATTGTTTGGTATTCCAGCTCCTAATTCGCTAGGCCGCAGCTTTTCAAGCGACTCCGCGGCAGGGACTTGACATGAGGCCATGGAATTAGTCATCTTTAATCCACGAGTTTTCTCTCCAACCTAGCCGTGGATTCCTGCCCTTTTTGTTTTGCAACCCATTCTTGAATACCACTTACAGCATCTATAGGCGAGTTCTTATGGTCCAAAAGGAATGATAGGACTTTGGCTGGGGTGAACTCTCCCTCTGGCACATGAGCGGCAAAATCCTCAGCTAATCTTTCAATCGTCAACTTTCCGCTTTCCTTTGCTGGTTGCTCACATTCGATAGGAGTCTCTTTGAAGATGGTACGGAAAAGTTTAGTGACGATATTTTTGTCAGCACGTTTGAACAAGACAGTCTTATCCACACGGCCCGGGCGAATTAGGGCTTCATCTAGATGGTCGATATGATTTGTTGACATAATGAGTATGCGACCCTCCTGAGATCCCACGCCATCAATGACATTCAGAAGCCCGGATAGTGATACTCCACACTGAATCATATCCTTCTGGTCTTGGCCCGGGTTGGTATTCTTACGGTTCAAGCCAACCGCATCCACGTCCTCTAGGAGGACGATACAACGAGGGGGAAGCTGAGAAAAAAGCTTACTCAGTCCAGCATCGCTCAGGCTGGATAAGTTAAGAATATAAATGCCCAGATCATTTAGGCCGGCGACGGAAAGGCAGAAGCTAGATTTCCCCGTTCCGGGAGGGCCATCCAAAAGATATCCTCGTTTGTAAGGAATTCCTCGGGATGTATACCATGTTTGAGTTTATTCATCGAGAAACTGTTTCATGTCTTCCAAAACGTTTTTCTTCACTTCCTCGTCCATTATGACCGTGGAAATGTCTCTTGCAGGTCGCAAGCTAGTCCTCTTCCACTCGCCACCCTCCGGTTCGAAGACTGGCACTTTCCGCTGAATGAGGTTGAGATATTGTTCACGGCACTCTTCCATCAATTCAATCAGAACCTTTGGAGATGTGCCAATGCATGAGATGGAGATCTCCTCGTGATGCTCTCTTTTATGACAGTGAAGCGTGAGACGGTGGTTCTTGTACCAAAAAGGGAAAGACCCATCCCAAGGGGAGTACGACAGAGGCTTCTTTCTCAACGATTGGTCCTGGACGACAGTTCGAGTCTTGAGTCGGACCATTAGAGAAGCTGCTTCCCCGGCAAATGGTTGTTGATGTATCCAATTGATAACCATATCATATGCTTCGTCATAGTAGTACACGTGGACGGTCGGGCCTATTATCGGTCAGTGATGAGTTCACATTTTTACCTGGACTAAACGAACTGAAGTATTTGTTGATCAAGTCATTCGCATAACCATATGCATAGCGAGCAAATATTAGGAAAACGACCCCCATACAGATCAACCGAACATAACCATTCGCGTTGTTGAGAAGGAGCCGCTGTGCAGATGCATTGAGAGCACTGAATCCTGGGAAGAAGATGTCCACGACGGATATTGGGGATGCTGTGGGATGAATGGGCAGGTAGTCAATTCCGCTGAATGCGTTCATTGTGACAAGGAGTCTTACGTCTCACAATGGCTAAGAGTCAATGTTGAAAAGCGAATTTGAAGCATTGCAAGATATTTCCGAACAAAAAAATTGACAATCTACTATGATTTTGAGAAGCTCCTTTTATATTTGCGATCAAGGAGAACCCCGCTTCTTCACTGCGACAGATATAGCAGCTATTCGCACAGGTCTACAATCACATTGCTTTTTCTCAAGTGGCCTGCGGGATAAACAGAAATGAGAACCCAATACTTCTGTCGTCCAGTCTCGGGCTGCGCAAGATGATACAAAACTGTTATTGAGTCTAGACTCGGGTCTGGCGCCTTTTTTGAGCTATGATCTGTCACAGTAAAGCAATACTCGGTTAAATTTACTGGGATCTAAGCAATATAAGTACATAATTCTTGCTTTAGGACATTGAAATATGATAGTGAGATACTAAAATCCTGCGAAAAGTAAGATAAGTCACTAATTCACCTCCAGCGGTAAGTTAAGCGGAAATAATACTCGAAAATGCGTGCTCCCTGCATAATACGCACATAGAAGCATTAGCGCCTGTGCCAAGAGTTTCTTAGGCTTGTTCACAGCTACACTAGGATAAATACGGAACATAGGTGTAGAAATTCTCATGTATTGGAGCATATCGTCTAATACACAAAACCTATACAAACTTGACCACGGCCAACAAGAGTTACTTATCACGTGGAATGAGATAGCTGTCGGAACTAAAACGTAATACTATTTCACCAAAAAGGACGCCCTTAAAGGGAAT